CACGGCGACCCGCCAGCTCACAGAAGGGGGCCAGGAAGAGGGGAGCGAGGGCGCAGACGAAGTTGAAGAGGAAGAGACCCAATTCGGCGATCTCCTCGGTCACACCCAGATCCGAAGCCATATCACCCAATCCGGAGCTGTAAGCCGTCGTGGCGAGACCGATGAACAGAGTCATCAGACAGAGCAGGGCGGAGATGAAAGCCTTGTATTTGCCATCCCAGTTGAACGGGTTCTCTTTGTCTCCGGGAACGAAGTCGAGGACGATGTACTGGTTGCCGTCCTGGACGATGCGTTCGGTCTGGGTTAACGGCATGTCGAAGTCGACGGTCTGGAGGGGGCCGTCCGCATGAGCAGCGGCAGAGCTGTCATCGAGGCCCTCTAGGTACTTTCCACCGGCAATGCGTCCTTTGCAGGTGGAGTCGATGTGGCTGGAGGAGCCGGCGGAGGCGTTCTCCGTATGAGAGGCCAGGCCAGGCTGGGACTTGTCCATCTTGTCCATTGTGAGATAGGATGGATGGATAAAGAGGAGGAGGGAGAGGGAGGAGTAAGAAGAAGAGAGGTGAGGTCGAGTGGAAGAAACAGCCAGAAAACAGCCGGGAAGGAGGAGGTATAAAAGGACAATCAAAACACTGGGGAAAGGAACCCGTCTCATCCGGCTTCTCCAGTTTTATTTTTTTCGTGTCGGCCCACCCGAGTCAGGGCTTCAGTCCATCTTCTTCCGGGGTGCGTCATAAAGTCGGGGTGGACTGGGAGACTCTGGAGTGGGCATGGGAAAGGCATCCGCCGCCTCATTGTTATGCAGGCTACGGAGTACAGTACCTGGCCAGGAATGCTCCACGAGATGGATCCGGGATGGCGTTGGAAAGTAGTGGGTCACCAGAGTTTGCGGTCGATCCAACTGAGAAACTTCGGGGAAACTGATCCGATGTACAGATATTCGCAGCTGAGATGAGGTGATAGACGATGAGGGAAGCCCACAGTCACTGGGAGTCTTTTTATGATGCTGAAGGATAAGAGCACCTGCTCAGTTACCTCCTGTCCCTCACAACAGCATTCTCTATACTCTTTCCTGCCTCCTTGTGGTGTTGGAAAGGCAGCCAGAAAGTAGTTCGGAAGTCGACCGAGAATGACTTCATCTCGGCATCCCGACTTGCCTCCAACTGGCTCTTTCTCCATCGGGCCGACTCGGTCCCCCACGTCCTTTGGGGGCAAAAAAAAGCCATAAGCCAAACAGAGTTTCGGTTGCACTTCGGCGAAATCCTCACCGTCGCTGAACTCGGAAGGTTGTCGGTCGGTCCGTTGCAGGGATGGTCATTTAGTAGTCTTGTCTCCTCACACGATGAGCAAAAAGCATCGTTGCTCTGATCTGAATATCATCTCTTCAGTCCCCAAAACCAAGTTAAATACTGTCAAACCCGCCCGCAAAACCATACTGGTAATCTTCTTCTCGACTTCTTCCACGTTATCGATAAGAATGTGAAGCAGTGAACTCGAAGCCCGTGCAACTGAAACCCCCATGATGCATTGGGGATCCACCATTCCAGCCCAGAGAAAACTCGGCTGACCTGCTTGCCCTCGGGCCAGAACAGGCAGGACAGCCACTGACGCCGAACACAACACCATCTGACCGGTCCGAGAGATCTCCTGTCGGGCTGGCGGCGCTGGCCTGGACATGCCAGCTCGATGATTCGCTGCTTGCGTTTCCGCTTGGACACTTGTTGCCAGAACTCTCGACCCTGACACGTAGGGATCCAGGAAAAAAGCGGACCCCGCGCACTCCCCCGACTGCATTGCCTCACGATTTTATGCTGAACTCCTTACACAACTTGGTCACGAGGGCGCAATCATCATAATTCCGTAGACTCTAGTAGGCAGTCCGGGTTTTTCCGATGCCAAACCCGGCCCTCAACCCAACCCAACCCAGCCAAGCTTGGGTTCTGGATTGGAGTGGATGACGACATGGCGCGGATGACGCCCATGGTTGAATGATTACATTAAACGTAGAGCTTTCAATGTGAAGGAAGTCTAGCTATTCAAGATTGTGTTCTCGACCTGATTTGTGGTCTGGTGGCTAGTGGTTGTGGTTGTGGTTGTGGTGGCAAGAATTGAGTTGTAAAGTGTGCTTGGTTGGGATTCCCACCGTGGCCGGTTCAAATTTGTGCCTGATTGACTGGATGATCGACACTCTAATCCAGCTTGCTTGAGTCTATTTCGATGTGGTGCACTTAACTAATCAAGGCAGCTATCAAGAATCACACCATCCTAGTAATCTTCCAAGAAATGGCCGGTTGGTGTAGTTGGTTATCACGTATCCTTCACACGGATAAGGTCCTGGGTTCGAGTCCCTGACCAGTCATCTTTTTTGTCCTGTGATCTTTTTTGCCCTCTTCATTCTTCTCTTTACAATATTTTGCTGTCTACGGACTAGGTCACTGCATAAGCTTTTTATTTTTTTTCTTCCGCTTGATCGTCGCTCTGCCCGATGGACCACGATCCGGTTCCTGATAAAGTTTTTTCGAGAACAACCCTGGAAAGAATTTTCTCTTCGGTGGCAAGGATGAATCTTGCCACGGGAGGGATGACAAAGCGATCGGCATCTGGCCCCCTTCATTGCCAGGGGCAGAGCACCGGTACCTGACACCATGCTCGAAGTGACGTACAGTATCGGCGTTTGGTGTTTTTTTTCTGGTGGTTTCTATTGCATAGTGAATCAGATCTACCGGCTTTGTCGGACAATGCGACTCTATATGCTCGTCACTCTCGGCAGAGAAACAATACACAAACACCGCAGATATATATCGCCGCGCAATATGCAAAATGAGTAACGCCAGAATTCAAAGGCAACATCCGTGAATAATGCCAGAGTAATGGTCAAGGAGTCCAGGGGTCTTCTCCAGTCGTAGCTAGGTATATATTTCAAGCATTGTGGTAAAACGCGCCTGGTATGATTTTAGTTGGTTCTCATCAACAAGCGGGTGCATCCAGAGATGTGCACTGGTAAACCTTCCGAGCACATACATTATTGCCTCTGTGAAATACCACAATTGCCCGCCCACTCCCCTGTGGTAGCAAATTTAAAAGCCTTGTGTTGAGCGAACGCTTTGCTGTACCCTGGCAGCAACCACTCTATCCTGTTAGATGAAGGGGATGCTGGCTATTGCATGAACATGTAAAATAGCAAAAAGATGGAGCTGCGGGGAATCGAACCCCGGACCTCTCCCATGCTAAGGGAATATTATACCACTAAACCACAGCCCCAATTGTTGGAAAAAGGAGCTCAGGTATGCATATATGCCCTCTACAATCTCTTTAGAGTAGTACCTGAACAAATGATGCAGTTGGATAGAACTGTGGTTACACGAGGACTGGCCTTGCCGGTATAAGACACAAGCATGCAAAGCCTTCACCCAGAAAGGGATATGGTGCGGTTATAGTTGGTGATTGTGTTCCTTAGTGGCCTCATTACTGCATTCTGTTGAGGCTATGGAGGTCCAGCCAGCCAGAGTAAACAACTTGGCAGTCGGCACTGTGCAGCTTTGTGAAGGGGCTGGCTGCTAATCCGCGTCTAACCTATTATCCTCTTAGCGTTGTTTTACCCCGCACACCATTTTTCTCGTGATAAGGAAGTTGTTTGTGGAACATCGGATTCAAAGATAAGGAATTGCTGTGGTCAGCCGATGATTATCAGTAACGGCTGGAGAGACGAGGCACTCACACCATAGCAAAAATCCAACTCCAAGTCAACCGACAACTGTTGAGACCAATCCCAGGGATATGGCAGCTCTCGCGCCCTGCTTGAGGAGCGGCGTCCACGTCTGACATAACACAGGCCATTCTTGCGGTCGTCAGCAGCAGGCTCACGAAATTCGATATGGCGAGGGACGCGGAGACCCTCTTCGTGGGTGCTTCGACCCTCACCTCGGAATTCAAGTAAACTGTCGCTGGACTTGAGTGACGCGCGTTTCTCCTCTAGGGTACGGTTCGACCATGCAGCCGCTACGCTACCGGCTCGTTGATTGCCGCGGCCAAGCTTTGTGGCTTCCACCCGATGAGAGTCACACCTGATACCATACATGCCAACGTGACCGACGGATTTCATAAATTGCGAGCGAACAAGCTGGGTCATTGCACCCTCGCTGGCGATCTGTGCCTGTTACTCGTTACGATAGAGCTCTAGGGGTGAGCTCGCTAGGTGAAGTATAGTGGTTTTAGATATTTGGGTGCACTAAACTATTTCCTGGAGGACGAACGTGTCAAGCTCCTCGGGGTGTGTTGACTTCGACACCATCAAGATGGCCATGCTTTCTGAAAAGCATGATGTCAAGCTTTTGATGCGTGATACGCTGGTATGTAACCCACATTTGCCAAATAATGACCATCCTATGTGAAGTCTTCCTTCCTTCCAGATGAACTGATAATCCTCGACCAGACCTCCACAACAGAACCATGACATCCAGACTAAGCAAGTGAAACTGGCACCAGAAGAGACAAGATCTCATCTGCAACGAGCATCCCCGATGAAGACGAATACTGTTAGTATAACGCCACAATGGGCCCCTGCAGAAGCTGGTGGCTCTCTCGAGAGTTTCTCCGCATATTGAGAATCATCGTCGATAACATAGCGTTGGCAGCAAGCGACCTTCGGTCATCGAACTTGTGGGTACTAGCGGCCATTGCGGGCGGGCGCATGTGAGTTGGCGAGCAGGTTGAAGACATACTGACAAATCTCGAATGGTCCCTAGACAGGGAGGATTGGGCGCCCAGAAGGGATTCCGGCAAGAGGTTGATCTGCCGCGATATTTGAGCTGGGGGAAATTGCGAAGAGGGGTGTGGCTGGTTTTTTAAGCACGTGGAAAACGATGCCTCTAACAACGATGATGATGACGACGCCGCTTGGAAAGCCCACCACGCCACACATTCTATTCTCATTCCTCAAATCATAAGTCGGAACATAGATAACAAACATTACTGCCTCCACCGCACACACACAACAATCCAAATCACCCCCGACTCGCCATCAACGCATCCTCCGACACCGCCGTCGACAGAACACTAAACTCATCCTTCCGGCGGATCCGCTCCAGCTTGACCGGCGGGGTTCGTTCATTATCCGAGCTGGCATAGTACCGGGACCCGAAGCACGCCGGGAGGAGGGGCTTCAGTAGTGCAGGCAAACAGGGCATGCAGGCGCACACGATCGCGACGTCGCATTCTACCATGCTCCAGTAGATGGCGGGGTTGTTGTCCACTTTTGTTTGAATTATTAGTGGGGGTCTGCTAGAAGGTTGATCCGTGTGAAGTGAGGCTTACTGCTGATATTTGCAGACTTAGAAAAGCGGATGAGGGATTGGAGGCGGAGGCAGCTGACGACGGTGATCCTTGTGGCTGTTAGCGAGGCTTTGTGTGTTTGGGGTCGATGGTGGAAGAGGGGGGAGTGACTTACAAGAATCCCGTGCAGAACATCAGCAAGACGAGTGTCTTCTTTCGACGGCTCAGCGCGAGTTTTGACAGAGGGTAGATGGGTAGTGCGATGATGGACAGGTCCATCGCGATCTGCATGGCGGCGCGATACCACGAGTAGGTGTTGATGTCGATGCAGTGGCCGGTTGCCTCCCCCGACCAGCTGTTCCAGAAGTAGGAGACCGGCAGGCATTGGAAGATCATGATCAAGGTGTTGGAGATTCCGAAGCAGACTGAGATGCCAGCGAGGGTGTAGACAATGTATCGGAAATTGCCGGGAGGGAAGATGCGGAGGTAGAAGGCTAGGAAGGATAACTGGGTCAAGGCTTCGGCGGGCATGTAAAAGATCTCGGCGATGAGAAGTAGCTGGGGTTCAGGTTAGAAGAGGCTGAGTACTCAAAGCAGTGGAAGCGTGACGGACTTTGAGCTGGGTAGTAATGTCTTCGAATGGGATTGTCCAGATGTTGGTCCCGAGGCCGTGTTTTTGCACTGGCTTCTTAGTGATCGCTTGTTTCAGGAGGGAAGTGCACTTACTGGGGAAAGCCATGATGTTCAGTATCGCAGCACAGGCCTGAATGGAGTTAGCTTATATCATTCTCCGGATCTTTGCAGTCCAGTCCTTACCATGGCCATCACTATTAGCCCATCGTCCCAGCCAAACGATCGCTTCATCATGGTTCGTTGAGCCATGCGCAGGCCGGTCATGATTAAGGCCAGCATGCCCAGTGAGCCGGCCAGTGCAGGCGTCAAGCTGGCCTTACTCTCTTCATGGATCCCACAGGCGGCACGAGTGTAGTTCGTCGAGACTAGAATGTTAGGCGACTCCGACTGCGAAAGAGGTAGACTACTTACATAGGCTCTGCTTTGGAGTGCAAGACAAACTATAGCACCCCAGTGCAGTTTCCAAGATGCTCTGCCCGGTACAAATGCACCATCGATCTGTCGTTGCGCACGAGCTGGCATTCATTGCAGTTTCGAAGCATTGAGCCTGGGCAGTTAGGGATTGATGGTCTTTCAAGAAGGTTTCGAGTGAAGCATACCGCACATGCTGGCAGGTCACTGAGGAACTCCGGGAGCAGGGTTGAGTTCATCCTGGGCGAATTGAGAATCGACTCGGTTGACGGCTGCACTGCATGAGCTTTGTTGGACTTTCCAGGTCTATAAGTAACATCGAGATCTCAGCCAGCCTGGAAACTTAAGGTCGAGAGAATGGGAAGGCTGTCCGAGTTTATTGATCCATTCTTGCTCCTGTCGGCCTAAGCACGCTTGTTGATGCATCGAGGTTGATGATACTCACGGCGTGCGAAGTACAACAGGAGCTGATCGATGGTTGCAAGGATCCAGCAGGGACCAATGTACGGGACTGTACTCATCATGGACAGTGCGCAACGGTCGGTCGATCTCCAATGCAGCGCAGTGGATTGATAGGGCAGCGCGGACAGGGATCCTGGCCTGGAATGGCCCAGTGGGGGAACGAGGATGAGATAGGCAAGTTCTCCGTATGCATGGTCGGAGTATTTACACATGTCGTAACCACTGCCTGAAGTTGACCCAATTTTTATCGCAATAAACATCGTGGAAGTTGATCACGGAGTATCTTCCGAATCAATTCTGCTGTTGCTTGCTTGCATATCACCGGTTTTCCGCGATTAGGGCATGGCCGGCAAGGCCATAATACACTTTTGAAGAATTCTGCGATTTCTTCGGTCGCAACATTCCTGTTTTCTGGCAGCTTTGACAGGATCCACCTGTCTCCTGGCGTGTGTCCGAGCGTCTTTCAGGCTCCTGCAACAGGATGTGTTATTGGCTGGGGCGATGGGGTACTTTTTCACCCCCCGCGTCGGTGGATAAAACTAGACCAACTTAAGTGATTAGTCCATCCCCGTTCACCACTCAGTGAAGGCGGTTTCTTTGCGTCTCCATATCTGTCAAATAGACTTCTGCAGACCCCTCTTGTCGTAACGGCCACACTGGCTGGCGAAAATGTCAACCGTTGGGGCTCATCTGGCCTTATCTGTCGACCGAGGTTGTAACCCTACTGCGCAGGGGGACTTCAGTTTGTCGTTCATGGCCCTGACAGTTTTGTGTGAGGTACTGCACATCCCAGGGGTTCAAGAATGAGGGGGGCTAGGAAAGAAGAACACGCAGATAGATAGATCAGTTCTATATGTACAGTACAATTCCCCTTTGTACTACTCTGCACCCCTTCAGTGACCAATCCGGTATCGGGGATTAATATGGGCATTGACAGAAACACCTCCACCTGCATCAGACTAATCCGAATCCATGTTTTTGAGCATTCCTGCTCGCACACTGACATTTCCGCGACGTCAAGGCTCCTGTGGAGAGATGTCCGTGCTCTCGTCTGCCTGTAGACAAGTCAGATTTAATCTAATAAGAGGGTGCCACCCCCGGTACTTTCTGCTTCTTGCGCTTGATCTGTTCACTCCTTCAGAAGTGTACGCCCTCACCTCGCGTTTCATCGTTGTCCCACCATGACGACAACGACCCTAATTCAGGGCCTGATCGGGCTGAGTCTACTCTATTTCTTGCTGTCTCGACTTTTGTCCCGATCGCGATCATCCGCGCCTCTGCCACCGGGGCCGAAAGGCAAGCCCATCATTGGCAATTTGGCTGACTTGCCGCCGCCAGGAGTGCAGGAATGGAAGCACTGGCTGCAGTCCAAAGAGCGCTACGGTATTGTTTTTTTCACCCCCCCCTCCACTATGGTTGCTTCTGCTCGCCTCTTTTTGCTTTTTACCGTGCAATCGATCAGTATCTGAATTTGAGTTATGCTCGAAATAGCCTCTTCACTATCCCCTTTGAGGCAAATCTCCCACTAGAATAATTCACGAGTCCTTGACCTAATGCATCCCTCTTCACAGGTCCGATCAGCTCCCTGACCATTCTGGGACAAACCATGGTGATTATCAATGATGCTCGCATGGCGTTCGATCTGCTCGAGAAGCGCTCGAACATCTATTCGTCGCGGCCCCGACTTACCTTTGCGGGAGAGATGTGCGTGTCGGCCTCGAATTTGAGTCTTTCGATCACGAATCACAAGAGCTAACGCAGTTCACTACGGTTGGTAACCACTATAGTGTTGGCTGGAATGGCTCCCTGGCGATGCAGACCTACAGCGATCAATTCCGCGCCTACCGGAAAGTGATGCATCGCGTGCTGGGGACGAAGACGACGACGGCACGATTCAATTCACTGCAGGAGGTGGAGGTGCGGCGGTTCCTGATGCGCATGCTCGATCGCCCGGAGGACTTGGTCCAGCATATCCGGACGTAGGTACTTCTGTGTATTGTTCCCTTCCGTACATCTTAGACTGATTGCGGCGTTGTCAGCGAGGCCGGGGCGGTGATTCTCAAGATCGCGTACGGGTACACGATCGAACCGCATGGACGCGATCCCCTCGTCGACCTGGCCAACGAGGCCATGGACCAGTTCTCCATCGCAGGAAGCCCGGGTCGCTGGTTGGTCGATACAATCCCACTCTGTATGTCTTCCTATGTGTGTGTCTTAGATACGTTCGTCGACTGATGAATTCTGAACGTAGTGAAACATGTCCCCGCATGGTTCCCTGGCGCCGGCTTCAAGCGCACGGGACTCGCGTGGAACCGCATCCTGCTCACCACCGTCGAGAAGCCCTATCAGTTCGTGCGCCAGCAGATGCAGCGCGAGAAGTTCACCCCCTCGTATGTGTCGAGTCTGCTCGAGGGACGCGATCTCGATACCCTGACGCCGGAGGAGGAGCATATCATCAAATGGACTGCGGGGTCACTCTATACTGGAGGTGCTGATACGGTTAGTCACAATATCCCTTCTCTAGGGATCAGTCAAGTCACCCTGACAAACAATGTGAACTGATCCAAATCAAATAGACCGTCTCCGTCCTCTCCACATTCTTTCTCGCAATGGCCCTCCACCCAGAGATCCAGGACAAGGCCTACGAGGAACTCGAGCGCGTAGTGGGACGCGCCCGTCTGCCCACCTTCGCCGACCGCGAGAACCTTCCGTATATCGATGCGATCGTGAAGGAGGCCCTGCGCTGGCACCCGATCGCACCCACGGGGATCCCGCACCAGTGCACGGAGGATGACATCTACGAGGGATATCTGATCCCCAAGGGGGCGATTATCATCCCGCATATATGGTATGTTCTTTCTTAACCACTCCTACTCTAACTCATACAAAGCCATTCGCGAGCTATTTCCACCCGACGTCCACCATGAAACTATTTACTGACAATGGAGGCGAAAAGGCAAATGACGCAAGACCCGACCATTTACCCCAACCCGAGCAAGTTCGACCCGACTCGATTCCTATCGTCTGAACCCGAGCTGGACCCGCATAATCTGGCGTTCGGGTTCGGGCGTCGCATCTGTCCCGGCCGGTTACTGGCTGACAATACCATCTTCTTGACGATCGCGCAGTCGCTGGCTGTGTTCCGGTTCATGCCGAGGGGTGATGAGCCGTTGAAGGCCGAGTTTGCGCCGGGGGTGGTCAGTCATCCGCTGCCGTTTGCGCTGCGGGTGGAGGTACGCGGGGAGGAGCATTTGAAGGTGGTCAGGGACGGGGTAGAGGAGCTGGGGTGGGGGGTTAGTGATGCCGGGGCGTTGGCGGGGGTAGTCTGTTAGGGAATTTGAGAAGATGGTAATGGGCTTGGGAAGAGAGATCTTCTAGTATACTAGTTTATGGCTGAATTTGGTTGAAGTTTCAGTCTACTCAGATAATTATGTTGCTTAGGTGGCACGGATAATATTATTCGAGATGAAGCAATTCAATAAACTGGTTGTGCATTCTGGTTACTCAACAAAACATAACTAAAGAAGATCAACATTGTCAACAGGTCTGAACTAAGTCTCGTTTTCCAATCATCAACCAAACTCCCGAAGAGTCACCAAAGTGTCGGATTACGAATCATCAAGATGGTCACCGATGTTTGCCCGATGAGTCCCGTGTCGATCGTTGACTGGAAGCAATTGAACTTGTCCTCAGCAACGAGTGGTAATTGTGTGGGTCACGGTACGAGGACTGTAACTGGTGGAAGGAACTGGAATGCAGTTCGAGCCCGATGAGTTGTGAGGACAGTAGGTGACCGTAGTGGTATGGTCGGGAATCGGGATGAGGGGGTAAATGGAACTAATAGGCATAAAGTCAGTTCTCGAACTCGGGCTGTCTGTGCAGTAGCTTGTGATTGTGACAGTGCTGCAACCCGAGCCCGATTCATGTCCACAGTGAGTGGTGATGATCACGGTATGATCAGGAATAGGAGTGGAAATCACGGAGCCGCAGTGAGATTGACTGCAGTGGCCTGTCACGATGGTGGACTGATTCGCGATTGGAACTGAAGCAGAAGTGGAAGAGCTATAGCTGGAGTGACTGCAGTTGCCGCTCACTGTTGTCATATGATTCGCACTTGGAACCGTAACAGAAGTCATAGAGCCGCAGCTGGAGTGACTGCAGTAGCCTGTCGCAACAGTAGAAGAACTCGAGCCTGGAACCGGGACGGAGCTGATAGAACCAGTTCCGTGACACGAGGTGGTTGCGACCGTTGTCGGAGCGGGAGTAGGGGTATGAGGAGAGGTGAGAATGAAAGTCACCGAGCCAGAACAGTGCGTGGATTCAGACACATGTGGAGTACTCGCTGGCGGAGCACTGCTGCTGGCAACCCGAGTGCTAGATGGAGAAGGGGTAGGTTTACTGCCTGGGGCGGAGGCAGCGACACCCACACACATCTCAAACCCTGCAGGCAGGTATTCGCACATTTTGTTCGGGCCCACAACATCGGGATTCCAGGTATAGAAGTCCTTGATGGAGATTCCGTTGGCCAGCGTGATTAGAAGACATGTATCGGTCCTGCAGGAGTTTGTTTGTTAGCGTCGGCGGAAGACTGGGATGCCGGGAACGAATTTTTTTATCATGAAAAAGGCAAGAAAGAAATGGTAGACTCACGGCCCAGCTAGCCACCACTTGTTACAATCACGAGTTACTCGAGGTTGATGAGGATAGGTGGTGGGAAAATCGGAAGGTGCAGGAAGCTTTGCAGTGCGAGTTGAGGGGGTGGCTGCATCACCAACACAGTAATAATATCCAGGCTATGTTTGAGTAGCGTGTCAGTCTACGTGTCAGAAGGGCGGAACAGGCAAATATCAAGAAAGGTCAAAGAGAAGAGGTCTGAAGTGGATTGATCGCGACGGTGGGGGCAAACATACGATAAGTTTAAGACACTCCCTTCCAAGGTTAGGATTCCAAGACACGAACTGCTCCCGCGAGAAGGTGCCAAACATGGTCACAATCAAGCTGCAGGTATCTTCCTTGTCAGCCTGGTACCAGGCGGTGCAATTCTTCGCTGTGCCCTGCGGCGTTGGATGGGGCGGAGTGGTAACATGTGGAGGAAGTGGGAGGTTGTCATAGGCAGCGATGCAGTAGTAATACCCTGGTCTCAAACCGGAACAGTCATCCTTGAGAGCAGGGTTCCACTGATGAAGAAGCTTTTCATTCAGTAGACCGTGTTTGAGTAGAATGTTATCGCACGTATCATTCTGCTTGAATCAGACTCAGATCTTGATGAAAGGAGAGGTGAAGTACATACCGGAGCAGCCTTGTAGAAGGACTGGCAGCTCGAGACTAGACCAGCTTGTGTCGGGGCAGGGACAACTGGCTCGAAGGTAATGTTTCGAGTTTGGGTCGGAGTCCAGGAGGCGTATGGAGGAATGGAAACGTTCGACGAGCCAGTGGGGTAGACCAGAGTCATACCAGAGCCGCCTGGGATTCCCACGCAGACCCAGTAGTCGACCAGAGGGTGCTCGCAATCTTTTTTCAGCCCAGGATTCCAAGCCAATCTGTGTTTGTTAGCGCCGTCGCTGGATTGTGGCAACCAGGACTTACAGCTGATCTAGGGAAAGGGAGGCACCAGAACGCTCCGAGATTATCTGGCAAGAGTCGCCCGGCTTGACACGGTACCAACGATTGCATGAACCCGGTTGGCCTGGCTGTGTCTTGGTCAGAGGCCCAGCTGTATCAATCGAGCTAGGGGTAAGAGGCATAGTCGGCATGATTTCTGAAGTGATAGGCACGCGCGCACTGTAGGTGGATCCAGTGGAGAGGCTCGTGGTGTTGGCTGGTGGGGTTATAGTGGCCTTACTACCTACCACAAGAGCCAGCAGAAATGCCAGCAGGAGATGAAAGGACGTCATCTTGAACAGATCTCGCCTTACCCAAAGATAGATGACGGTAAACGAAAGGATTCGCGATAAGAGGCTGGAAAGGTGAAAGACTGGACAAGACGGAGGATGGCAAGGGAGGGAGGAAGTTGGTGTAGAGAAGAAAGGTGGAGAGAAGAGAGGAAGGAAGAGGAAGAGAAAATCAGTGAGGGTGATGATAAGAGATGTTATATAGCCGAAGAAGAAGGAACCAAGAAGGGAAAGGATTTTGACCAGGAGATAATTCTATATTCACTTCGTGCGATTCCTCGGATGTCCGATTTACAACAAATCGCATTCCTAGCGCATCTTCACAGACTTTCTTGCTTCAAGATTCACTACTAAACAAGTAACGGAGATCAAAATAAAATCACCACCAAGTATCACACAATTCTGCCTGTTCTGCAAGCCTAAAACTTTGAGCACTCCCAAGACTTTCTCAAAATCACTCCATCACGCCGCATGAGCTGTATTGCTGGAACATTTCGAATTGAGGGCTTCTTGGATCGAGCCAAAAGGGCTCCCAGTTGTTCGCAAATGGCGAGTTATACATCTCTACCAATCCAGCCACATCTCCAGCAGAAGGCACGTTGTTCGCCTCCCAGACTTTTCCGTCGTACGTAGTCAAAACAGGGCCCTTCGTTAGGGTTCCACCGGTGATAGACGAGTATAGCATGATCGAATCCCAATCGACGTCGTCGATGTGTGGCCAAAACCCACGTGGTCCGATGATGTCCCCTGGATAGGGCAGAAAATTCAATGCACTGAATCCAGCCTGTGCGGCAGTTTTAAAATTCACACACAGACCTTCAGGTCCCCAGATCTCTTCCTCAGTTTTCCCCCTAGTCTTCTCTTCAAAGTCTGCCAGGTTTCTACAGTGGAATTCAAAGATCCAGGGCCCTTGATCATTTGGCCTCCATAGAGCGGGATCTTGGTGCTCGTGTACGAGCCCGAATGCATGCCCGAGTTCGTGAGCAATGGACCCTATGATGAGGGCTTCATCCCAGCCTGATGGAGTGGAAAGGTACATAGCATAACGTTCGAGCTTTTCTCCCGGGTTCGGCACCTCCGGGGGCATGCCTATGTTAGTGACATACATGCTAGGGGTGTCATAGACCGTCAAGACATCGTAGGTCCCTGTTTTGCAGATCTCTGCTGAGGTGAGGTGCAACTTGAAGCTCTCGGGCAGGCCCGCAGCATACCACAGTCCCATGGCTGCATTGAGCGGAGATTTAAATTTGCGCTCGGTCGCGACAGACTCAAAGCAGATAGTAATCTTCCCGTTGGGCCAGAGCCGGTTGTGATTACTCCATGGACTGTATTGTGCCCACGCTTGAACCAAAGAGCTCAGGGAAACGAATGTCAACAGCAGAAACAGCAGTCTCTGCCAGAAGAGAGAGAAGAGGATCATGGTACTTGTAGAAGCCTAGAGTTGACATGTCAGTATCAATAGAACCCCTTCGGATGATAAGTAACCTTGTCTTGATCTTGGTTGTCATAGATAGTGATGGAAGGAGCGACCATACACAGGTTGAGAAGATAGAGAATGAAGAAGAAACAAAGAAGAAGATGAAGAAATATAGAAGAGAAATCAGACAGCTTTCTTATATCACGCAATGAGAAGCCAGAAGTGATTTTAATATAATGTGGCCAGACACTGAGTGAATATGTGAACATCGGTGACTCTGAAGATAGACCACCATGTATAATTTAATCATCCCCGACCTCCACAACGTACAAGAACCTCTTATCACGATCACTCTTACTGACCTCCACCCACGTTACTACCAACCATCATGACTACAACAAAGGCCATCCTATTTCTGCTTGCACTGCTTGTCTGGCATTTTGAAGCAGTGACAGCATATTCAATCAACCATGAAGAGTTCCTTCCTCGAGGCCCTGCTAGTGTTGACGATGAATACACCTGTTCGAGGACCAAGAGATGCAAGATCGGGTGTTGCGGTCCACTGTAAGCTCAACGGTCCCCAAGCTTGGCAGTTTCTGGCTAACTTGGAGTCACTCAGAGACAAAACGACCGGCACAGGCAACTGCGGCTATGGCTTAGACTTCTGTGGAAAGGCGTGCAGTGCGGACTGTGACCGCAAGAGCGAATGTGACCCAGGCTGGGGACGTGAATGGTCGGTTGCCTTACACTGCCCTCTCAATGTCTGCTGCAGCAAGTTCGGATTCTGTGGTAAGTTTATCTTTGTGATTGTACTCATTGCTCAAGCAAGACTACTATCCTAACACTCGTTGCTCTATTATAAGGAACCACATCCAGTTTCTGTGGGGACGCCAAGGTGCTCTCGCCTGCGTGTAATGGGAAGAGTGCCCATGAACGGACCATCGGATACTACGAAGGCTGGAATCTGGAGCATGCATGCGGAAGTATGTGCTCTGAAGAACTTGTTTCCTATTCCTATTAAGGTTGAACATCATAGCTAACCCGAATCAACATAGAAATGACACCAGAGCAGATCCCTCTCGGCTACTACACGCACCTCAACTTTGCCTTTGCGTACATCGACCCTCAGACCTTCCGCATCGCCCTGATGAACAACAATACAGCATCACTGTACAAGGCAGTGACAGGACTGAAGCGCAAGCAATCGAACTTGCAGGTGTGGATCGCCATCGGAGGCTGGGCCATGAACGACCCCAGTCCGACGCAATTCACCTTCTCTGACCTGGCGGCCTCTCAAACCGCCCAAGACGCATTCTTCGAGTCGCTCCTCAGCTTGATGCAGACCAACGACTTTGACGGGGTGGACTTGGACTGGGAGTATCCGGTGTCAGAGGATCATGGCGGTCGCCCAGCAGACTTCGTCAATTTCGTGGCGCTGCTGAAGCGACTCAGGGAGCGCTTGGATCAGTCGGGGCGAAGATACGGCATTTCGATTACTTTGGTTCGTTGCTTCCATCTTTTGACTTTCACTTCCTGAGATTAGGCGATAAAAACACCTTCAACTGACTAACCTCCTCGCGACATCGATAGCCCGCATCCTACTGGTACCTACGCGGCTTCGACATCGTCAATCTCGAACCCCACGTGGACTTCCTCAACATGGTGACCTATGACATTCGTGAGCCAGTTCTTCTTCTCTCTCGTCCCAACTCTGCCTCTACTAATCATGTCCATGCCACAAGACGGAACCTGGGACAAAACCAACCACGACGACCCCTACAAGGCCTGCGCGCACACCAACCTTACGGAAATCAACCGCGCCCTTGAGCTCCTCTGGCGCAACAACATCAACCCCGCCCGCGTGAACCTGGGCCTGGGCTTCTACGGCCGCAGCTTCACGATGAAAGACCCACAATGCACGGCGCCGGGCTGCCAATTTACATCCGGCGGACGCCCCGGCGAGTGCACGACCACCGCTGGCGTGCTGTCAAACACGGAGATCCAAAAGGTGCTCAGCGTCAACGCCACAGGAACTCATGTTACGTTCTACAAGGAGGATGCCGTCAAGGTGCTCACGTGGGATAAGAATCAGTGGGTGATTTATGATGATACGGAGACGCTGAGGCTCAAGCTGGAGCTGGCGAATCGCCGGTGTCTGGGGGGCACGATGGTGTGGGCGGTGGATCTGGATACCGATGGGATGCTGATCGAGGCGTTGGGATCGGCGATGGGGAAGAAGAAGGCCCAGGTCTGGGATATTGGGGAGCTGTATTCGTTGTTGATCCCCGAGTGGGGCACTGAGGATGTGGATGATGTGCTGGGGTGGAAGGAAAAGCATCAGGACCAGCAGCAGGCTCTTATGGGGTGAGTATTCTTTCATGGTGTGGAGGATTTAATTGTGAGTGGTTTGTTTGGAATCTGGAGAAGGTTTGCTCGGAGATTACTCTGGGAGCTATTGTAGAAACAAGTGATATTCTGTTTTGATAGTTCGATTTAGATGAGAAATACGATTTGTTTGACGCGAGATCTCTTAACTTATTTTAACAGTGAGAAACAGTCCAAAGACAAAAAGAATAGATCAACATCGTAAAACAGTACGCGCATGGAAGTGCACATACACATGCTTGTACAGTCCTTGAAATGCATGCCTTAACAAAGTACTCAACCTTAGCATCCATGAGTAAACCCCCCGGACGCAAATTGCACATCATTATTGCCAAAGCACCTGGGATTACAGAACACCGGAGTGCGGAAGAAGGCCTCCCACTCCATGCCATCCTTCTCCTCCGCGCCATTCAGATATTCGAAGTCCCACGCCGTTACGCCGCCCCCGACGCAAGTTTTGGCACTGGGCAGCAAGGAGCGTTGACCGAAGCCGCCCGTGGACCAGCCGCGGCCCCGGATCCAGTACGACTCCCAGAGCCCGCGGTACTTGCTGCGGCAGCTGCCGTCGACCGCGCGGATGACGGGCCAGGGCCGCTTGAACGAGTTCATCACGTTGACCTCGTAGATGTAGTTGCCGGGCACCCAGCGGCCGCCGAACTTCCAGTTCAGGGGGTTGTGCTCCGGGTCGTTGCCGTCGCACGAGTTGATGACCCGGTCGAAGCTCTCGAGACACTGGTGCTCGTCGAACTTCGCCCCGTCGCGCAGGGTCAGGCGGAACCAGTGCTGTCGGGTGTCTGCTCGTTGAACCAGCGCTCCGAGCTCCACTCGCGCTCGTGCGAGCTGGTGGGCGGCTGGAACTCCTTGCAAAAGGTCTTGTAGTTGGCATTCATCAGGTCCGCCGAGGCGTAGTCCCTGCGGCCCTCCGGCTGCCAGCATTTGAAGATGTTGTCCGTGGCCTGGCACATCGGGTTCGCGACCTGCATGATCACGGCGCGCTGGGCGACGATCTCGCTGAGTACGAAGGAAGCGATGGTCTTGTGGCCGAACTCGTTTGGGTGGAAGAACTTGCCCCAGCCGTCGGGGAGGCCGACGTTGATGGAGCCGCTGTCGGCCGGGCAGTTGGGTGGGGACGGGTCGCGGGGGTTAAGGAGCAGGCTGCGCTCAATCCGGTCGGCTTCGATATGGACAAGATCGGTCAGGTTGGTGGTGGCGTTGGTGGTGTTGATTCCCAGCATGGGGTGCAGTTCGCCGGCCAGCAGACCAGGGGTGTCATCAAAATGCAGATCTACCATAGCTTCCACTTCCCTCTTGCGCAGTTCTTGATGTCCGTCGACTGCGGTGTTTGGTTTGAAGAAATGCAGGTACGGCTGCCTGGGATCGGGGTACTCGCCCGTCGTGCCAGGGACACAGAATTGACCTTTCATGCCGTAGCCCACAAAGGCGTCCCAGTCAGCGATCCGGATGTAGGGGTTCTGGTACACATGCCCACGGACGCCCAGAATCGTCTCTCTGATGGCCTTGTTGATGTTAATGACGAGCAGATTGAACTTGCGCCGGCGCTCAACCGTCAGCGGCAACCCACTAACAACCCCAAGACGAAGGAAAGACCAGTCATGCTTTGTAGAGCACTCCTCATTCTCAAGGTTGAAGAATTGGCCATACAGCACCCAGACAATCATTCCGTTGTAGCTGAGCTTGTACCTCAGCATATCGATAATCTCGCGGAGGTTGGGCTTCACGATGGTATCGATATTGTGCTGCGCCAGGTCCAGGACCTCCTGGAATTTGTCTTCGCCCTGAACGGGTAGAAATACGCAGGTTTTGATGATGTCGGCCTAATTCAAATGTTAGTTTCTGCTTGCCCTGCTACAAAGGTTAAGGTACGCTAGGACAAGATACATACCAAACATAGATCGTTGCCTCCAGCGCTGATGACCACGAGATCGAGATTGGTGGAAAGACTCTTGACCTGCTCGAAGATCTGTCCTGTTCGAGCTCCACTGCAGGCCTTGTACTCAAAAAGCTTCACCTGAGGGCCGAAGACGTGCTTGAGTTGACCGGGGTATGACTGGTCGTAGCGAGAACATTTGCGGTCATCCGCACGCTCACTCCAGAGTCTACCACTACCGATTCCAGCAGTATAGCTGTCTCCGACCGCCGCCCACTTCTTGACCCATGTAAAATCCCGAGGCGAGATGCTAGAGCGATCGCGCTCATGAACAGTGACATTGGAAACAGAGTCTGACGAGTTAAGCGAGACCGCGTGACTTGCTAAGAGACACAGGAGAAGACTAAAGATCATCATAGTAGAGATGAGTATGACTTAATGTTGAGAACGAAACTAAATGAATACAAGAAAGGAAGACAAGGAGACATAGCACAGTTCCAGGCGAACAGAACGAAAATGAGAGTGGTAGAGAGGAAAGATGGTGACAAGGAGAGAGTGGAAGAGAAGAGAAAGTTATATATGACACAAGCCAGATGAGAAGATATCGACAACCAGCCACAGAAATCATCGAATATTAACAGGATATCGCGCTACACCCAAAGCAGCTACTTTGGATCTACAAAGACCGCTTATAACCAGATCAGACCACATGGATCAGTGAAATTATCCATTCTTTATTGATAAGGACTCTGATTAGGCTGGCTCAGCAACCCCATAACCACGTGATCACGATCATACTCACGCGTCCGTTACAGCGCATGTTGTCGGACACCGAATTTAGATGTCAACGCGTACGAGGTCGTGTGGTACCCTCACGAGGTCTGGTTAGAACCTAGAAAAATCACAGACTGAAGGGAATGTTCCAAAGTGACCATTTCGAGGACTCTGTGTCCCTGAGAGTACGAGCAAGTAGGGTCGAGAACACGACCCCTTTAATTATGCAAGTTGGTCGACACTTTGAGTGGAAATCCGCGTGCCCGATACATGTGCGACTACTAAACTGAGTCTAAAGCAAGGGCTTCAAAAGTATATACAACGATATCTATGAAGTCTTATTGCAAAGCAACCTGTAGTAGCGGAGCAGTCGTTTACAGAACACGCTGTGTACCACCCGCCTACTGCGCCGACGCATCGGTTTCATTCGACCCAGCAACCACATACATCTTCTCCGTCTTCAGCCGATCCAAAGCACTCTGCGGCAATCGCAACGTGTCCGCCACGATCTGCTTGGGGGTAGATCCGATCCATTGGCCGAGCGACACATCTGGTTTCTGGTTAGCAAAGCATCGCGAGGGAAAACCTGACGAGCGCAAAGAAAATGAAGGACTCACCAGAAAATTGATCCGCCTGCAACACCTCAACAAAGACCAAATCCTCATCGCCGGTGTTCTCGATATAATGGCTGTTAGACTGAGGGAAATACCCCACGTCTCCAGCGCGGAAGTCAAAGGTAGTGGCGGTGCTGGGCGCGGTAAACAAGGTCGCGCGACCCTGGCCCTGGATGAAAAACGTCCACTCGTCGCTGGTCGGATGCCAGTGAATCTCGCGCATACCGCCAGGATGCACAGTGACCACGGCAGCGGCGAAGTTGTCGGCGACGGGGAAGGTCAGCGGGTCGACGATCTTGACGGATCCGCCTTCCACCTCGTGGGCGGGCTGCTCGGAGAAATGGTAGGAGTAACTTTGACTCTGAGGGACAATGCCTGCGGTGCCGGTCACATTCTGCTCGCTGATGTTTGCTGGCGCGGGCGTGCCGGGGAAGATGTACAGTTCGTCCTCGGGGATATCGTCGAAGGCGGCGACGGGGAGGTCAAAGTTCTTGGCTAGAACAGATTTCTGTCGACCAGGAAATGAGCATAAGTGGCTGTAGTCAATAAGTAGCTGATAATTGGGTCAAACCTACAGGCTGGTGGGCAAACACTTCGGTGGCGAGGAATGTGTTGTCCTCGGAAAAGGCACCGTCATCGAAGACCAGTAGAAACTCTACCCCGGAGTCCAGGGCCTGGATCGAGTGCGGGATTCCACTTTTCGCACATTTTGGGTCAGTCACTGATTGGGCGCCCAGCTTATCAAGCTCATGTCGCAAAAATAGGGACGTACGGAGGGAAAAACCAGACATCACCGGCTGTTACGTCATCGACAAAGGTCTGTCCATTTTCGTTCACAGCCTGTGTAATGTTAGTGAGAGTATCAGGTAAATCGCAACCAGCGAGTGCAGAACAAAGCCCACCTCGATCCGACATGATCCGTTCAAAACCAATGACCACTCGCCCGCAACATGCCAGTGCAGTTCACGATACGCCCCTGCCTCCAGACGCATATCCACTCCGGCCATTTTCGTAGCTCCTGGCATCACCACAGTATTCTCCTGTCGCGCCCATCCAGATTCATTCATTCCGAGCCTATCTACTTAGTATTGCTTCGGTACTTGCAACGGGCTGACTTACCGGTTGTGACTGAGTCCTGCTTAACCCGTCAGTGGCGAACCTTAACCAGACAAAGGAGAACACTCACCCATGGGCCATTGCGCATTGATTGTCTGTCCTTCATCCGTGCCAGGGGGCGCCAATTTGTCACTGTTGATGCGATCGTAGTAGGTGTTTCCTGCAGAAGTGTGCCATCACATTAAAACCGCTGTCTCTCATTCGCATAAAAGGAGGAAGCCTGACTTGGACCTGGATCCGTCGCGCCCTTATTCCCCCGGATCGGCTGCGGACTATCCGAATCCTCAAAATCGAGGTACACGCCGAGATCGGCGTCGTCATTTTGACCATCCACCGGCGTGTACGTGATGGCTTCCGTCGTCTGATCGGAGAGCGTGTTCGACGAGGAATACCCCAGTAGGTCTTCCGATCCTCGCAGTGGGGGGTTGCTCGTTGGGGCGCCTTGGATTCGCGAGGAGAACAGCGTCGCGAGAGGAAGAGAAAGTAACAATGCAGACTTCATCATGTCTCTGCGCGTGAGAACTCGAGAAGAGGGAATTGAGAAGATGAAGATGGTTGTTTGAACGGAAAGGAGCCCTGCAACGCGTCCTGCAGCTTCTTATATATACCCCTGGCCCCATTTTGGGGTCAATCTTCGGGACCACAGGCCCGCAGCAATCCTTCCCCTCACGCTGCAGCTGGTTCAGATGACGTTGAACCATGTATAGTCGCTGCTCGATCGTTTGCATACCCCTCACGAAGCGGAGACATGTTGGGAAGGGCTAGGGCTGCAACCATTGCGCAGCCCGCTGGCTGGGCGCACCGCTGCTTACCAAGTGGAGATACTGGTAACCATGAGTCCTCAGAAAAGGTGGTTTGTTTTTGATCGTTAGGTGAGCAAGGCAGGAGATGAAGGTAGGGAGGGGCTCATAAGGGCTAGCCGTTTAAGAGTTGACTTCTTCGGCACAATGGTGGAGCCAAGGGGACCTTGTTGGGTGAAATTTCCACGCAAGCACGGTATGTCTACGTGTTGTAAATCTGCAACACACGTACGATGTCCAGTAAGAGAAGAAAACAGTTTGTGGTGGAGCTCGTTGAGTGCCGCGTAGCCAGGATTGTAACTCTGACGGATACCATAATAAACCTACTGACAGAATTGAGGTGTGTATGTAGTGCACATCTCCCCCTCCCGCGTGCGGGGAATTCTTGTCCAATGCTTGATTTTCCCGGTGCAGATGATCCAGTCCCATTTATGCAGCTGCATGGAGCCGCGACCAAAAAGGCTAAAGGCCTATTTGCCAGACCCAGTCGTGGCTGTTCGGTTCTCCAATCCGGGAGCTCGGCATCTCAGTCGCGGCCCCCGGATTAACCAGGAGGAATGCTGCCTGCTTGCCCCGCATGATATCAGATGCTTTTAATATCGCAGCCACTGTTGGCTGGAGGACTCAAAACACTGGACGGAAATACTCGTTCTCGGGAATTTCTAACCATCCACTGCGACGTCCTTCAGCCACCGCATGCATAATCCCGGTCCAAGAATAGCAGTCATCTCCGCACATCACCGAGCCCTAAGTCCGACGAGTGGCACGGACCTAGTATGTACTCTCCTCCACATCAGGAACTCACTTCGAAGGCCCGTCATCTCACTCTTTAGCGAAGACTGTCATCAGTGAACAAGCTGCCATTCAAGCTGACCTCATATTTGCCCTTCTCCTCACGACCCCTCACCCTATCCGCCTTTTCCGTATTCTTGCCAGCTGACCTCCCTCCCCCCTTGCGTCTCTCCCTTCCGCTTCCGCTTCACCAGTGTCAAATAGCGGTGTATCATCACAAACCACGAGGTGACGAAGTGACATGGAAGGAGATGAGGTATTCACAATCGGGCTAACCTGAGCGGCAACCTTGGGAGTCAATCCGCTCCACTTCTTCCCGCATCTACCTTGTGACAGCAAGTTAAACCTGCTTTTCGGTTTCATCTTGGCCCAATTCCCCCTGCACGCGGGATTTATAAATCCTTCAGCCTGATTATGCAGGGAGTTAGACTCAAGCATGAAGGTTCCGTTTGCTGGACAGGAAATTGTTTGGGAAGGATTTCGATGCAAGTCAGCACTTGAAAGATAACACGCCCTGCCACTGTGCATTGGACCACTATTCTGCGTGGCGAGGTAATGTTTAGCCATTTCAGACATTTTACGTGATTTCAATACACTGATTTTATGCTTCAATAAGACCTTTCCGAGGCACACAATTTCAAAGCTCTATTCTTGGACTTTGCTGAACACAACTTCAATATGATCGCAGTAAGAGTTACAAGTGATTTACTCATGGAAGGCAATACCTCCAAATACTGAAGAGAAGGAACTAGGACAAGTATGTCTCGAGTAATATTGCCCCTGGTAGCAGAATACATGGTGCTAGTCTGATCTCTGCGACCATCTCACAGCATACACTTCCTAGCACGGCTGAATTCATTCTCAATCCGACCGGGTCAAGTTAATGCGTCGCTAGTCAGAAAACCAGGACCCCAAAAGTAGGAGATTAAATTCTACCCAATGATATAATATCTACAGTCACTATTATGCTGACCTTCTCTGATGTGCGAGGCTTGGCACGCTCATTGACCTGCTCTTCCTGTCCTACTTTCTCATCTGGGATCAGGAAACCTGCCCTACATCAAGGGTCTCTCCACAGTACAATACATATTTCAATGTTCGTCATGCAATGAATCACCGAGGGCCCTCAAAAATCTCTGGCTCTGTTCGAAAATCGCATGTCTGTCATGCCACTTCCGTTTGATAAGAGTTAGAATCAAGATTCATCCATATGTTCGATCGCCTCTGCAACCGAGTTGTCTTACCCAGCACAGTCTCCCTTGAATTTGTCCCTATATTCAAGACCCCGGAGTCATGTAGTGCACTACATTGAATGGATTCAACGCCAATACCGGAGCGCCTTCCGCATTTCCCCCACCCCTGAATAGACACGGTGCCTCGCTGCCGTCATCAGAACACTACCAAGACTCCATGCTCAGTCGACAGCGGACGATCCTGGCACGCTTACGTGTCGAGCTCGAGGATCCCAGCCCGCAACGTCCACTATACCTCCAAGCAAACAATAGACAGCCCGCAAAGTAGCGCTGCGTCAGCGCCACTGACCTAACTGTTCCCCTCATTCCCGAGAGCACGGTACCCGGAAAGCAAACACCATTCGCACGTACCAGCCCTTGAAAATAACCCAATCAGTAGAACAGGCTAACCCCTCTCCTCTCGAACGGGGCAAAACCGAGGTCTAGAACAAGGATGGAAAAGACAACACCAGCGGGTGGGTCGCTGTCCAAGTAAGTATGCAGGCGGCGACCGGGGCGAAAATCGGGTCAGTGCGCGGAGAACTTGTGACGGTCGCGCGATCCCCACTACTGAATGGCATTCTTGAGTATCCTTCTCCTCTCTGCCCTCGTGGGTCATAACTTTCCCTCTTTACTATGGTCATAAGAGTTTCAAGTCGTTAGATTGTGATTTTCGGCATATAGCTAATTGTCTGGAGTTGAATTCATTGACAGGGGTGCCTGACTAGGGCACCGGTTATCACGGCAAGCACGGCAAGATCAAGGCTCCAGGCTAATTTTTAGCTACGTCTGCACTGTATGTACATTCTTTCTAGCGCCGCCGCTAAGACCCGAGACTTGTCTGTTGGTTTTGTGATAAGGTCATTCGAGGTGATCTGCGGGATTGAGTCCCGCTGTTCTTTAACCCCATATAACCCTCACTCGATATCAGAGATCGGGTATCCACTGGCCTAGCTATAGGAGAAAATTCAGCCCTACGAGGCATGATCTCTCATCGACTGTCTGTCCCACCGGAGCTTGCAGTGTACGGCCGTTCGGCACCGGAACTTCATGCAGCGATCGAGATCCACCTGTGGTATTAGCTTGATGCGACGCACGTTGTAATATACTATCCGTTGGGGCCTCCGATGAGTTGATCTTCATTTTTTGTCCCATGGCGATCACACAGCGTATCGCTTTTATTCTGACGTTAGGAGGGAGAGACCCTCAGTCGCAGACCACCTCGTCCGGTAGGATCACTGCCTCTGCAGTGCACTTCGGCCTGAAGACAGAATACCTCTCGCATACTATGACTTGAAGAAATCTACTAAAAATGACGAGATCCAAACCAGCTTTGGCCTCGTCTGGACTCTGAGCTTACTGGTGTTCTGTACCTGCTACAATCAAGCATCAAGAGCATCAATCATTGAACATTGGTTTAACGTCTGCGCACAACCCGCGCACATATCTATATTCCACAAAAAAGCTAAACAGTCTTCACCCCAGCACCCTGAATCAACACCTTAAACTCCTCCTGCGCCTCCGTCCCCAGCATGTGAAACGGCCTCCGCACGCCACCGGTGGCGGTCCCCGTCAACTCCAGCCCCGTCTTGACGGCGGCGGCATAGTTATGGGACTCGAGGAACTTGCAGATGGGCCAGGCCTTGGCCCACAGCTCGCGGCCCCGGGCCAGATCGCCGCGCACGGCGACCGCCTCCCACAGCTCGACCGCCAGCTCGGGGATGATGTTGGCCGCACCCCAGACCCCGCCGCGCGCGCCCGCTGCCAACCCGTAGAAGGTCAGCGTGTCCCAGCCGTTGAACGCGGTGATCTGATCCGACAGCCCGAACAGCATCTCCGTCAGGGCGGGGGCGTCGCCCGACGTATCCTTGAGGTAGCGCACGCCCACCTCCGACAGACTCGCCAGCTCCGCGGGCGTCAGTTTCAGCCCCGTGGCGGAGGGGATGTTGTAGTAGACGATGGGCAGCTGCGTCGCTTGTGTGATCTCGGCCATCAGGGTCTTGAGTTCGGTTAGGGTGACTGCGTCGTAGAAGGGGGGTACCACCATCAGCGCTGAGGCGCCGGCCTCGGCGGCGTGCAGGGAGAGCTCCAGTGTCTCCCGGGTGGTGAGGGCCCCCGTGCCGGCGATGACGGGCACGCGGCCGTCGGTGTACTTGACGACGAGCTCGGTGAGTTGTTTGCGTTCTGCAATGGTCATGGCGGTGAATTCGCCGGTGCTGCCGCCGGGAACGAGGCCGTGCACGCCGGCTTTGATGAGGCGGTCGATCAGGGCCTGGAGGCGCGGGGCGTCGATAGCCGTCTGGTCGTCGGTGAAGGGGGTGATCAGGGCCACCATGATCCCGTGGAGGTCGGCCATTGTGTTCTTGATTGTGGTGATGTTGAGTGGGGTGGTGGATGTCTTTGATCTAGACTCCGCACAATTGAGGATTCAGAGCAATGGGTTTCTGATTGAGATGCCATTAAACACAAGCTTGGACTGGTACTCACTTAAGTACCTAGAGTTTCTGGCGACGAATCCATCGATGGAGGATGTTTCCACGCTGCCCCTCCAGTTGATCGCCTGAATTGGCAGGTGGTTCCGCGGAACTCCGAATTCGGCAGGTTGGGCGTCAGCCCTGAAAACTGGGGTAGATCTGAACATATCATCTGATAAGGATGTCCTTCCGAATCTGTGAACTCTCCCTATTTCGATTGTTATACTTATATCCAGACGGAGCTTGGTTTGAAGCGTCATATGTGCACAGTACTTCGTAGGCACCCGACCGGAGCCTCCGATCGCAAAGATTGTGTTGACATCTGCAGCTGAGGACTCGAACGGTTTATGAAGGCAAACCCATTTTCTAAAGAGAAAAAGCCTACAGGAGAGCTTTCGGCTCCAGTCGAGAGCAATGAGAAAGACATCTACTGGGTTTGGGGATAGTAGCCCCAATACTAGAATCTCTACTTCAAGGGTTGAATGTATGCACAACAACTTTCAAAAAGCTTCACTCGATTGTCTCACTGGAACTAGGTGCAAGAGACAGTCACTGTCTTTCCGTTTCCCGCTTACTTACACAAATACACATATTCAACGGTGACCAGGGTTCCTTAGTTATCATTATTGGCGCAAGACCAGGCAGAGGATCCCCCGGTCTTCTCGTAAGACGAGATGATACTCACTATGGAGCTATATGTGCCCCCGATGGTCAAGAAGAAGCCTGTCAGGATGACAAAGATACACCAGGCAACCATCAAGCACCACCGCAGAGACTTCTTCTGCCGGCCCGGTCCCCAGTTGTCATACAGCCACATACATCCCATCGGTTGGAAGCATAACGACGTGGCGAGAAGAGCCCCCACAAGTGATACCAGATCGCTAAACACCGGGATGCTGCTTGCGACGATATATGCGACCGAGGTCACCGTAAAGGTAGACCCGAGCCAGACGATCCAGTGAGTCCGAGTCTGGCCAGTCAGGTGTTTGGTGCCTCGAAGAATGCGGATGAAGATGTGTTTAGCGGGCAACTTGTGTAATGTTTGTTAGTTAAGGCGAGGCATGGTGAAAGGATCGGGATCAGCACGGTGTGGACTCACATGAAGCATCAGAGTGGCGGAGACAGCCAGCCCCGGGAGAGCAAACCCGTAGCTAATCTTCTTGATCAGGATTCCTGCAGAACCTAGAGCGGGTGATGCCACATGCGATCCGCAGTAATAGTACACGACTGTTCCGACTACAATGTAAATGACCGTGACAGTGACTTGACAGATGGTTAGGGCTCGAGTGAAGTGTCGCGGGTCACGCATCTCCGAGACGATGTTGAAGAAGGCTGGGGTTCCCGCGTAGGTTAATGAGATGGTGGAGAGAGCGGTCATGGCCTCGACAAAGGTCGGATTGCCAGAGAGCTTGTAATCTGGCTCTGGGATCACGCCGCCTGTCATCGGAGCATGACCTTGGATTCCAACGGCGATCGTGAGGATAGAGACTGGCGATTGTTTAGTTTTAGATGGATATGTGGTGGGACTCAGCTCACCATACCTGCAGTAATGATGCATGCAGCACCTACCCAGGCCAACCAGCTAATACGACCAAGTGTTTGAATACTAGAGAACATCAACCCAATAACTGCAGCGACCGCTACGAAGGCTGCAGTGCACGTCCCGTGGTCAGAGAGCGCGTTCAGGGAAATCGAGATGCTCAACAGAGCCGAACCACCAACAAAGATCCAGTCTAGCAAGAGGTTAGATCCCGAGTCAAAATCATCTAGAAAAGTGATCTCTCACACAAAGTGTATGCTGCACCGAGTAGTTCATAGCCAAAGCGTCCAAACAGCATTTTTCCCACGTCGTCAATCCCATAGACACTGGGGTGGCGTAGTTTAAAAACACCCACCATCCAGTTCGACCAAGATGTCATCCCGGCGATTGTTAGAAGAAGGATTATTCCGGGCACTATTCCAAGGATATCGAAGACTTTAGGCATCGAAAGAACTCCCAGGCCGATTTGAGTTTTAATCATGAGAGCTGTTGTTCCCAACCAGCTCACCTAGGCTTTGTCAGTTTGACGGGATGATTCTTGGAGAAATCCTTAGAGATCTCACATTCCGATAGTTGGTATCCCCTTCACGGATCTCACCGAATACAGCATCATCTTGAATCGGCTCGCTGGATGCTTCATCAATCTGTGATTGCGCACGGGCAATGCTGTCCCGGTCAGGTTCAGAGGCTTCTTGTTTCTTCATGGTAGACATAGCTTTGGTAAAGGGTGTAGAAGACATAGAGATGAAATCCGGACAAGGGGCATTCCGATATATCTACGGGTGCACTAATTATCTAGACCTGACGCCCATCCCCAGTTATTGCCTGATTGCGCTTAGTGTGGCCCACCTGTTAGATATGGGGATGCGGGGAAGCAGATAAAGTAGAGAATATGGAAACTCCTTCCGGAGAATAAGAGCATGATAAGTGCTGCACGCCCTCATTGCATCTTTACACCGAGGGGTGGGGCTAGGAATCACCCCCATGCGGCGTGGATAACCAGTTACATGTCTGTTCCCAAACTCTGTTCCTTATCGAGATGCATATCACCTGGAGGTTATCGAGTAGACAAGTCTTGATTGCAGGCAAAGCAGATTTGCCACCATATCTATCAAGAGCTAGGCAGAAGCCTGATAGGGCAAGTGCTCCCCTACTTTACGTTTACTTGCCCAATCATCTTTGGGAACGAGAACTATGTTCAACCTAGATATGCCGTCGGACTTATCGAGAGCTCTTATGGCTCCTCCTTCCCGTGAAAATTATGCATCATGTGTTTCAAGTAGTCATCCCCCTTTTCGTCAGGCAGGTACAGCAGGCCCACAAAAGCATATCAAAGACGACTCCTTGGAACCTCATCCTGCCGCACAATCGAGTCAACCAGCTCCCGAACCTTCAACGCCACACCGTAACTAAAGATATAACCCAGCCCGGCAAACCCGTAGGCATGTACGACATCCCCCTCAGCTTCCAGCCGATAACCCCCCTTCCTCCCCGGTCGGAAGGCGACGATATCCTCTTGAACATCCTTGTCCAGATCGACCGACAACAGACCGCCATTCGTCATCGTATTCACCCGCTGAAGAATATCCGCGCGTAGATCTGTATCCACGTTACGATCCAAATTGCCGGGCTGGCTCACGCCTCCGATGATCGCACCATTCGTGAACATCCGCGGGATAACATAGGTGTAATGCGAGCCCTGATGCATCATCAGCTGGTCGACAAAGTCCGTCTTGACGAACATGGTCTGTCCGCGGATTGCCTCCACATTCTTGTCGCCGGCGAGAGTGTATGCGCCTAGCCCGGAGGCGTGGACAATGATCTTCGCTCCGGTGAGCTTCTTGGCTTCTTCGATCGAGCTCAGCGTCTTCCGGATGAAGGTCACCCCACGAGCCTGCAGCTGCTTTTGGATCCATGGAAGGAGGTATGCGGGGTTGATCGTCATGGAGGTATATGTGAATCCGAGCTTCACTCCATCGGGCAGCTTTTCCTTTGGAATCAGACGGTAGCGCGGTACGACTGTCTTGTACCAGATGGTGGAATCGTCGTCGCGGTCGTCATAGTGTTCCGTTGCTTTTATGACCTGGAAATATCACAGGGGATGGGTTAGTGGGAAGCTCATGACACGAGCAGGATATGCACGGTCGCCGGCTTACTTGAACACCGCTCGTTGGATCGCGATGTGCTAGTGCCCAGAAGTATTTGAAGTTCTCGGTCTGGAGGGACTCGCCGCCTGCATCGGGGTGGGGGAAGATCGAGACGCCGGCCCTGTTGTGTCGTAGTTTAGCAGTGGAGTTCAGTATGAAGACATGAGCGTTTTGGGGGGGAGAGAGAAAAGCTCACCAAGGACTGGCCCAGTCTTGAGTTTCATCGCCCGGTAGATCGCGGGCCACGATGGTCACTTGGTAGCCGGCATCGGTGAGGGCCAGAGCCGACAGAAGGCCGATGATACCCGAGCCGATAATGCCCACGTGTTGCATCTTGGTGGATGACTGTGATTGAACGACTAAACTTTGCATTGAGGATCCCCAGGAGAAATGGTTTACGGTTGAAGTATTTACATAGCCAACAACTGGAGCTGCCTTCTGTATAGGTATAGAGATCGATAGGCTGAAAGTCAGCCGGAACCACTTGCCAAAATCGGGCTGTCACGCCAGTCTCAGTCTCAGTCAGGGCCGTCATCCCCGCCAATTCCCCCGCCTTTTCATGGGTCCTCAGATCAGTCCCATAATTCTGTGTGCATGGGCGCTTTCTGCAGGTATTATGTGTTACTGTAATTCAAGTATCGTGAGGATTTCTGGATAGTGGGCTAAGTACAAACCATGTCTAGACCGCAGGTTCGTAGCAGGGTAGCAACATCGACGGAATGATTTGGCAAGATATTACCCATTCACAGGTCCTGCCTATCGCACCGCACTATCAGCTCAACTGAAAGATAAACCCACAGGCTCTTATGCATCTGACACTTAACAATGCTCAGAATTGGTGATCTTCCGGATCCGTGGCCAAAGCGCCCTGCGTAGCAAACAGGTTAGGAAAGGGCTTCCGGAACCCCTCGGAAATGTCACAGAACCTAATTAACTCGCCCTAAAGCTTGCTATCAAAGAGATAGGCAAGTTGTTCCGCCAATGTTTTTTGATAAGAAAGGTTTGCTATGCCAAATCTCTAATTTGGCCCAGCAGCCGATTTCGACCATACCTACCCCAACTATAGCCCTGTTCTTAGCAATTTGCAGCGCGAAGCACGACCGCCTAGGGAAAGAAGAATGCGATCGCGCCGCAACATCTCCCTGGTATGCTGCCACTGCGAAGGCGAAGTCGGCGACGTGATCGTCGGCGGGGTGCTCGACCTTCCCGCGCCAACGATGCACGCCAAACTCGTGCGCTTCATGGCCGAGCACGACGACCTGCGCCGGCTGATCCTCCACGAGCCCCGGGGTCGCCTCGAGATGAGCGTGAACCTAGTCCTCCCACCGTGCGACCCGCCCGCCGACGCCGGCTTCCTGATCATGGCCCCGGGCGACTGGGTCCCCATGTCCGGGTCGAACACCATCTGCACCACCACCGTCCTTCTTGAGACCGGGATGATCCCGATGCAAGAACCCACAACTGAGGTGAAGCTCGACACAGCGGCCGGGCTGGTTACGGCCACGGCTGAGTGCTACGAGGGCCGGTGCAAGTCCGTCTCCTTCGACAATGTGCCTGCGTTTGTGTACGCGCTCGACATGGAAGTCTCGATTCCGGACATAGGAAGTGTTCGGGTGGATATTGCATACGGGGGCCAGTGGTACGTGATCGCCCAGGCGAAGGATATGGGAACTGTACAGGTTCGGACGGCCGAGAAAGACCGGCTAGTCGAGTTGGGTCAGCAGCTGAAGGCGGCGGTGCTGGCGCAATGTATGCCCACGCACCCTGCGAACCCGGCTATCCGGGGCATCAATAATGTGATCATCAGTGAGCCGCTTGTTGAGCGGGATGGTGGGCTTTCGGTGAGGCATACGGTCATTGTGACGCCGGGGAGGCTAGATCGGAGTCCCTGCGGGACGGGAAGCTCCTCGCGTCTGGCAGTGCTCCACGCACGGGGACAGGTACAAGTTGGGGGGGAAGTGACCTTCCGCAGTATCATCGAGACCGAATTCGTTGGTATCATACGCGGGGTGCAGAAAGTCGGGGATATTGATGCGGTGCTACCGACGATACGGGGCAGAGCGTGGATTACAGGCGAGCGTCAGGTGCGGTTAGATCCTGATGATCCATTCCAAACCGGGTTCTTGATTTGAACGCAGATGAAAAGATTGTCTGTGGTGCCAACATAGGATCTAAAGAGACTCCCTACTGGAGTACATCTCTGGCTATGCCTCCTGTGCATACTTCTTTGTTTGTGTAAATATCTAGATATCATTCACCATACGGGACTTTGGCTGATCACCAAAGGCGTCCAATTACTCTCCAACAAGCCCCAAGCCACATCTCCACGAGGTGGCTACCACGGCTTTACATGGGCTAAATTCTACCCCGGGTTCTCACCTTTCAGATGTGCCTCAGGACTGCTCTTGGCAGGTCTCCTTGAAAGAAAGTGCTTCGGATTTCCTATTGCAGTTTCGGCTAGGAAAAAATCTGATCGAGGATGGAAAGCGTTTCCGCGATCGTCTGCCAGCAACCTTGCCGTGTTTTATCTTCGATACGCGCTGATCATTGGATGGGAGCTTGTTCCCCACCGTTCGCTGCGATCTTTCAAATCCTTCGGAGGCGGAATGCTAGTCCTCGTAAATCCTTCTCCTTAGGGCACGGCTTCGCCCCCAAACATAGTCAACATCTGCACGTGGGTAACATAATCATCCTCAACCGATCTGAGCAAGAACGAGACTGAAGCCTGAGCTCCACACCCCCACCAGCGGCACTATAGCAGATACTGTAGTCTCTTCTATTGTCCTTTTCGTTCCTTCACGTTTCTTTATCTCCCGCTTTGTCCTTCATTCGAAACACCGACTGCAGCAGCTCAGGCATGATTGCGGCCTGAGGCAATCAATATGCTACATAAAAGGTCGAAGATATCGAGAACCCCACTGAACACACTGGGAAAAGCACAGATTGTATACCTGACGAATTCGACGGCAAGACATACTGCTTCCTAGATTACCAACCTCGCATGAACGCACTTTCATTCCCAAAGAGGCGAAATGAAAAGGCCAATTTCTAGATACGCAGCCCCGGTATCCAACCCTTCCACTGTCGCAGCCACACTTCCATCAAAGAAGCATCTACCGGTCCCAGCCCGCGCAAGGCGGCACTGAACTTCTGCGCATTGCTTGTATCCGCAGGAGGTCGTACCCAGCCCTGGGATCTGGCTAGCACGGCGAAGAAGTCTATAAGTGATGCCGCAGGCAAGTCTTGCAAGGTGGTCTGCTCCAGGTTCGGGTCCGACAGCCGTCGTTCCAGGCTCTGGATCCAGTCTCTGAGGGGGATGATCTGAGCACCACAGGCACGACTCGCCACCCGCGCCAGTGGCTCCCAGGGGCTGGTATGCGGGTTGACGATATGATAGACCTCTGCACGGCGTGCCGGGGGCGAACACAATGAGTCGACGCCACATCGCGCGAGGGTGATCTGGGTAATGCTTCGAGCAGCGATATCCTAGACACCATGCCTTGTCAGTCTTTTCCGGTCAAGGTATTCTACCCACAGCTAACTCACAATTGGAACCCAATCCACGGGAATTGACCCTAGGCTGTCAGGCAGCTCTCCCAAGGTGTGGGAGGTCCGGATAAGAGCAGGAAACCAGTCGCGGGAAGTCCACATGCCCGCCTTTGCATGCGAAGGGCCTGCCAATTGACCTACTCGATGAATGGCGATCGTGTTCGGGCGCTCCTGTGCGAACAGGTCACAAAATACCTCGGCCGCAAACTTCGACTCCGCATAACCTTGATGGAGGACTAAGGACGGGTCATGCAGCGTTTCGGTAATATGGCTGGCGGTGACCGGCGCATCCGACCTGCAATCACTGACGGCGGCAATCGACGAAACAAAATGAAGGGCCGCCTGGCGGGTCGAGCCCTCGATCAAGGACAGCAGGCGCCGTGTCCCCTCCAACTGGGTCTCAAAGCTCGAAAGGGGCAGATTGAAGTTCACCATCCACGCATTGTGCACGACCACGTCGACCCGCTCGCGCAAGTGGTGGTATGCATCCGATGTCAGACCGAGACTCTCCTGGCTCAGGTCGGCCTGCCAGAAATGTACGCGGGAGGTTTCCTGGAGCCAGCCGTCTGCGAGCCTCTTCTCTTGGAGCTGGACCAGCTGTCGTGCTTGAGCATCCGCGGAGCGATTAAGGCAATAGATCCGCATGACGGTCGGGTCCTGTAGCAGTTCATGTAGGAGGTAGCTGCCAAGCTCGCCTGTGGATCCAGTCAGCAGCACGGTCTTCCCACGGAGCTGCAAATCTTGTGCCTGCTGCCAGACCGCGCGGGTCAGCGTATGGTCGCGCGGCCAGTTGACAGACGAGGGTGTCTGGCCCTCCGCAATATCCAATCCAGAGCCCTGGCCCTTTTGTTTATACAGCGCTTCGGCCAGTCGTCGCACGGTCGCATGTTCATAAACGGCGGCGCTGGTCCAGGAGAATGCTGGCGGATGGGGCGCTCGGATCCGATTGGAAGCGTCCTGTAGTCCCTGGGCAAGACGAACGACCTGCAGGGAGTCGATGCCCAGGTTGACGATGTCGGTGCTCGGATCCACGGCACTGACCCCTGATATCTTCGCCACCAGGCGTTGCACCCACAACTGGAACTCTTCACGATTTGAGTCTGGCAGCGCGTCCAGATCTTCTACAGTGCTGCCAGGCTCTGGTGCAGGGTTATACAGAGCATCAATCACATCCTTGTAAAGTTGGCTGGTTTCTCGCCGGCGCAGTACGCCCTTCGGTGCCAGTGCAAAAGGTCGATCGGGCGATGCAAGTGCAATGTGGGTGCGGTGGACCTGTCCATGAGCCGGCAACAAGCCATTGGCTTCGTCGAGAATGGGTGCCAGGTCACGTAGGAGCGACTCCTGGGTCCAGGATTCCGGCAGGCTGTCCCACTCAGACTCTACTAACAAGGCCACCTGAAACCGCTCCTGACCGAAGATGGCCGCCCGATGGACAAGAGGGTGGGTTTCCAAATGGCGTTCGGCGTCCACGGGATTCAGCTTCTCACCGTTGCTAAGCACAATGACATCGTCTGCTCGCCCCTTGGCCCGCCAAAGATTGGGCTTGGAAGAGTGAGGTTCGAAGAGATCTCCGGTGTGATACTCGGTCAGATGCGGGAAGCTGTGGAAGACGCCGTGATATCGGCGGGAAGAAGGGCGAGGGAGCACCAGCTGCCACAGACCCTCACCGGCTTCCTCCATGCGATGGTCGAAGGATGGATTCCATTCAAAAAAGTCCCAGTCTGCGGGATCTTCGCAGAGAAGCGTCGCCGTGTAACCAGTCTCGCTACTGCCCATTAGTGTCTGCAGCCGGAGCTGAGTAGAGATCGCATCTCCGATCGCGCTGGCGAGAGGCGCCCCACCAAAATTCATTTCTTGCAGTTGCAGCAAGGCCAGTCGCCCTTGTTCAGAGGACCAGAGATCTTGCAGGAGGAAGGGGCTGAATAGACCCCATCGAGGTGGAACGGGGGCGGACATGATGCGGGAGAACAGTTCAGGGGTGAGAGGTCGATCGGGAGCCAGCAGGAAAGGAGTTTCATAGAAGATACACTCAGCTAGACAGAGCAGGCCCATGATATGAAACATAGGCCCGTGAAGAAATCGCATCTTGCCCATGTTCCGTAGAGCGCCCATGGCGGGCTCCCGACCTGGAGGCACAGGGAGGGTCTGCATCTGGTCTATGGTTGCCAGATACCCGTGTGTCAGCGTGATGGGCTTGGGCATCCCCGTGGTCCCGGAGCTATGGACTATCGAAGTTGGACGGTCTTCAATGTCAGTGTAGCTTTCTAGGTGAGGATATTCTGGGACAGGAGAAGATGCGAAAATGTCCCAAAATGGTGCCATCCGCCATCGCTCAAGTCCAAGATCTGAGCAACTTTCATCAACCTCCTCGATGATCTTCTGTAATTGAGCTCGTTCGCTTCCATCCACGAGCACCGAACAACGTGTCTCTGAGATCAGATGGTGGAAAGCAGGCTGCGAGTTACGCGTGGAAAGCAGTAGTGCCTGGTATGTATCGCCGTCAGTAACGGAACCTTAGCTCGCCGTGAAAACAAAAGAGAGTCGACCACGCAAAGAACACGATGCAAGCAGAAGTGTTTCTTACGACATGACCTGTTTTCATGCATGCGAGCGCAAAAGCACAGTATCGCAGATCATTTGTCCCGATGTACGCAAGGACCTGTTTCTCTTTCCCCTGGAGCTTCTCCTCGATCCACCAGGCTACACGGTCCACGGCACACGACAAGTGCTGGTACGTGATCGGGCGCCATTCGCACTCGGCATCTTGGGAGGTTGGGTGAACACAATACAAGCGGTCGGGTTGACTTTTTGCTTGCTGGTCTACCAGCTGAGCTAGGAGTCTCGGTGCGAGATCGTTGGATCCCATGCTGTCTGCGGTTGTTTTACGGGTCAATGGTCGAAATAGAGCGGCGGTTTGAAGCGAAAGAAAGTCGAAAGTTATATATTGCACAGATGCCAGTCTCACTTCCCAAACTTGGCATCGTGGCAAATTCGCTTTATCGAGAATATGTTTGCGCGGTAAGCGCGCATGATCGTCGCTTTTGTGACGCAATTCGGCTAGACTGATGGTGATGCATGCTGGATGATCTTCGGACCTAGAAAGAGCCATGGCGACCGTGCAGCATTCCAAAGCCCTTGTCTTTATGCAGAGACTTCTAAGAATTGTCAGCACCTACTTGTTCGAGCTTCCCACATCTCGATACTTCCCCGTATGCTTTGAAGCAGAAGCGTGCTATAACACAAACCCCCTTGTTAAGTGCGTCATCATAGTCTTAAGGCACAGTGATCAACGAGTCAGACCCGAATTGGCAAGCCACACCAGAGATTAACGTCCAGAAATCAAGCTGAAGGAGAGACTACAGGCTGTTTGGAAAAGTGGTGACTCGGTACTGGGTAGAACAGAGCTGCTATGAGAATCCCTTTGCGTGAGCTTAGTAGAGTTGTGGGTAATGGGTCAATGTGCCATCATACCAGTACTCGCTATCTTTACTTGTGATTGTCAGTGGATACAGGCAGTAGTAGTATAAGTACTAGTGAGCGAAATCAAAATCATCATTTCCATTAGTTTTAGCGATCTTAAGATAGGAATACTAGGCGAGGTATTCCGTATACTTATTCTAACAAATCACTGACAGTAGTACAAGCATTTTTACAGTCTCCTGCCTCTGATTAGCCAGACAGTGCTCTTACTGCCCCGGCCTCCACATAAGATGTACTGTGCTACAGTGTAGTCTAGAGAGCCTGGAACCCACCATTTACAGGGACTCGTTCAAGCAAAGGAGCACAACTGGCGCATTGGCGCATCCCGCTCAGATCAAGAACTGGGTGAATCGGAAAATGGGCGCGGAGGTCTCCTCGTTTAAATTTCTGAGGTCCCAGCCTTTGAGGACTTTGGCCGAGAAAACCGTCGCGGGTAGTTCTTCTGCTTCGACCTCTGCGTGATTTGCTTTGTTTAAATTTGATCTTTGGTAAAAGAGTAAATATCGTTAGCTAGACTTGGATTTAACATAGTACTCGATAAGCAATATTCGAGGGGAAGAACCGGGGTCACGAAAGGATAAGGGTTTCATCAGTGTGGCTAGTGGATATCAGAACGACACGAGTGAATGGACTGGACAAGATAAAATTACTGTTCGTACTAGAATAGGTGCTAGACATGTTACTGGGATTTGAAGTGTACAATGACCACTATGATGCCATTTCTTAGAATCGCTCTCATTGCTACCTGCAGGTTCTGAGGTATGATATGTTTCCGGGCGTCTCTGATTTTGGGTGGATGATTTTGGTTTGGTCAATGTAGAAGGACTACTACGCATACAAGAAGTGACACATTTACTAGTTGTCTTGCACAGTTGATGGAAAGGGAGAGGTGAAGCTTGGACCAGAACAACAAAAAACATACAACAGAAGGGATTCGCTGGTGGTCACCCACCCAACTACTAACCTCCCGGCGTGTGGCTTAAGTACGGCTGAGCGGACGGGAAGCCCTGTTTTCCACACCCTGTGGTCGTATGTGCTTGTTTCATACTGTATTTAAGCTAGATTGTTCAAAAGCACCATAAGAATACTTCGCACGCTCCTTCCAAGAAAGGGGAAGGGAACCTTGAAAAGGACATAAAAATCCTTCACTATACGAAAGCCCTTCCAGTTGAATAACTTGGACCTTCGCTCGTAGTTCACTCCTATCACAACGGGTTCCAGATATTATGTTATGTTAGGTCGTTGACACCAAATCTCCCGTCGTGGTTGAGATATATATCCGAGGAGCTATCGACTAACCGGTACATCCCCGATCTCGACCATAAGGCTCTATGCGCTTCGGTCGGACACACAGATACCAATCAAACACATCTTAATTTTCTTTCAATTTTCATTTTTGACCATATGCTTGCGACAGACTATCTCCGGAACTCAATGACTCATGCATGTTGCCAATCACGTAATACCAGGCTCCAAATCCCTCAACTTGACCGCATTTTACATCAACTCTGTCCAACTCTTCCGCCCGGGATTCGGGCCAATCTTCGTCATCTTTCCGCTTGTTTCTAAAGTCGAATCGTCCTCGCGCGCAACTGCGGCCCATACCGTTCCAAGAAAAATGGAATCGGGATCATCGCGATGCAAATGAATGCTAGGAGCATCGATCCCCTATTCAGGACAGAACAATTAGAACCGACCGGCCAACTGCCGGTGAAAGAGATTGGAGCCCGGAATCGACAAATCAAATAAAAACTTACCAAGCATACCCCAGCCGCCGATACAACTCCGATCCGACCACTGTCAAGACACAGGTCAGCACGCATCGAGTGATCACCGCCGCCGCCAGCGCGCTCGCCGCGTACTGCTCGAACGCATCGACCAGGTAGGCGTGGATGGCGACGTAGCCCATCAGCATCCCCATCCCCAGCACGCAGGCCCCGACCAGGGGCACCACCCAGTGCGTCTGCTTCTCCGCGCTCCACCCGAAGATGATCAGTCCCGCGGGGACGATGACCATTCCGGCTTGGAGGAAGGGCAGCCGGAACTCAGGCATTCGGATTGGGGCAATCGCGACCTCGGGCTGGCCAAATTTGCCGGCGTGGTGGCGCGCAGCGCGGGCGTAGGAGCGGTTCAGGAAGCGGGCGCAGACGGCGGTGCCGAAGAGGGAACCGATTCCCGCGCCGAGGAAGGCGAGCCCGGTCGTGCCGCCGGTCCAGCGGTAGGAGAAGAGCGGAGGGATGGGGACGGGGCCGTAGAGGAGTGGGATGGTTATGAGGTGGAGGTAGAGGATTCCGTAAATCCTATACTCAGTGATAGAACAGGGTTAGAAACAGTATCAAGCGGTTTGAGATGTCTGAAAAAAATGGGGGGGAAAACGGTGTCCATACAGGGAAAGGTAAAGACTCATAAATGTGCAGATCGGCGAGGTGAAGAGAAGGCGAACGGGCCGAGTCAAAGCGACGCGTAAAACCTTCAACAGCTCGATATGTGCTCGAGGATGGGTGACGGCACCCTCAAGGCCTTGCTTCTGCCGCAGTAAGAAGGGCCGGTACGTCTCGCGCTGCAGGAAGATGGCCGCCACACTCGTAACCCCCGAAGCAATGGCCATCACCCACAGCAGCCACCGCCAGCCCCCAGTGCCGTGTACGATGAACCCGCCCATCACTCCGCCCAGGACCGGTCCGAAAGTTGGGCCCAAAGAGTACACAGCTTGCGCTTTTCCTCGTTCCTCCGGCCGGAACATGTCGCCGACACTGCTGCCCCCAAGACTGGGACCGGCCGATCCAGCCATGCCAGACAACAGACGGAGGACGATCAAGGCCCCGATGTTTGGCGATAAGGCGCACCCGACATTGAGCACGGTGAAGATACAGAAACTTACAACGTAGGCCACTCGACGTCCGTAAACCTCCGAGCAGGGTGCCACGAAGAGCGGTCCGATGCCTAGACCAAGCACGTAAAGACCGATAGGTAGAGCGGCGACGTATGTGTTGGTCAGCGAGAAATCCGACATGAGTTGTGTGGTTCCCATCACGAGAATTGTGGACGCGATCGGGGAGAGCGTGCCTTGCATCGAAATGAGCAGGATATTGATCCATTTCCATTTGCTCGGCCAGGTGCGCGGGTCAGCAGGGTCAAACCGGCCATCATTGCCTTCCCCATCCTTTTGAACAGAGATCTGTTTCAGGGAAAGAGGAGGCATGTGAACGACAAGAAAAGGACGAAAAAAGTGATCCGACAGCCGTAAATAGACAGAGAGGGACCAGGAACTGGGAGGGGAGGGCAAAGCGCGGGCTAGTCCCCCCCTTATATGGGACACTCAGCCCTAAGTGACTGCGGATCGTATCCAGTAATGGAAACGGGCCGATCGATTTCAATTAGTGTTATTTTATGACTAGTGCATGATACCCTGCATCTTCGAATTCTACCTTACAAACAGCCTGACGAAACCATCGATCGCGAGCTCATCCTCCTCAACACTGCGCACGATTTTCTCAATCTCTTCCTCATCGAACGCCGTTCTCATATTGACACGAAACTTCTCCAGCACCTTGTCCAGGGTGTCTGGTCTCCGCGGATGCCCGACTGGATACTCCACTACTACCTCATCAAGAACTGTACCATCCTCGAGCTCCACCGTGATTGCATTGGCCCCGGTGCGCACCTTTGGATCGTAGTAGTCCGCCGTGAACTTTGGATCCTCCACGACGGTCATCTTCGCCCGGAGCGCATCCACTCGCTCGTCAACTGCCCAGGGTGAACCGTCCAGATAGTCCGCCGTCTCGATAACGGCGCCTTTGAGCAAGACCACAGCCACCATATACTGGAGACAATGATCGCGGTCGGCCGGGTTGCGTAGGGGGCCCTCCTTATTGATGATGGTCATCGCGGGCCCCTGCGTGCGGATACGCACCGCCCGCACATCCCGCTCCGCGCGCAGGTGGCGGGCCTTCAGCACCGCTGCTACCTCCACCGCCGCTTCAACCGCGGAGATGCCGTGACCCTCGGCGGGAGGGAGCTGCAGCGTCTTCGGCTGGGACACGGTGAATCACATGCTCTCTTCGAAAATACCAAGCTGACACTTGAGCTATCGGCTAACAATAATTGCACATAGAAAATCGGTCCACTAGCCGCGGCCCTTCTCAATAGCACCTTCATTCAAGGTTTCGAACTGGACGACTACCACCGCTCTGCCCCGATCCACTCCAGCTCCATCATCCTCCCAACTCTGTTGGCGGCCCTCGAGCACCGACCCAACCACGGCGGGAATGCGGCCCCCATCCCCCGTGACGGAGCCGCCTTCCTTCTCGCCGCAATCGTGGGCTACGAGATCGGCCCCCGCATCGGGCTGGGCGTCTACGGCGGCGACGTGCTCTCGCGCGGCTGGCACTCGGGCGCGATTTTCGGCCCGGGCGCCGCGGCGGCCGCGGTGAGTAAGTTGTTTGGGGCGAGTGTTGACTCTGTCGAGGATGCCGTGGGCATCGCCTGCACGCAGGCCGGCGGGCTGATGGCGGCACAGTACGAGAGCACCGTCAAGCGCATGCAGCACGGGTTCGCAGCGCGCAACGGGCTCTTCGCGGCGCTGCTGGCGCGGAGCGGCTACGCGGGCATCAAGGATGTACTCGACCGGCCCTATGGAGGATTTCTGAGCACGTTCAGCCAGGGGAACGGGCGGGAGCCGGCGTACCAGCCGGACGCGGTGGTGCGTGGACTGGGGATGAGCTGGGAGATGGACCAGATCCTGGTCAAGCCGTATGCCTCAATGGCGGCGACGCATGGGACGATTGATTGCGTTGTGACGCTGCAGAAGAAGTACCCTCCGGAGCTGCTGCGGGACGTGAGCAAGATCCGGCGGATTACGGTGGAGATGTCCGGGATCGCTTTCAAGAAGGGCGGGTGGGCGCCTCAGCGGCCGTTGACGGCGACGGGGGCCCAGATGAGCTGCGCGTATGCGGCGGCGATGCAGCTGCTGGAAGGGGAGGTGCAACCGGCACAGTTCTCCGCGGCGCAGCTGAAGCGGGAGGATGTGTGGGAGCTGATGGGCAAGATTCATTGCGTGCACAATGCGGACTGGGATGGCGATGTGAAGTCCGCGTGGCAGCAGCGGATTCGATTGGAGACCAACGACGGCAATGGTGAGACGCAGGTCCTCACTGAGCTGGTGGCGGCCCCGCGGGGAAATCTTGTCCCCCTCTCCAACGAGGAGATTCTGGCGAAATGGCGAAGGTTGACGCACAGGGTGATCAGCCCTGAACGGGCTGATGCAATTGAGCGGTTAGTCTTGAGCCTAGAGGCGGTGGACGACGTGAGCCAACTCGCTCAGTTACTTGCGGGACGAACTGAAAACGTGGTAGATGTGGAGGCCGCATGATTTTCTCTCTCGCACGTGTAAACATGGGAATAATTTGGGAGATACCTAACAAGCTGTTAAAGATAATACTCTTACTCTCGTTCTAAAATTCACCTTCATATCCTCTACATTCCCGACCTACAGGAGTCATCATTTCCGACTCAAGAGGTCTTGAAATTGACCATCCAGCTCATCATCAACACAAAGATGCTTTGCTCATGCAGATATGCAGGGGTTTCTGTTTAGATAAAGGTGGGGTAGCATAAGTACAGGGCTAGACAAACTCCGCGGAAGTACGGGTACATACATACACCCAGATCTCGTCAGAGAAGATTGCAGTTGTGGGTCGATAGCAGCCGATAGGGCATATTGAATGTGCATGCATGCGATGTATGATCGGGGAGCTTCTCGAAATACTGATGATCAAATCATCTTAGTGGGGGCCGATGGGTTCAATAGTTCCAGTTGGTACACCGCTACTAGGTACCCATATGTGTGAAAGTGACTTAACGCTTCATTTGACAGGTTCACAAGCTCGGGAATGAATGCCGCAAAGCTAAAGATCTTGTGGCTTGTACTGTAACAGTATTGTATTGATGGCATAGGGTCCAACCGTCATCTTACGCATAGCGTACAATACTATACAATTCGAGTTTTGACTCGAATGTATCAGATTTTCTGTCTCCGTTTCTGACACTCTCCGCCATTTCTTCCACGACTCACAATACTAACGAACCCGACCTCTGTTAAAGACTACACTTTGTCTAAGGTAACTCTAACCCCCCCAAAAATATCATAGTTGGCTCTTTATCAATCACCGATCACCGAGTTCGCTCAAATGTCCCCACCCATTCCCCCCAGCCGAGAACATTCTCCACACTCAGCTCCCCCATCAGCTGCTTCTTCGTGACCGAGTGCCCTTTCACTCGCACCGCAGCCTTCAAGGCGATTAACTGGAAGAAATATCGATGCTCCCCGTGCTCCAACACCGGACGTGGCCCACTCCACACGTTGTTGTGCCAGTTCCTCCCGTACCGGAACAGTCCCTCAAGCCTATTGTCGGTACCGCCGTCGGCCACAATGAAGTCTTCTGCTCCCACTTCGAAGGTGCCAGCGGGGATGCCGTAGTAAAGCCCATGCACCACCGGGAAAGGAAGGGGTGCATCGGGATCTTCCACGATCAACACGTAGCTGTCCACTAAGGTTCTCTCCACGCTCGGGGGCAACGACCAGGAAAGCGGCGGAAATCGGTTTCCTGCGAGGGGGGTGTGCTCCAGAGAGAGAGGCGAGTGCGAGGGGCCTATCGGGGATGTGATCTCAATGGTCGGCTCGAGAGCCTGGAGTGCAGCGCAGCAGCGCGTCAAGAGTTTGGCATCGCGACCCTTCTTGTTGGCAAGGAGGCGGCCCAGGAACGCCTCTATGCTAGGTGGGAGCTTTTCCATAGGCAAATTTGAATGTAATGAGGATGGATACTATTGTGATGGGAAAGATTGGTATAGCACTTAATCAGAGGACTCTCTTGTACACAGAGACTCTTGAGTCCTCGGGAATAAGTGCTGAGGGAGAATAGTGTTGTCCTTTAAACAGGTAAGGACAGCGAACTGACTGCGACATGAAGATTTTATACGCAACCTGGTAATATATTACGAGACGACTAATGGTTGTGGCTGTAGCTAGTGGGCTGGAGTCATGCTGATCTTCACCCGATGTGGCGAAACGTGGCTACTCCGGTTGCCTGCAAGAATATGGTAAATGCTTCGCGTTTTGTTCGACAACAATGGATCAATCGCACAAGCTCGGCACAATCGGACACAAATTCTAAGATCATCCTGAGAATACTTCCCAGGCCCAATTGCATTCAGAGGTCTTTTCGCAGTACCGACCTGCCTCTTTCTAGTGTGAAAACGGCTGAGGACGTTTTGGGGTCAGCATGACCTAAACTAGCCCTAAGTCTATCTCCGATCACTTAGGATCACGAGTCACAAGAACAACCCAGACTTCCCCCTGTTGGCCTCTGGTCGATCTCATTTTCCTCATGCATCCCTGTCAGGATCTGGGTGCTAGTTACTTTGACGATGCCGTTATCTTCTTTTGCCCATATCTTTCTTCTTTCACCATGCCTAGCGTGGGCTCAAACCCCTCCAGGTTTTATCTATCAATCCCAGAATATTCTGGTAGTCAACTATGCGGGGAAGGTTCTTGAGACGCCGGGCACCAATCTTTCTATACTGGGTATGTAATGCCATCATGACGAGTTTCCAAATAGACCTTTCACAAGACTCATATCTGACTTCGATGCTTCCGGCTTGCTGCAGACACCGTCGCGCAACCAATCATTGGCCTGCAACAGAACAAGATCACCGGGCCATTTATCTTCTTAATGGTAGACCCAAGCATCAACGATGACAGTGGCGCCACCGATGCTCTTCACATGGTGCAGACAGACCTATATCTTGCGCCAGCACCCACCACGGCCGACGGAGTCACGTTCTACCCGCTTACTGCCTCATGCGATCCTCTCGCCGCCTACCTCTCGCCCATCCCTCTTGTCGGCTCCGGCATTCACTACTTCACGCAGTTGCTCTTCGAGCAACCTTCGAATCTTAAAATCCCCGCTAAATATGGGTGGTACTGGATCGATACGGTACTCAATAGAGTGAGCTTCCCATTGAAGGAATTTGTTGACGATGTTGGCCTGGGGGAACCCATTGCGGCGAATTACTTTGTGGAGCACCGTCTGAGTCTTTTATGATGAGCTGGGAAGTACGATAGATCTTGCGTGATGAGTGATGATAAGCAGCCACGCTCGCGATTGAGATCCCAGCGGTGGCCTTGAAGTCTACGGATTAGAATGCGGGAAGTCGCGGAAACATTCTTCACCAGGGATCGGGATATGGATTCTTCCAGCCACACTGCAATGCAAGAGATATTGATTGCAGCAGCGATGCACATAAAAAGAGAAAATACTGCTTCTGTTTGATGGATATAAGACTCTAGTGTGGAAAGACTAGCACATACGACCACAGGGTGTGGAAAACAGGGCTTCCCGTCCGCTCAGCCGTACTTAAGCCACACGCCGGGAGGTTAGTAGTTGGGTGGGTGACCACCAGCGAATCCCTTCTGTTGTATGTTTTTTTCACTTTGTGCTTCTGTCTAAGGTAGAACTTGTAGCAAGCAGATCAATGATAAACCTTGATTGCGAATGGGGTAGTTTGGCTTTTTTGTCTTGCCAAGCATCCAGCTGTAAAACTGGCGGGATCACTCATGCTTGCCAGCATGGTTCCCATTGCTTACCCCGTCGAAGGAAGGAAACTAATCAGGCAAATGCGATGCATAGATTTACAATTATGCGTTAGAAACAGTTGAATTATGAACACTTTGCCTTGGCAATGTTCTAGTCCAAAAAAAACAACCTTCAACTATGCCCAATGAGCAAGTTCTCTGGCTTGCTGTACAGGTGTCTCCCTTGCAACAAGCCATTGCTTTGATTCTGCTACTTGCCGAAACCATGTGTCCCGCTGTGTTCTACGGACGGTGTGGCGAGACCGATTGGAGCAGTAATGCTTTGTCGCTACGTATCCCAGCTAGAGCTGATCAGGACTGTTCTTCATATCAATCGTTCACCTTCAGCGTATACATTCCAGACTAGTTTCTTAGTCATTACCCAGAGATAACCTGGCTACCTGGTTGAAGATTGACTCGGTGACCAGATCCCCTCCCGGAATCACGCTGGCTGGCTTCTCCTGCTTGAGTAGCTGCGCCATGCCGATCGCCTGCTGAATACCCGTGATGTTTCCAATGAGGTCGAGAACTTGCGTCGCCCATTCTTTCGCCGGAGATTCTGCTGCTGTGCATCGGCCTGCGATGAACAGCGGCCACAGCGCCCGGTATATGCTTCCAAAGCCTACTTCGCCGGAGATGAAATAATATGGAATACTGTCACAGATCTCACCTGCCATGTGCTCAACAATGCCAGTACACTGATATATGATTTGTTGATACTGTGGAAGATTCTGCAACCGCCACCGGCGCAGGGCCATCATCCTAATCATCTCGTTGAGAACGATGCGCGTCTGCCGATAGTTATTCCACATTGTGGCGATGGAGACCCCGTGGTAAAGATGATATCGGTTATCATAGATCGGCGGATAGGTGGATTTGGGCAAATGGGAGCGCGGGTCATCGATAACTTGATAAGACCACGCTGGACTCAACGACGTTGTCCACGTCAGTAGACGCGCGTCAAGGGTAAGAGATTTTTCAATCAACAACTGTTGCTTCTCGAGGTCACTCTGGAAGTGCGCCTCATCAACTTCGGTTGCTATATCGTTCAGCTCGATGAGCATGTTGTAGAGGGTTTCAATCGGCCGGGCATGTTCAGTTCGTTTGGATCTCGCGACTTGAGACAGCGCTGCAATCGTGGGTGAATTGTGAATCCCGGACCCCAGTCTGAAGAAGACACTGCTGATTACCTGCCAATATTGCATTAAACAAGTAGTATGAACTTTCCATAGAGGGAGTTACTCACATTCTGAAAGCGCACAACAGTGAATAACTCCAGCCCTACAGGAGAGTTCAACTGCTCTTCACCTCGCAGTTCTAGGAGCTTGGCTGCTCCTTGAGCATGGTCCCTCCAGCCACTGTCCATTTCCGTGGGTCGTGATGTAATCAGCTGAAAAGAATTGATCAGTGTATGTTGCTTGGACGAAAGGATTGCAGCTTATAATGGGGCGTGTCACCTCATACAAGCCCAGCAACAACACGGCGCCCAGGGTGGAATCCGACGTTGCTGTTGTCGGATCTCTTAAAGCACTATTTGTAGCACGCAAGGCAATGATGTGTTCTTTCCTGGCTCGCTGTTCCGCATGTGGCATCCTCGTCATGCCTAACAGACCTATAGCCTTGGCGGAGGCTTTCAAGGCAGGAGAGGGGTCATTCTGCAACAGGCTTGGCAGAAACGAAAGTAAGCCCCGATGCTGGTCCGTGCCAACATAGTATGGGATGATATAAGACATGGCTCGCTGGTCGTCGGAGATGAGCGAATAGTTTAGAGACAATGTAGACGGCGACTCTCCCGCAGGCGACTGTTGGATGGGACCACCACGGGCCTGAGCCTTGGACGCAACTTCCGCGCTCTGATCATAGATCCTCAAGGTCCCGGGATCTCGATACCCAAAACATTCTTGATTCACTCGCAGGCACTGTGAACATGATGGCTCACGTCGGTCGCACTGCATACTGTTGGCTATTTTGTCAATGTTTAATGTCTGGAACGTGCCCACTTACTCGCAGCCGTCGCTTTCGGCACAAGGTACAACCCATACTGATTTTGCCTCTGTATACTCCGGCCATGGTGCTGTCATTCCAAAAAGGGAAACAAGTTCGCAGAACCTTGAAGTGGCTTTCGGATGCATCACGAGAGGAGGACTGTTGCTGTTATAATACATGGCTGGATCAGATCCGCCCCACAAGAAGTCGCAAGTGCTTGCCAGTTGGTCCCACATGGGGGCCAAAAGTCATGGACGGCGACCAACCAAAGTGTCCACGGTGGATATGAACAACTACCCCGCAGAATACTAAGCCTCGCACACTAAACCATCCCAGGTAACCAACTCGGACTGGAACTGCTACTTTGACTTTTGAGGCGGTAAGGGGACTACTGGTAGGGTAGTAGGGAGTCACCATCTGGCAATGCTTTACTTCTAATCCATCAATTTTCATTCATCAACCTGCAACCAAGGGCTGAGAAGGATGGGGCTCCCACTCTAGCCTAGCCTGTTATAGGTAGCTAGCTTGGAACAAGCAATATCTACCAAGCGGGAGGCCGAACACAGAGGGAGGCATCCATCAAATGGCTTCAAGCGAGTGGAACAGTATCATATATATGTCCTCATCGAAAACAGGCACTCCACTGGCTACCTAGTACCCGGCTATGTTTTAGCGAGAATCACCATCCTCGTCTCCGACCGCGTTTTGGCAGTATTGCATGGTGTGATTGGCTACGAGGGGATATGGGCCCTGACTACTAGCCCCGTCGTTCTGCACTATTTTCATCGATTACGTGGCCAAGAACGATTTACTACATTACTAGGTACATGATGGATCTGGGAATTCCGATCTAACGCTTGTGTCATGCCGAAGACAAATTGCAGCCCTCAAGCTCCGAGCCGGCTACTGGATTGAGATTAGCGCGCTCGGTTGTACTAATACTCACTAATGTCAACTCCATATCCCCAGAGCTGAAACCAAAAAAAAGAACGGAATAGTTTGTCTGGAGCGGCTGGTTTGGGCTACGACTAGTCTCTTTCAAGAGAGTTGTTCGTTAACAGGGACAATCTTACTACATTTGATGCGCAAGATTGACGGGCAGGAAACGCCCATGACGAAGATGAGGCACCCAGGTGTGGAAGAAAAGCACCCGGCAGTATATAAATAGGACTAGAAGCCTGTTGTGCAGGTGGTATAAAACAATCTCTCTAGGTCCTGCATCCCAATTGATTCCTCGTCTCTTTTCTACCTAAATCACAATCGCTGCGGCAATGGCACACGTAACCTATTCCGAAGGCATTTCAATCCTTCAGTTGATCGTGTTCCCATTTCTTCTCGCGTGTTCCATCTACATCTGGAAACGAACAGGATGGAGAGCCGGTGGTCATACCTGGCGATTCGCTGTCATCCTATCTTTGCTCCGTGTGGTCGGCAGCATATGCACATTGGCCCAGCTCAGTTTCACTTCGACCAATCTAAGAACTGCAGCAACAGTATGCAATTTAATCGGTATCGCGCCACAGTCCCTGATGTATATGGGACTGTTGCAACAAATGTGAGTCAGAGACTCCAGATTCCGCTCGGATTGGCAGACATGCTAACAGTTGGGCGTTTTCTAGTGATGTGGAATACCGAATCCCTCCCAAACCCCTGCAATCCTTGTCCCTTATATCATTGATCGCCCTCATCATCGCGATCGTGGGAGTGGATAAGACAGAAAAGTCCGGCAGCATCAATGCACTCCTCAAGGCAGCCATGATCATCTTTCTCATCGTCTTTGCCGCCATCCTGGCGGCCACTGCTTGGCTGTTCAATGAGACAAAAGGCACCCTGAAAAGATTCCAGAAAAAGCTGTTCATCGGAATCGCTCTGTCTGCTCCCTTTTATACCGTGCGTCTGATCTTTGCGGCGATCGCCGATCTGGGCCATTATGAGATCTTCCAGTCGTCCCTCAGTAGCAACCCTACCGACAGCAGTCTCACACTCTCGTTGTGCATGTCTGTGCTGGAAGAGATGATTGCTCTGACAATTGCCGTGGCCTTTGGTTGGTCTGCCATGCTCGAGCGAGACTTCGTTATCCCGGGAGCGGCAGTCCCTGGAAATTTTGAACAGGAGCAGAAGGTTGAGGGTGTATGATCTGGTAAATGCTCAGTAAGCTATGGGATTTCCAGCCATTCCTTTCTCATTGTTGGTGGCCTGGTCTTGAACCTGGTCTTGATTAGTTTCATGTACAAGACATTATTCATAAATAAATAAGCTTACTATTGTAATGCGACTTGCACTGCTTGTCAAGTTCCTGCGCTACTCGTTCTCCTCGTCCGGTAGGGGTTCTGGAGAATGGGATAAACGAATTATTTGAAAACCTGGGATTAGGGAGTTATTGATCAGATTATACTAGTGTCATGGCGATGGTTGTGAAGTTCTTGTTACAATAAACCGCCTGATGCTTAGCTCGTTGTCGTGCCAGCTTGGCTGGGCTACGGTGCACTGAATCTAGTTACATGGTCTATAGATGCATTCGTCCCGAGCTCCGCATGGAAGCCTAGTTCTTGGCAGGGAAGTACTCGCGATAGACAAAGTCAAGCAGTAGAAAACAAAAGACAGCAAGCATGTCTAGCGATGATCAACCACGCACGGTTTGACGGGTGGATGAACATCTATATCGATCTCTCGGTAGAAATACATGTACCGTTCCGGGGGGGGGGGGGGGGGGTCAAGTCCTCGAGGCGCGACAGGCGTGCATCAATGATATCCGTGCTGAGGGCCTGTTCTAGCCCTGACACTTTCTATTTCAGTATTACTTACTAATTTAAGCAGCGACTGAGAAAAGGCTTATGGCTAAGTCGGGGTGTTGACTAGGTAGCTTAAATACGGCTGACTATTATCGTATGGGTTTGAATTACATGTTGAGTGCTTTGTATAGTCCATTTCATTTTGCAAGTAGCATAAAGCTGCCCTAGGATTACGGGCAACTCCTCATTAAGGTGTATCATGCAAGGTGGCCTTCGATGTGTAGGCCAACGCTGGTATAACAACATAAACGTCATCGGTCGCCGATCGATACAAGCAAATCAAGACATTCCCAACACAAACTCTCCCGAATCTCGACCTAATGCTCAAAGCCGGACTTTTCAGTTCCAAGTCAACATGCCCGGCCTTTCAAGAATCGAGCTCTTAACAGTTCCAGCCAGGCAGGCCGCTGATATCAGTGGCCACGATGCCCCAGGGAGGGTTGCAGCCACCCTCGTCCGAGTTGAAGAGGTAGTACCATCCTTTTTCTTGATTAGCAAAGAACTCCCACTCATTCAAGCAATTGAGACTTACCATTGGCACAGCGGCAGTAAGAGGTGGAGATACCGCAATCGGGGTCAGAACTATAACAAGGCAAGTCAGTACAAGGCATAGGAGCTGCCAGGCCGGATAGAAGTGTGCGTACACAGGGTAGCACCCGCTGTCACCGCGGGCGGCAAGGTCTGCGTTGCTGGTCTCCGCCGAGGGGAGGGCCATGACGGCGGTGGCGCTCAGGAGGGTAAGGAGGAGAGTAGGAAGCTGCATCTTGTTGGATCTTTGGAATGGTGAGGATGGTGACGAGGAGAGTCAATGAGATGAGGAAGCCATCCGGCTTATATAGTGCTCGGAGGAAGCCTCAATCATGGTTTGGAAATGGAAGCCTCTCGCCTGGTACTCGCGCCAAGAGCTCATGGTCCCATTGCGAGGAGGGAAAGGCTCTGTCGGACTCTGCAGGAGTAAACGGCCTCCAACGCCGCCGGTCTTGGCACAGGCGCGTTATCTATACAGAATCCCTTGAGGCTGAAATGTCTCAGTTTGCGATCGCTTGATTGGTGAAGGATGTACTGACTTGATTGATTAGCAGGATCTAAAGGAAGTGGGATGGACTAGGGCTGGAATAGGAAGGAAGAGCGATGCTCACCGCCCGGACCGGCACGAGGCAATTTGGAATTGACAAACCCTGAAGGAGTCACTGAAGGAGTCATGGAATGAACCCTTAACCCTGAAAATCATCAAAAAATCGATAGTCGGTGGAGATAGTCAAGATCATTTCTTCAACGCCTCCACGCGGCTTGGCCTTCTTGGGCAAAGCTTAAACCCAACCGCATTTGACTGGCCGAAGTCCCCACAATCCTTCAACCATCGCCTAGATAGCGTCGAGATAAAATAAACAATTAACGCTCACTTGCGCCTCCTTTCTTTCCCTCACCAACTTAGCAATCATGTCCTCTCCTTCAAAACCATCAGGCTTAGACTGCCTACCCAATGAAATACTACTGAAGATACTGGAGCAATCTCCGGATATCTCCACCCTGTGGAGCCTCGTCAACACCTCTGCACGCTTTGCCGCACTCTTCCAGGCTCGGGCGCTGGAGATTGCCGAGGCCGTGCTCGAGGCCACCGTCCCATTGCAATCGCGAATTCTCATGCGGGCGGTGCTGTCGCTGCGCGCCGGAACCAGCTCGTGCCGGGACTATTTCGACGCGATGGATTACCTGACGGAGAAATTCGAGCCCTGGCCGCCAGTGGTCGCCACCGCGGACGTCGTCCGGGATTTCGTGCGGCTCGCACACCAGGTCCATTTGCTCGCGCATTGGTGTCTTGACACTTGTCTCCAGCACTGTCTCTCCCGTCCACAGCTCTCACGACGCCAATATTGCCCGACATTCCGGCAGCCCACGTGGACGGAGGAGCAGCGCACGATTCTCGCGTTTTGGCGGCATCTGTGGTATCAGTGCCTCCAGCTTGCGGGCCGCCAAGGACTGCTAGAGTGGAGCCCCGCCGACCTCGACCGCTTGGCGACAGTCACCCCCTTTGAATACCCCATTCCCTCCTCGGGTATTTACCAGGTCTTGACAGTCATTGACTTCTTGAGCCGCCACGCTGCGGCTGCATCCGACACAAGCACCAATCTGGTGCTCCCGGATATCCCGGCACATTTCCGGTTCGGATGGGCGTGTGCCCCTGCGCCCTATGCCAGCGCTTTGGCACAAGAAGCGGATGGGCTGAGCCCTGCAACCGAGCCGGACCAAGGAGCTCTCCAGCTGAAAGGCAACATAGACGAGGAAGGGGAGAAAGCACTAGCGACTGAGATAGCCCAGGCTGCGGCGCCCTCCTCGCCTCCCCCTGAGGATGAATGCCGTCCCTGGCCGCCAGGCTACGTTTTCCGACCGGTACGAGATTACGGTGTACGAGCTCCCGGACGCGAGTGGCGAGATCTAGATGCGGAGCCCCTCGGGTTTCAGTTCTGGCGCAGTATGATGCATAATCCCCTGGCTGGTCGCGGCAAGTACATGGCCCTGCGAGCCTATCTGCCATACGGGCTAGTTTTGTGGGAGGAGCAGAGGATCACGGCGATGGGATTGTGGTCACCACTGGGCAATCCATGCGATTATTACCGGCGGTGGTATGCCTTGTTAAACGAGGAGGAGGTACAGCAGCACAAGGCAAAGATTCCTTTCTGTGGCGACACGGAGTATTGAGGGTCGAAGCGACCTTATCATTCGACTAAACACTATCTACCATCCGAGCAAGCTCCCCAGAATAATCATACACTTTACCAAAGTTCCCCAAAACACACTCCACCCTAGCTCTTCTCGTAGGAAGCAAAACCCGTGAAGAACTCAACAGGGGCCGACTTCTTGTTGGAAATCTTGTACTGCACATTTTGCGTGTAATCGTAGGCGATCCTATTCATTCTTCATGTCAGCATGAATCTCCATGGACTGGGAGTGGAGCACATACGCAGCATAGGCATAGCTCTGCGGGTTACGCATGGCGTATCTCTTGGTGAACGCTTTCTTCCCACTGCCTCGGCTCTCGTAGCCCGTCATCCGTTGAAACTGGTACTCCTCCCCAACGGAGGGGTACATGAGACTGTCGCCCCAGACCAGGTGGAACAGCTCGTGGAATATGGCGGTGGCTTGGGGGGCTACCTCGGCGATCGAGGTAATGGTGCTTCCGGTGGGAGGCGTGTGGTCCTCAAACAAACTGTTGGCGACGGCGGTCACGTCAACCGCGTGCAGGCGGCCGCCTCGTAGGGCCTTGGGACCGAGGTTGATGAGCGCCTTGTCGGTATCCATGAGGGTGAAGGCAATGGCCGAGGAACCTGAGTCAAAGACGCCGACGGTGGGTGAATCCCCCCATTTCTTGTCGAAGGTGTAGGACTGGATTGAGTCGCTCCAGTAGGGATACTGGTCCTCGGCCTCGCTCGCGGACTTGCCCTGCGCAACGGCGTCCTTCTCTGCGATGGTTTTCGCCTGCTGCTGCTTCTGCACCATCAGCGAATCATCCTCAATGAGCACGTTGCCCGATCCATCGGCCTTGGGGATGGTCTCTCCGTCGGCGTTGCGCAGCTCGCTCTTCATATCCTGCCGGATGCGCCACCCGTCGCCGTACAGCAGAAACGGCTTCGTCTTCTGAGCGCCGTTGTTGATCTTCCCGCCACTGGTGAGATAGGTCACCACCCCATTGAAGCGCTTCTGAATGGTTTGGAGGTCCGACTCGCTGGGGGACATGAACAGGGAGTTCATCAGTCGCTCTGCCTCCGCCTTGCCGGCGAGGGCGTCCGTCGCAGCGGCCACCCCGGCGTTGGCGAGCGTGAGCGCATCGGTCAAGAGAGTCTGCAGGTCCGTGTCGGAGGGCAGACCTCCCACATCAGCTGCGCCCGGATCCGTACTATATTTGAACAGTTTGCTGAGCTTCGCGAGATCGCCGTCCGCAGCGACCGCGGGCTGCCACCAGGAACTGGCGGCAAGCGCCGCGATGAGAAACGCAGGAGAGAAGACTTGACGCAGCCGCACCATCCTGAGGGCATGTATTCGGACTATGCAGTATGATGAGATTCACAAGCAGCTGGGGTAATCGTATTCTATTTGACTAGTTTATCGTCGACCGTGTATCTCTATCAGGTACCGCAGCGTTCCCCCCCCCCCCCCTTTTTTTTGACATTACACAGGAGCGAAATCTCATGGACCCCATGCTAGTGCCCTGAATATCCTGCCCCTGAGCTAGCAATTGATTTGATTTTTCTCATGGCAGGATTGGCTTTGAATAGCCTCATCCTGCAGGCACTGTTGTATACATCGGCTTATGTCCGAGGCGTTCCGGCCCTAAAGATTTAGCCGGTCTCCACCCCGTGCAATACGCTATGCCAGAACCATTTCTTTGGCCCCCAAATTGTCCCTTTATTGCAATCAAAAGTGGGCCAGGGACTTCCACATGGTCTGATTTGGTCCGAGTCATGCAGGGACCGCTCGTCTGGATGCCCTTCAGGGTTCGATGCGGCTCTGATAAGGGAAATGAGTTGGGCCAGAGTGCCCCCCCACTGTCACCTAACCTTTCCCAAATGAGGCCATGTCCGAAGAAGGATTCCCTGTGTGATTGCTTTTGATCCACTCTTTCCACTAACAAATCCTCCTCACTTAGTTTCTGCAGCAGCCGAGTGTTTCTGAATCTCATCGGATACAGCCTCTCAAGGCTTGTATTCAGGAAGCACAGTTCAGAACTATTCGGATCCTCTCCCCCTGACTTGTATCGCACAGGGGGACGAACCAAGAACCACCATCTTCGTTGTCGCATTTATTGACACCTTTCCCCTCGATCATCATGGGTAGTCACTGTGATTCACTTCCGCACAGGCACCATGGTGTCGTTTCACAGTTTGGGCCTGCTGTGGCTCGGAGCGCAATGTATTACGTCGGCCTCTGCGCATACGCATAATAGCCATGGGCACTTCCACCAGCGCCACGAGCGACAACAGTCGTCGCATCTGCCTGCCTCTAGTCAGGCTTTCACAATGGGAGGAGGGCCTGCGACGACCGTCTCGATTCCGCGCCAGCCAGTGGGAACCGGCCCGCCCTTGCCTCCCGGATCACCTCAAGTAGGTTGCCTGCTATTACTGCAAGAAAGAAAAACGTGAGACTAATCCAATGCAACAGCCGCCGCCCGCATACATGCGAGACAATGTCAACAACTTCTTCGGAAGTGCGCCGGACCAAGGATCAATGACTGGTCCGGTCCTCACGCCGCTCAACGCCACGGCCGATGCGAAGATGCACCACGCTCGTCGCTCGACTGACGACTACTGGCTATCAAGTCTCGGATCCGACGGCTCCTCTCCCTTTGCCCCGTCGGGGTACCAGTTCTTCCGCAATGTCATGGACTTTGGAGCAGTCGGAGACGGCGTCACCGACGACACGGCGGCCATCAACCGCGCGGTCGCCTCCTTCAGCGCCTCCGATGATTCCACCCTGCGCTGCGGCGAGGACTGTGGCTCCTCCTCCACGCTGGGAGCTGTGGTCTACTTCCCGGCGGGCACATATCTCATCAGCACGCCGATCGTGCAGTACTACTACACCCAGTTCGTCGGTAACCCGAACAGCAAGCCGGTCATCCAGGGATCAGAGAACTTCACGGGAATCGCCCTGTTTGACTCGGACTTCTACGTTCCCGGTGGAAACGGCTCGGAGTGGTACATTAACCAGAGCAATTTCTACCGCCAGATCCGCAACTTTGTCTTCGACATGACCAGCATGAACTGGACCAACACCGACAACAACCAGACTTACGTGCCGGCCGGTGTGCACTGGCAGGTCGGCCAGGCGACCAGTATCACGAACTGTGACTTCAAGATGGCCGTTTCCGCTGATGGCCAGGCTGCCACGGCTGTGGGTATCTACATGGAGAATGGCAGTGGAGGAATGGTCTCGGATTTGACATTTACGGGAGGGTGAGTGTGCTGCACAAGTCTTTGCTTTCCCCATGCCCCGAATCCAGAGCTGGCTGTTGACAGGAGAATCTATTCAGAAACATCGGATTCCTCGCGGGCTCGCAGCAATTCACCGCCATCAACCTGCAGTTTACCTCCTGCCTGACGGCGATCAAGTCCGTCTGGAACTGGGGAATCAACTGGAAGAACATCTACGTGTTGTCGTGCTATATCGCCATCGATGCTACCGAGTACTCGGGGACAGGCGATCAGGGAACCGGGTCGATCTCGGTCGTTGACTCTCACTTCAACGGCGTGCCGTACGGCATTACCGTGGCACAGAAGGATGGCTGGCAGCCGCATATCGTGCTGGACAATCTGCTGGTCGAGAACTCCGCTGCGGTGGTCATGATCAGCGGAGGCGACACCATCCTCGAAGGGTCCACGGACGCCTTGTACTTCAACTCCTGGTCCATGGGCTACCGCTACCTGCCTGATGGCTCCGGCGGCAAGCAGACCGGCTTCCTTGATCCCGCGCCAGAGAAACCGGACGTTCTTCTCGATAGCTCGGGGGCTTACTATCGCCGGGCCAAGCCGCAGTATGAGAGCGAGACCCCGGTCGTCGCGACGAGCAATGGAATCTCCAATGATGGAACCGGTGATCAAACTGCTGCGATCAACAGTCTCTTGGCGAGCAATGTGGGATCCGTGGTGTACTTCCCTGCTGGTGTATATCTTGTGGAAGACACCGTCAAGGTGCCGGTTGGAAGTAAGATCATTGGATCTGGATGGAGTCAGATCATGGGCACGGGGTCTGCTTTCGAGGACGAGGAGAACCCCAAGGTCATGGTCCAGGTCGGTGAGGAAGGTGATGAGGGTGTCATCGAGATCACGGATATGCTTTTCACGGTCAAGGGTCCTACTGCTGGTGCTGTCTTGGTGGAGTGGAACGTCCACGAAAGCACCCAGGGTAGCGCTGCCATGTGGGATAGCCACTTCCGCGTCGGAGGTACCACTGCCAGCGACCTTGGATTGGATAACTGCCCCACCGGGGCCGGAGTGAGCAAGGACTGCATGGGAGCTGCTCTCCTGATGCACGTCACCTCGTCGGCTTCCGGCTATTTTGAGAATGTCTGGGGCTGGGTGGCTGATCACGATCTCGACAGCAAGTTGAACGCGGCTGCATCCGAGAGCACCGCCGGAATCCCGTTGAATGTACAGACTGATGTTTCCGTGTACGTGGGTCGTGGGTTCTTGATCGAATCCCAGGGCCCAACCTGGCTATATGGCACTGCCAGTGAGCACGCGCAGATGTACCAGTACCAGCTGGCCAATGCGGCCAACGTCTACTTGGGCCACATGCAGACCGAGACGCCCTACTACCAGCCCTCCCCCGACGCCACAGGGCCATACACGGCCGGGGTGGGTAACTTTGCCTCGGATCCGACGTTTGACAACTGCGACGAAGACGACTCTTCCTGCAGAGGGGCCTGGGCTTTGCGGGTGATCAATTCGACCGATGTGCTAATCTACTCGGCCGGATTCTATTCCTTCTTCCAAGACTATGATGAGGGCTGCATCGACACGGAGACCTGCCAGCTGGCCCTTGTCGAGACCAACTACGCCGATGGACTGTACATCTACAACCTGTTTACCAAGGGTAACGAGCAGATTGTAAGCCCAGACGGCAGCCTCGCTCCGCTGATGTTCAACGACACGACGCGCAACGGCTTCACCAGCGAGATTGCGGCGTGGCTGGCACTCTCCACCGGCGGCTCAGACATCGGGTCCAACGGCAACGATTCGGGCATTGTCTACATTGACCCCATTATCTGGACCGAGCCAGACAATGACACTATTGTCCAGTGCTATCCCCCGTGCACCTACGTGCTGCCGCCCACCACTTTGTCTTCGGCCACGACTTTTGTCTATCCGACCCTGACAACAGAGATCGGTGTTGGATATCAGGTGCCGTTTACCTTTACATACAACGGGACCATCAGCACAACCACCTCATATATTATGTCCACGACCACTTCCACAATCACCATTCCAGAAGTGGTGACGTCTATCGTGCCCTTCTATAACGTCCCGATCGGCAACGGCACAACTTCCACCGTTATCACGCCAGAGCCCAGCATCATCCAGACCGCATTCAACATCACTTGGCCGGCAATGACCTACAATGGAAGCATCTACTCAAGCACCGTGGTGCCCTTCTACCCCCCTCCCTGGCCCGGCACGACCGTCCCATCAGACGTGCCCACTTCAACAACCGAGCCCACAAAGACGATGACTTCATCCACAACCACAGCTGTCGGCATTATTATCCCCCCCGGAGGCACGCACCACGTCACGCACCACCGTGGCGAACCCAAGCCCAAATGTACCAACAGGGCCGTGTGTGGTGAGAGCTGCCACCAGGGGATTTTGGGCGGCTTGAACGCCATCTTCAATGTTTGTGAGCATTGCTGGACTAACTGCGGAGGAGGTAAATGTACGTGAAATTGTTTGTTCAAAGCTTTGTATGATGCTATATTCGCACGACTAACCGACAATCTGCAGCACCGAACAAGAATGGCAACGATCCCAACAGACCGAAACCTGTACCCACCGGCACTCCTGGCGACGAGGACGAGGAATGCGAGACCTCGACCTACAGCTCCTGCAACGTGGCCTGCGTGACCCAGGCCTCTACGAGCTCCTGCTCTACCTCGTGCAAGGGTAAGCCAAATACTGTTATCTATATCATAGCTTCACCGACTAATAATAACAGATGTGGTCGGCTGCGACACCACCGCCACCACAACATCGGACATCTACTCGGCCGCCCCAGTGCTCCTCGGAGGCGTCGAGCCGTGGGACGACTACAACGACGACATCTACACCGCAGACTGGGACGCCGCATGGTCCATCTACAGCGCGTACGGAACGGCCACGGCCGCTCCCGGGGCAGCGACAACCACGACGGGGCCCACGGCCACAGCCGGACAGCCCAGCACCACGACCGCCACGACCACCGGAGCCAACAGCTTCCCAACCCTAGGCTGCACCCCGCACCAAGACCCGGACTCCGGCAGCTCCGACACGAACTGTGTGTGCCCGGGCTACGACGGGTACCTGCCGACCCTCAGCGGCTCCGCGGGTCTCTGCGGCTACACGGCCCTCCCCTCCAGCACCTCCACCACCGCGCCCCCCACCACCAAGAACAACAACCCTTACCCCTTCACCTCGACCGACTTCTGGGGCGACGTCATTGCCTGCGAGTCCTCCACCACCACCAACTATGCGGGCTACGACTTCACCTTTTGCGCCGGCTCCAGCACCACCGAGAAGTCGGTGACCGTCACGCAGACGGCGACGATCGCCACCTCGGTGCTGAGCAACCTGTGCGAGGGCGGCGACTACTACTCGTGCGTCTCCGACATTATCTCGTTCGGCATGGCCTCGTGTCCCAGTCTGCCCCGCGCCCATGCCGCGTGCCAGCGGCAGGTCTTCGAGAACGCCCAGCTCGAGTGCGAGCGGCTGTGTACCATGACCGCCACCTCGTATACGACCACCATTACTACGGTGCCGGCGTAGATGCTTTGTGTATGCTGTTTCTTCTTTCTAGATGGGGTTGGAAATAGGTTTGGAGATTTTTGAGTTGGTTATGGGATTTAGGTTTAGTTCGAACTGTATAGTATTGATTTAAGACTTTGTATTCACAATGCAGGAGTGGGCAATAGTTTGGAAGCAGCACTCAACGGCCGTTACTAGCTTATGCTAGACAGATATCGTGGTTACAGTGAATAATAATATCCAGTGTTTATGCCTTATATCCCATAACCATCCACAGGCCGTCACCAACTGCAACCCCTCATTACCAGCTACTCTAAGAAGCCTCCGGCCAACACTCGACAACAGCACTTCTCACCCCATCAACCGTCAAAACCACACTCGCCCCCCACTCCAACGGATTCCCCTCATACACCACAAAATCCCCGCCATAGCCACCATCACCACCCCCCTCAACCCCTGCACTACTACCCCCGTCCAAATGCAAAATCTCGCGGACCTCCCGACTCACCAAATCCACCGCCCTCTGCTCCGACAACCCGGCCACCTTCGCCGCAAATCCGGCATCGACCCCGAGATTATGAATCCCGGAATCACTCCACCCGGCCTGCGCCAGCCCAACCTTCACCCCAGCCTCGACCAGCACCTTCAACCCCGCCTCTGTCAGTGGATCCCCCACCAGCGCCTCTTTCACCTCCCACGTATCCGGGTTCGGACGGAGACCCGTGAACAGCACCGGGATGCGGGCGGCGGCCAGCTCGCGCGCGACGAGCGGCGCCTCGGTCGCGCCGAAGAGGATGAGGTCTGTGGCTGGGAAATCGCGTTTGAGCTGCACCAGGTGCAGGATGTCGTGGTGGTTGAGGACGTGGATGATTAGCGGGAGGGTGCCGTTCGCGACCTGGGTGTACACTTCCATGTCTTGTTGGGGGTATTGTTCAGGTGGGGAGGAGGTGGTGGGATGGTGACTTCCCGCGAGCAAGCGACGGAGGAGGCCGATTTGCGAGGAGATGGTGGGCGTGCTTTCGGTCTTGCCGGTCTGGCCGATTTGAATGTGCAGGCCTACGTCTGGCTGGAGGACTGCGCGGTCGAGGAGGGTTTGTGACTCGTCGCTGGTGCTGGTTTCATCGGCTGGGGTGTTGTTGGTCGAGCTGGGACTCACCTTGAAGGCGACGGAGACTCCGCGCAGGAAGACGGGGACGTCGGCCGTCACGAGCGGGGCGGTGATGGCGGTGGTGATGCCCCCCAGTTTGGCGCGTTGAAGATCCTTGCTCCCTCCCGGGTGCAAGCCGTGTTTCGCGTAGATGATGGTCTTGGGTGTTGACCCTGACACAATACCATCGCCCGTGGAGGGCTCCATGATGATGTCCTGAAGGCCCAGGCCGGCGGTTACGGCAGTCAGGCCGGGGAGGATGTGGCCGTTCTGGAGGTGGATTGCTGTGCTGTCGGCGGCGGCGGAGCCGAGACACTCGCTTGCGGGGCCGAAGCAGGCAATGCGACCGGCGGAGAGAACGAGGGTGAGGTTGTCCGCGTTGGACTGCGGGTGGAGGCCGGGGATTAGGGTTTTGGTGATGCCCGTGATGATGAGGTTGGCGCCTGCGCGGGAGGCTTGGTCGCACACTGAGGTTCTCTCGGTGATGATCGGCTGCGGGCGGCTTGAGGGGGCAGACAGTGTAGTTTCGATGAACTTGGCCTGGTCAATGGTCGTGTTGAGAGTGGCACGTCCATCGATGTAGACTTGTAGAGGCGTGGCGCCGTTGGCGAGTGGGTGCGAGTCCCAGACGACCAGATCAGCGTCGTAGCCCGGTCGGGCGTAGCCGATGCGGTGGGCCAGCTCCAGGGACCGGGCGGGGATACTCGTCACAGACTGCAGGGCCTGAGCCTCGGGGAGGCCGAAGGAGTGCGCTTCTGCGGCTTGGGATCTGCTGCAGGTTAGCCTCGGGTAGGTGTAGCATAGTTGTATCGACTTACAGGAGATACTTTGCGTTGAGAAACTCATTCGAGCCGTCCTGAGCAGTTCGATGAGCTATTGAAAAGTCTCAACTCCGTAAGGTGTCCTAGCTTACCGACTTATACGCCACCGGGACCCCATGTTCGGTCAGAATCCTGCCCGCGTAGAGCGTAGCATCGTAAGCTTCGTGCTTGTAATGAGCAAAGTGCGAGAATGTGGCGACGGTGATGTTCCTGCTTCAGTTCAGCCACAACGTTCATTACACAAACACACGGTCCACCTACTGGCCACTGTTCTTAATCGTGTCTGGAACCCTCCAGGCTTCCAGCGCGTGATGGAAGGCCTGGATACGGAACCCAAATTCTTCACTGTGGCGAAGCATGGCCTCTATGTCCTCACTCTCGTAACAATGAATGTTGATACCCACCTGCCCTCGCAGCATCGCGACCGAGGACTCTAACGCGATATCGGTCGGCAAGCCTCCATCCTTCACGAGGTCCGCGATCGCCCGCTCGTCACCCGTCTCATAGGCCGCGGCGGCGGCCAGACACCAGTCATCCTGCTTGACAAGAAGCTGTCGCGCACTGTCCATCTGCTTGCGGAACAGGAACGCATTCCCCATGCGTGTGTGGCCGTAGACGTCCTTGGGGTTCTCACCACAGGCCATCTTCATGTACCGCCGCCGTTCCTCCTTGGGCACGCCATGCTCGAGCAGGAGCTCTTCCACCAGCTCCTCCCCGGCCTCGTCACGACGGACGTTCTTCACGGGCACGGCCTCGCCGCCCATGATGTTGGCGGAGCCAGGCAGAATCAGCGACGAGGTGACGCCACCGGAGGCGACGATCGCAGCGACCGGGTCGTAGGCTTTCAATGCATCCAAGGCCCTCACGTAGGGGGTCAGTGGGCCGAACTCCGGGTGTATCTCGTTGACATCTTCGACCGCGCGAACGTCCGGGCTGGAGCCTGCGATGTGGTGCGAGTGCATGTCCACCAGTCCCGGGGTGACGAATCGGCCTTCGAGGTCGAGGACGAGGGCATCATGGTCTTCGGGAATTGAGTCATGTTGAGCGGTAGGAATGATGTCTGTGATGATGCCTCTGTGGAAGGTGATGTCGACGGGGTGGTCGAGGGTGTGGTCGCCATCGAAGAGGGTCGCGTTGCGCAGAACAATCGCTTGGCTCTGCCCCGTCTTGGCGCTCCAGCGTGGGTTGCCTCGATTCAGCCCCGTCGGCTGCTCGTATTCAATGGGCGGGCGGTGCAACGCAGAACATGCTTGAAGGGAATGTTCCAATTGCTCCAGACGGTGCTGTGATAGCTTCTGCGTTGCTGGGTGGTCCGAGGATAGCAGTCGAGGGAAGAGGGCGAATTGTGTCCACAGGAAGATGATCACTGCGGGGATGAGATACACGCCCCGTCGTCTGGAGGTGGGCGGCGGTGGAGACCGGCCAAGTTCAGCCGGTTGGCCCATTGGATATTGCTCTTCAATTGATGGTATTTATGTTTATCACTGTGTCTGAAAAAAGACAGAGTGGGTGGTTGTTGGGGAAAAAACAGTGTCAGCGATCGGCTGGGGTTTTGTTGTGCCAAACGCGCTTATCGTCCTCGATATGACGTGCTGCTCTAGCGCTAATAACAGTATCTTGTACCTATCGCGCCTTATTAATCCAAGCAAGGGACAGCATCTGGAAGTGCTGGACTCGCTGAGTCAGAAATTAACCGAGGAGTAATTGAAATAGCTAGAGCTCATATGAACTTGTGCAGGGATGATGCCCTTCGGATTCCGCCGGAGATCCGAAACGGACACCCATAATTGCATCAACAGAGACTGTCAGCAAACCTGCCATGGCAGATTCAGGTTTTCCACTTTGATGCCGGCATAATTTACACGTGATTTTTTGGTGCTAAAATAAAATCTATACTAATAGTCTACTTTGGAGTAATTTCCTTGGAATATCTTTCAGGTTCTTTACCAGTACTAAAATAAACCGCCTTTTGTATTAAGCGCGCTAAACTACTTCTAGACGCTGGAACGTATCCACAACCTACCATGGCAGGCTTGCTGACAGTTTCTAATTCCAACTCAAGAGAAATAACTTGGTGTTCGCTAGGATTTCGAAAAGCTTCAAAAATCTTCAGATACAGATAAAATCATCCAAGGATCCTGTTCCTAGACTAAGAGATAGATATGACATTATTGGCGGGTTGTACTTTAGCTTGACAGGGAATGTATATACCATTGGGATCCTAGTACATTCACCACCGATCGAACAACCAACGAACATCGAGGGTAAAAGAGGGGGTATATTGTTATCCGGAATGTTTTTGAATCGTACGCAAGTTCAAAGACAAAGCATTCACAATCTCTCTTTCAAGACTGCCGCTGCCTGCAAATCTTGCTTTGCCTTCTCGAGCTCAGCTTCTGTGGGCATATTCACCACCATGAGGTATAACACGTTCTCCTGTAACAGGCGCTTCTGAGGCTTTTCCTTCAACCCTTGAGCCCTTTGCTCGTCCAGTTTACGTTGCGCCTTTTCCCACCGCCGTTTCGCACCAAGTCTGTCAGAGTCAGATCAACTCACCTTAACCACATGAACACTGTCGAGATGAAAACTCACGGCTCTGCTCGCAGCTTTCCCCCGGTGATGAGGGTAGCCAGGTGTTTGTTCCGCTGGTCGTTCGGGTCACTCAACTTAGACTTGAACTGTGGGGCTGCATCGCCCATGGCCTTCACGAGTGTTGAATTAGGATTGTTGAATGCCTGCGTGACCGTCTTTAGTACGCGGGTGAGTTCAAAAGCAATGGCTGCCTCAGAAACTTACAAAGTCGGCCTGCGCGCGACGGTCAAAATAGTCGGCGAGCCACTTGCCCGTTCCCTTGGCCTTATCTTTGAACCTGAGCGCCGCGTTACTGGCGGACTCCCTGCCCTGCGCATACCCGTCGATCATCTCATGCGCCACCCGCTCGATCCCCGGAAACACCAACGGAGCACACATGAACGGCATCTCCGCCTCACCACGGCTCGTCCCACTCGTTTCACGGAGCCGCTTCGCCGTCTTCTCCTTCCATCCTTCTTCCTCCTTGACCTTCGCAAAGGAGCCGGAAGAACCCCCGTATTTGGCGACCGCCTGGGCCCCCAGAGCCACTGTCTTCGTCCCGACCTCCGTATTCTCGCGGGATGTAGACTCATACTGCACAACCAGCACATACAGGCCGCGTGGCATAAACAGCTCCCGATTCATCTGGTCCAGAAACCTGTTCGTGCGCCACCGCTCCTGCATCTCCCGCCCGGCCATGGCAGCGATCTGCACCGCCTGCGCTACGCCCGCAACCAGCAGATCGGGATAGACGCCGGCGACCCCGGCCGCGAGACTGAGGACCTCCAGAACAGGCGACGCCTGCGCATGCGTGTGCAGATCCTTCAAGAACCGGAGGAAGGTGGTCTGATCGACGCCCGCATCCTGCAGGGCGGGGGCGTAGGCGCGCACGAATCCACGGGCTTTGGTCCGTGGGCGGCGCTGCGGGAGGATCACGGGGAAGGGGAGCTTTTTGCGGGTTGTCGTCGCTGCCCCTGCTGTTCGGTTCCCATGGGTGTCATTGTTGTTGTTGTTGTTGTTGTTGTTGTTGTTGTTGTTGTTGTTGTTGTTGTTGTTGTTGTTGTTGTTGTTGTTTTTGCTACCTGCTTCATCTTCCTCATCGGAGGCCATCATCTCATCCAGCGCCCAGTCCTGCTCGTCGTGATCGACCCCATCCTCGTCATTGATGAGGGTGTGCGTGGGTTCCTCGTCCCCCTCGGCTGGAATTGCGTGCCCGCTCGCGATCAGTCGGTCGGCGTGCTGGGGCGGCAGCTGGACCAGCATGGAATCGTTCTCGTTCTCGGATTTTCTACTCCGGTGCTCCTGGATGGCTTCGCTGGCGAGTCCGAAGGGCGTGGCGATTAGCTTGACGACTTTGTCGATCGCGAGCAGGTGGATGGGTTGGTGTATGAAGGCGTTGACGTTGTAGCCGTAATGCGGGTCGTAGCCGTCTTCGTAGCGGGCCATGGTTTGGGGAGGAATGTCGTTTGATAGTTTATGTGCTTCGAGACATTCTAGAGACTTCCAAGTAGGGGAGGGGAGGGGGGATGGTGAATTATATCAACATCGGCCCTGGCTGCACCTCGAAGAGCCGTATAGTCCACCTGGCGATGATGCATGCTGTTCAAGTTTTGCATACTGCATACTCTATTGAGCAATGGTTGCGAAGGGCTGTGTACATCCTCTTCCTCTCCGCGAGTGGATTCGACTCAGCACGCTATGTAATGATTGACCAATCAGCATGCCCAAAGTGGAGCACCGGGGCTATAGTCTAGTCCTTTACTGTAAAACTTCGTTATAACGGTATAATTGGCGAGGCCCCTCGGGATCGTTATATAGCAGATATCACTGTATTGAAACGGTATGAACGGTATATACACGTGACATTTCTTATGTAATATACTTCTAATAGTTACTTAAGGTTTTTCCTGTTTATTACCTTTTTAGGTAATTCCCAACCCTGTTTTAAACATTTTTGTATGGGTAGATAAATAATGATTCCGATTATCGCTACAAAGCAACACAGCAATTTTTGTATAGTTGAACTAATGTTGATGTTCGGCACAATTGTTGTAGACCAATAATCGTTATAATGCGTATCGTTATAACGAGGTTTTACAATATAAATGGCCGATAATGGCTGGCGGAGCCACATGGCTGACGTGCCCAGAGATTAAGCTCCCAGGAGGGGTCCAAGCCAAGGGGGCTTGGTAGCCTTGGCTCAGTCTGTTGGCGGGGTCCCGGCCGAGCTCTTTCATCTTTCGTCTGATTGCTTGCTATCTCAGAGAGGGTGCATTAGGGGCGCATAAGCCACCTACATCAGTCTACGTTGATCTAGTTCTGTAGTACTGGAGCTCCGTGCTCTGTCCATTGCCCACCGACGTAGTATATTGGACTCATGTGCGAATATATTTGTGGTGAGGTACAATCATCGACAGCGAGTGGACACGGAGTGTCATAACGTCCCTCGACGCTTATAACGAAGATGAAGCGTACTTGCTTGATGAGTAGGGCCAATAAAGTATCATGGATGAGAGAAGTGAATATGGAAGCGTGGCAATAGCCCCAGGACAGCCCGCCCGAGGCCGTGCTCTAAAATAAGACGAAACTTAAGCTCTCACCGAGTACCTGTCCCAACTGCCATCCTGGCTGCATCAAAGAGAAGAGGATGAAGAGACCTGAGCGCCTCCGACGCAAGATCAATTTTCCTCCCTCACCTCGACTGCCGCCCTCTTGACCCCGACCTGCACCAAACCCTCATAGCGCGGTCCATCCACCCCTTCCAGCGTTTCTAACCACATCATCAGCACCAAATCAAAAGTATCAACCAAAAAACATCTTCCAACAAAATACTCACGTGTCAATGCTTTCACCAGGGTGATCGACGTGGACGCCAACAGCGCCAGCGGGACGATCTCCGCAAACGTCCACGCGGTCTTCTCTTCGCTCAGTCGATACCACTCTTCGACCTCCATTCCCGCCCGCAACGAGTTATACGTCTGGTACGCCCAGACCGTCAACGCCAGAGTCGCCACCGCGACCGCCGCGGCCAGAAACAGCTTCACCCACCGCAGCCACCGGTGCAGATCCACCTCCCGTGCCTCCAGCCAGTTGACCCCGGCGATCACGGCAGTGAACCCCGTGAAAACGATCAGAGCGATGTACTGCCCGAACGCACTGGACCGTCCGGTTTGGGAGAAGATCTCCGTCCCGCTGGTGTTGAGGTGAGACGCAAACTCCCCCGCGTCAGCGAGGCCGAGCCAGTCGCTAGCGTTCATGTTCATGAAGCAGCAGGCGGGCATGATGGCCAGCGAGCTGGGGCGGGCGGGAAAGGCGGCGCGGTTGCGGGCGGAGAAGATCATACTGATGAGGACGAGCTGCGCGATCAGGGCCGCGCACCGGTAGAGGGCGAGGAGCTTTCCCTTGTGGATGAAGGTGGGGATGCTGACCAGGGTGTTGAGGTGGGTGACGAAGGACATGAGTAGCATGGCGCAGACGAGGTCGTAGTGGTAGGCGGAGATGGTGCAGGCTTGCTCGCTCAGGGCGAAGATCAGCGCGAAGCCGGTTGTGAGTTGTTGGTCGCTGAAGGTGTGCAGGAGCTGCTCGACGGTGTGGGCGATGCGGCGGTAGTATCTCGTTCTGCGAGGGGATTGTATTATTAGCGCGAGTTCGAGATGGTGAGCCTTTTCGGGTGTTAGCGGGGTTGATGCATACTCTCGTATCGCGTTGTCTGTGTCTCTGTACTGGTTCCAGTAGACGCAGGCCTTGTCGATGAGCAGGACGAAGGCCGCTCCTATGGCCACGACCGAGGTGATGATGAAGGCTTTGACAAGCTATGCACCGTCAGTTACTGTTCAGCCTATGCAGGGTTGAGCAATGTACCCCAGGCCCAGTAATAGACGCGTTTGGGCTCAGCTTTTGAGAAGTGGTCAGGTCGGTAGCATTGGTATACAGGGCAAAGTCGCAGGTTACATTGTAACCCTGCGCTTGGCAGCTCGATTGACTGCTTGGGATGTTCCAGTCCAGCATTCTGATGGAGACAATCGTTGAGTCGGACTCTATATTGTGGTAGTACGACAGCAATGCAGGCCCAGGTCCAGTATTTCATGAATCTCCTACAACTTTATACTCATTTTCGACACCGTTTGCCATGCTGCTGGTGGCTCGATGGCTCAGTCTCCCGCCGGACGATGCAGCCACAAAACCACAAGGCTGCCAAGAGCATTCAATTGCGATTGTGATGTTGCTTCAACTCAGTGACTGGCCGCCACAGTTCGTATTGTAAGATTGGATGCCGGCAGCCTGGATTGTGCCTGGGACTAAGCCATTCGGGTAGACTCCGCCCCATGCACGTTCAAAACCCCGAAGCTAACCCAAAGAGGCTCCATGTCGCTAGCGTGGTGGATCCCTCCATAGCCCGGGCCCGGCCTCGAAGACCAGTTTCCTGTTCTGGCAACTACTGCCTCATTCTTATCAGATCTACGAAAGGGCCGGGAGGCAGAACGGACGAGTTTTCTTGCAGCACAAGGCTGAATCTGCCTGAGTGTGACGGACACTGTGGAAAAGCCGGAGTCTATTCTATATTGTCACGATGTTATCATCAGGGAACACTAGCATAGTCTGCAGGTGGTTTTCAGGGGCAATCGTATGGCTTTGTGCTATGTTCTCCGAATCATTAAAGATTCACTCTCTTGGTAAAGGAATCACGTTATTCTCGCCAGTTTGTTGTTCATATTGATATTCCCCTATCCTATGTATCGAATTTGTATCTTTCCTACTGTACAAGATTCTCCGACATACACAGCCCCACAGTATCGGGGGGCTCTACTCCGAAGCCGAAGCGAACTGATCCGTCAATAAACCCCGACAGGACCCATGTGTGACAGCTTCAACATAGTTAAGACCCATTCTCGGTGTTAGAGATGGTCTCCAGCACCGCATTCTCCGTCTGGTTGTACACAATGTAGAAATCAATGCTGTTGGCCGGCGGGCCATACTCAAACCAGGTACAGCTGACATAGTATTCACTGTAGTCACCCAGTCCCTCCGACGGATTGATGATGCTCTTCAGCCACTGCTGCTTCTGGGCCGTGGTAGCAGCACCGTTGTTCAGCTGTGTGCCAGTCTCGGCGATAGCAAACGGCAGGCTATAGCTTTTGGCATAGGTGTCGTAGAAGCTTCCATAGGCTGTGGCGAAGTCCGGAAGGGCATCACCTTCAGGATAGTAGTCCATTCCCACGATGTCGACATACTCCTTACCGGGCCACCAAGGAGCGATGGGTTCCGAGTCCGTGTCCACATTCGGCGACCAGAACATGTAGATCATGTCGTTGGACTCCGTCGCTGTATACATATCTTTCCAGGTCTGGTTGAAGGCGGCGTAGTCACCTGGTATATTGCATCGGCGGTTAGTCTTGCCCTTTTTGAGAAACGGATGGAGAGAAAGTACTTACGGCCGCCAGGATAAACCACGACACTAGGATCGGCGTAGTAGTTCATCTCATGGGCATAGCGAAGCCAGACGGTGACACCCTTGCTGGTGAAGGTGTCTTTGAAGTATGAAGCCACCGACTCACAGAGCTCAGCTGTGATGTCCTCCCAGTCGACCTTCGGCATCAGGGACGCAATCAGAACGGCCCCGGAAGCAATGATATCGTCCACCGGGTATTGATCGTTGCCATTGTACGACCCGGAATCCACGTTGTCCTGGGTGATCTGCGAGTAGACATTGTACCTATATCGAATATGAGCCTTGGAATCGCAAAATGCTTTCACTAGACTCACGTGGCGCCCTTTTGACCCGTCGCCTCGTTGAGGTCGGTCATGGTGACCCGGGGGCTGTAGTTGGGAGCCCAGCCGAAGTAGATACCATCATAGCTGATCATAGAGTCAGCCTTGATACCCAGGCTTTCGCCCAATGAGTTTGACTCCTGATTGGATTTAGCGGGTTATAAAAGCCAGTGATAAGACTGCAAGCCTACCCTTTTGTGACCGATGTCGCTAAGTGGGGAACCGACACAGCCACGGACGGCTAAAGCCATTAGGGGAATTGAGGCAAGACCGCGCATTTTGCCGACGAATACCGCGTAAAAGAGGATGCAATGAGCTGCAATTGTCGAAGTGGTAGGTCTCGTCCAGGAGGTCGATTTCATTTATACTGCTGGAAAGGCTGGAAAGAAATGCCCTAGTATGTTGGTATCCAACATTGTCTCCACGGGGCTATGCTAAAGCTGAGTCGTAACAGTATGCGAGTCAAGCCGAAGAACCATGAATTTGAAGATCGAGTCGTGCCGAGAGCTAAGACTCCAATCCACCAATCGCAACATACTTCTGCTTTGGGAAGACCTATCAACGTTTTGTGCCTGGGCGTGGCGGCGATCCTTCATTTCCGTCCAGACTTTAGGGCTCAGTTCTCAATGCCTAAGTCTCCAAGACAGCCCGACTGTCCCGTGCTGGCAACGGGGGCCATCGCCCCCAACAAATATCTTGTATCTCTAATCCATTGATTCCTGTCATACCCTTATATAGAAAAGGCGCCCCCACATCCACGTTCCAGTCCCTGGCACTGAACCCTTTTCCCTAGTTTCAACCAGGCGAAGTTCCAACAGCACGATGTCGAGCCACAACAGAAGGAGTTATCTGCACGCTCTTCTCGCATTATCGCTGTCGATCTCGGTCCAAAGCACAACGACCTACTACATCAACAAAGTAGCAGACTATTCATCGTTATCGCAATGTGCCGTCGCCCCGCTCAGCAGCATCGTCCGGAATATGGTGTCTGGCTGCGGTGACGGGGGACAATACACATCCTACAGCTGCTTCTGCACCGCCAGCTCCTCCGAATTCAGTCACATCATCTCCGCCGGCGTCGAATCGAATTGTGGGACAAACTCAGAGAACCAGGTCTCGACGGCGTTGGAGGTCTTCCACAGCTACTGCATGTTCAATGCGACCGCAACAACGACGACCGAACCAGTGCAGTCTGCCAGCACAGGTACTTCCCTCCTTTGTTGCTGTTCCAACCATCCCATTGAATTACACTAATGTTCCCAGTAACCACAACAGCGTCGACTCTCTCAGCTACAACCTCCTCCACCACAAGCCCTGCCGCCCCAGCTGCCTCCGTAACGACCACACCCAGCCCTGTCGCTACATCGACAACAGAAACCACCAGCATCCCATCCACACCGTCGCCCACCCAGGCCCAAACACCCGCCAGCAAGTCCTCCAGCTCGCTAAGCACAGGCAGCAAGGCTGCCATCGGCGTCTGTGTCCCCATCGCGGCCATCAGCCTCGCTGCAGTTGCGTTCCTGCTGGTCCGCAAACGGTCGCGTCGCGCGCAGCAGGACCACAACGGGATGATGCTGGACTCCAGCTCGCCCACCCCGCACGAGCCCCACAGCCCGACCGAGATGCGGCCGGAGATGTGGCAGAGATACGAGCTGCCGGAGGACGCGAAGCGGAAGAGCACCCACTTGTATGAACTGTCCGGGGATGGTCCGTCGGCTGGGAGGTGAGATAGTTGCATGAATAGACCTTGAGGCTTTGTAGTGGCCGGAAAACTGATGCTGCTGTTGCTTGTTGGTGCGATTCTATGTCTTTCTTTCTTTCTTTCTTGCTTGCTAGCATAGGGTGCGGATATGGGGTACGCGGATCCCTCAAATTTCTATTCATTTATTTAATGGGTCGTGTGCTTTTTTACTTTAGTATATTTAATGGCAATGAGATACATGACTTCAATCTAATTGCACGGATAAGACGTTGACGACGTGGGTAGTCTAATCACCGGTGTTGTCCTTGTGTATTTTTGAGGATGTAGTGGAGAGACCCTTCCGGGGCCGACGCTCATGTCAGTCGTATAGGGTTCATATTTTCCGAGGCCCTGGAAAATGCGGACGAGCATGCTCACCGGTACAATTAGCCAGAGATGGATGCAGCTCATTGGTGGGTGCGCGCTAATCGGTCCCTTGGCATGGAGGCAAAATGATTATCCATCAAGTTAGACAGCAGACTATAGCAACGATGATATACCTCCAGTTGACCTATCGACACGACAAACCTCCACGTCCCTCTCGCCATTTGAAACGCCCGGCCGAAAGTCACGTGAAGCAAATTCTTCGGTTTCTCCTTGAGTTTTCGAGTACCTTTCCTGAGCGGATCAGGGAAACAGAAGACAGGGACCGCTGTGCCGGATGTTCTTGAGCGTAGAGGTGGTTAGTGGGCATGCCACCGGCCAGCGGCGAAGGATGTTTGGCGCACATGCTTCCAGATTGCGCCTCCAGATTCCCTGCTCTGAAGTTGCTCTGCGAGTCTTAGAACAACAATATTCCATTGAGCCTTCAAAAAGGTCGCTCGGAGAACGCCCTCAGCACACCCAGTTCGACATTATTATACGTTCTCATGGGAAACCGGATACGCTTGTGTGCGTTGACTCCTTTGGCATCGCACGCAAGCTTGGCATGCAAGGTCCCAGCTTAGAAATATTTGAATATGCTTGGCAGTTCCACTTTCTGTCCGGGCGCTTGACTGTCCCAGTTTTAGAGAGATTCGTTTGATATGTCAGATCACAACATGATAGGTTGAACGCTCTCTATACCAGTCCCGGGACAAATGAAGGGCTAACACCACGTACCTTACAACTCCTGTGCATCGCTTTTATCCGCCGAACTTACCGAACATCGACTCGTTAGCCAGCAAAAAATCGTCCTGCAGAGCATCCAATATCCAAGATTCCCATGCTTCAGCCTCCAGTGGCCAATGTAGACTCACATCCGCTATAGAGTCCAGCCCTACTAGATAGTGATTCAGAGGTGTGATTACGAAGATGAGACAGCGTACTACTCACCAGCAGGCGCGGCCCAGTCGAGGCGGGGTCCAGTAAATTTACCCAGTACTACCACGCTGAAACCGACACGCTGGTCACGACAATCAGCCTAGCCCGTCGCCCTGACACCCGGCAGACTGGAGGCGTCCTGACTGCCGCGGCGAACATCTCGTGGGGACGCAACACGCGCGTGGCGGACGCTGTGGACTGTGCCCTAGGGCTGCTCGCGGACGCCGCGGTCCTCTTGGCAGCACGGAACAAGGTGATCTCAACGGGGGTCACGGAGCGCCTTCCGTTCGCTGCAGTTCATGCAGCTCCAATGCCCACATGGTGTATCGCTCGCAAACCTCTACCACCCAAGCTGAGTGGCGTGGCACTCTCGCTCGACCCAGCCACTACCGAGGTTCTGGCAGCCAAGGACTGCGTTGGCCCGCTACTCAATACGAGCATCTTTTCCATGGCCGTGGGCTACAACCGGGGGGTCTACGGGGGGTCGATCTCGGGCCTCTGGGCGATCATGGACTCGGCCTTCGTCCTCAACTACTCGATCGGTAAGAACAGCCCTGCGATGGCGGAGAAACTGGCTGATGCCTTTGCCGATGTGGCGGCCACCGCCGAGGTAGCCGTCTCCGCGGGCCCGCACATCACCGACATTCGTGTCGTCAAGGGGTGCAACTACGCCTGTCTGCGCCAGAAGTCCATCATCGAGGACACCGCAACGGTCGTCTCCCGGCCGTGCATGGTGGTGTGGGACGATCTGGCGCGACTGGCCCGCCACAAGCTCGCGGATGCGGTGTTCTGCCATGTCCACTACGACTCCGGGGGCGGCGAGCAGATGGCCGCGATGGCGGGGCTGGACTGCGTGGTGCATGACTGGATCGATCTGGGCGCGGATTTTGCCTGCGGCGAGATTAGCAATATCATACCTACATTGACGCAGGGATCACTGGATGGAGCGCCCCTGGCAGAGGTTTACTCGCGCTTGGTGGGCGCCATGATCTGGTATCGCGACCACGACCCCTATAACCCAGCCGCCTTGTGCATCCTCTTCACCCACTGATGGCAGCTCGCCAACTGCCGCCACCGACCCATCACCCTCCTCGGCCGGACTGACCTGAGTGTCGAGGCCATGTCAATTGCGGCCACAATTCCCACCGCGCGACCGTCACTAAAGCACTTTCGCGCGTGCGGCACGCCCGTCGAGCGCGGAGAAGGCGCCTTCGCGGTGGCCGAGGCGCGCTTCAACGCACTGCTGGCATCAACCCCGTTGACGGAAACCCGGCGTGTGGCCGATATCCTGGTCCGGCCGGTGCTCGCGTACGTGCGCGGGACGGACGACCACCTCCCACTGGAGAATGAATACGTGGGGGCGGTGCTGGCGGCGGAGATCGCGTACCCGCAGGACCAAAAGATCCGCGAGCTGTGGGACTTGGCGATTGTGATGTGGGAGTGCGGTGCCCTGTGGGCGGCAGGCGTCACTGGCCTGTGCTATACCTACTCCGGCCAGTCCAACTGTGATCGTGCGCGCGAGGATTTGTCGGACTGCACCTGGAGTTGAGCGGGGGGTTGTTCTTCGGCTATCGTCAGTTTTCCTAGGAGGGTAAGAGCACAGAGCAGTATCAAAACTTTCAAACATGTGGACATTCTTACGCTCCATAGCTACATTAAGCCATTCATACGTGATCTATATGGAATGTAGCTCTTGTAAATGGACGACGTGTTCACTGTCGGCTTAATTCCAAGTCCTGATGAGTTCTCGGGGTCACCATTGGTGTAGATGGCAGCAGCAGCAGCAGCAGCACGTGTTGTGAAACAACAACGTGTGAAGAGTGTACAGCCGCACGCAACCTCTGCACATCTCCCATCAACTTCCTGGACGATGTTTTGTTCTCTCCGGCCTTGGATGAAACCCGCACGGCGGCTATCGAGACGGGCCACGTCAACCACGCCCTTGCGGTCGGTGCGATATGCCACATAGATGGGGTTTGGGACTGCAGAAACAAGTCCTCAGGCAGATTACGAGATTGGAGAAGTTATCACCATCCAACGCTCCGTGTTCTAGAATTGGGCCAAGAATCTATGTCGTCCCTGCGCGTTGTTCCTTCTGCGTGCTGGAGCGTTGAACGAGGCACGGGATACATTGAGGAGCCTTGAGGAGGCGTTTTGTGTGAGTGCGTAGTGGGCTGTGGGGTGGAAAAACTTCATTAATAGGGTGATTGAGGACGGGACGAGTGCAAAGGGGGTCGTTGGACGGACTTGTGGAGAGGGACGAAATCCGGGGCGAGGGGGAGTTTATACTCCCGAGTCGCGGGCGCGCCTTCCGATTTTGGCCCACATCCTTTCAATGGTTTGAGGAAGAACAATAGATTTTTTGATTGGTCACAGATCACAGAAGTTCATATCATTTAACATAGGCCGGCACAGCTGGCGCTTCCCGGCAACAGACTGAATATACAATTGCCCGATAGCCTCAAGATCATATCACATGATAAAAGTCAGCGAGGAACAAGTATCCCATTCAACACAGACAGGAGAGGCAACTCCGCTAAGCCCTGCCTTTTCAAGCTGCAACGCAACAGCCTTTAGTAGGTGTCGTTGGAGTCGTAAAACTCTCTGGGAGCAAATTTGAGCTCCACGTCACCAACATCAAAGACGGCGACCACATTCTTCAGGAAGACATCGCCAAGGATGAAGATATCCTCGCTGTAGTCGTCGCCACCATCGACAATACCCGAGATACAGACAGTGTTGCCACTGTCATCGGTGCCGGCGTCGAGGATCATGTCCAAGGGGTTGATGATGTAGGTAGTTCCACCGATGGTGATTCCGTGGGCGGGGGCCGTGGCATCGCAGTCGACCACGTAGGCGCCCTCGTCCTCGCTGTACGTGGCGGCAGGGGAGAACGCAGCGTTGACTTCGGCCGCGATCGAAGTCGGGTAGTAGTTCAGGGTCGTGCCGCTGTCGACAATGTACTGAATGCTACTGCCACCGGCCGCGGTGAGCGACTTGCCGCTCAGAGTGACGGCGTCGATCTCGATGGTGTAGTAGGCGTAGCCCTCGTCCTGACCGTCGTAGGTGGTCACCAGGATATCGGTGGAAGACCAAGTGTCAGTGTAGTTGACGGGAGGAAGACCACCAAGGGTGATGTAGCCAGCAGCCCCGGAGACATCGCGCTCGATGGCGATGCTGAAGTAGGAGTCGATGAGACCTTCATCGACCAGGGTGGTGATGATGGGGTCGTATTCCACCTGCTGCTCGGTGCGGGTGCTGTAGGCACTCGTACTGTGGGTCGCGAAGTTAGACCATTTGATGACACGCCGACCGCAATGAGCTCCAAGGTCCTGAGGGACAACTTACATGCCGGGGTAGGCCAGACCAACGAGACCGGAAGTGGTACCATCTCCCTCCCAGTATGCCTCGGTGACACCGGCCAGCTCCTGCTCGACGCTGATCCCGGCCAGCGTGACTTCATCCTTGCCCATAACTCCGATGGCAAACTCTCCATCGCCATAGCTGATGGAGAATTCCTCGCCGGAGATCTTCGCGAAGGAGCTCGTGGGGGACCAGGTGGGACCGAACGCGCAGGTGGATTCGGAGACCTGCTTCTCGTTCTCGTTCAGGCAAGTGAAGCCCTCTTCCACCAGCCACAGGTCACTGGAACCGGTGTCAACGATCACGTCGAAAGAGGCCCCACCGACTGTGATGGAGGTAGCGAATTCCTCGCCTTCAAAGAGCGAGATCAAGGTAGAGCTGCCGGAGGTAGTCGTGCTGGAGCTGGTCTTCTTCAGACGGGATGCGCTGCGGCTCGCACCACTGCTACTCTTCACCTTCTTCAGTTCCAAGACACCGGACGAAGCCTTGTTGCTAGCACGGCTAGCAATGGCAGTGGGCTTGTACACCCTTTTGCTCAGACCATTGCGGGCGGGGGCAGGGGCTGCTGAGACAACACCCGCAAGGAGAGTGGCAGCAGCCAGGGAGCCGGCGGTGAAGCGCATTGTGAAAGGAAGTGATGAAGGAAGATTCCGTTACAATGCTAAAGAACGGAGGGAGGTGTAGTGAGGACTGTCGAAGAGGGGTATTGCGGGTGGGTTTTATACTTCTACCTCACTGCGAAAGACCTCATGCTGCCGGGTGACTCGGTCACTTTGGCTTGGAGATTAATCTGCAGACTAATTGTTTAGCGCGCAGCTTGTACTCATCTCCCTTCATCTCGTCAGGACTGTCTCAAATGGTGCGTGAGCAATCGTGAGAGGGTGAAAGACCATTGGTGCTACCTGCGGGTGACATGGGAGGACAGGAGCAAGCAGCAGCAGCAGCAGCAGCAGCATCACCACCATCGCCGTCACCTAACTACAATGGGTGGATCCGTTGTCCATGATGGATATTGCTGATAGTGGGGTTTGCGTCAGCCTGGCTGGGGATTGGTGCAGCTAGCTGGCCCACCGAGTGATAAGCAAGCAAGGCGCGTCGGAGTCCGCAGGAGATTGGCCTGATGAGGGGCACTCTTCATATCGCGCCATGATAGGGCGAACAACTCGGTCAGGCACCTGCTGAGAGTGGCTGTCGTCACCGTCGGTCTCCTTGAGTTTTATATTGACTTTCAAATTAGCTCTCATGTTGAGGAACCAAGCCCGAGCAGACACTTTAGCGCTCGGCGGGGCTCAAGCCATCCGCTTCGCTACCCACTCTATTCAAGGTGGAATGTCCAGCATGCGCATCAGACTGGGTTGCAGAAGTGCAGAGGTACACTGCCCTTGAAACATGACCAGTCTGATGACATTCTCCCGACTGCAAGGGCCCATGTCAGCCCGCGAACCTGGTCAAGTGTCACCAAGAGATGATCACCAAAGGCTTGATTCTGTCAAGCTCAGATCGGCATAGATACGCGGTGGAGTGCTGTACAGGAGTGCTCTACAGGGACAGTCTACCGTGATTTGTGTTACTGACATGGTCAGTATGGTGGATATGGAACGGGAGCAATGATGCTCATTCCGGTTAAAGCGGCAGCCATGTGCCATCAACAATGTAATCCATGAATGTTTACTGCACAACTAAGGCAGCAGTGTAACTAGCCGATTAGTCATTGACCGGATGGAGGCTAATCCGTTCCGGAACGGGGAAAGCGATCGGGGAATGGCCGGGAATCCCGTAATCTGCACAATTCTGCTTCTTGCTCTTATCTTTATCTCCAGTTCCTACTCTGCTGCTGCTGCTGCTCGTCGAGAAGACATCGACAATCTAATCATTCCACCAATCACTCTCATGCGCTTGTCACACCCAGCCTAAGTCCCTACATGAACACATGAATCTGGTTTATCGGTCGCCAGTCCACTTGTTTAGATGACCGGGACCGACATCGACCAAAGTACCAATTCGCGTGGTATGTGCGATCGCGCCCTCGCAGAAACACCTCAGGCAAATCTCGAGCTAACTGCCTCTGTCTCCCCTGGTCAGGATGCTTTCAATGTACCAAGCGACGGATTGTCTGCGATAGAGGCGAACCCACCTGTCAAAAATGCCTGAAGAAGGGGATTGAGTGCAGTGGCCTCGGCCGCTTTCGATTCGGCAATGGGGTCGCGACGCGTGGGAAATTAAAAGGCAGCTCCATCCCTGTCCTCAATGTCGACCCAGTCTCTGTTTACAAACAATCCGTTCCTATTGTCTCACAAATTCGATGGTCTCATGAGAGGAAGAAAAGGCTTAGGAAGAGCCGTACTTCGAAGCCAGTCTCGGATGCGCCAGTCGCTGGGCAATACGATACCGTGGAACGGTCCTCTGCAATGTCACTCGAGAACTGTCTTTTGTCACGCCGCGAACCTGTAGGCGCCCCTCCTGCGACGTCTACGTCGACTGCGATTGGTATAGACAATACAAACTCCGCGCAGGATTCCGCGACCGTGGTATCGCCCGAAGAGGATGTCGAGAATGTCGGTGCCGACAAGACCGCTATCTTAACCAGAAGGATGGACCAGTCAATTCAGCCTTGGATCGCTCCTTTGAGCTCACAAATCCGTGGACTATTCCAGTATTTTGCCAATAACATCGCCCCGGTCATGGTTTTGCTGGATATCTCCAATGGCTATCGCGATTTCATTCTGCCCATGGCTTGTCAGGATGAGTTGCTGCAGCGCGCTGTTGCCGTGGTGGCTGCTCAGCATGTTGGCCTCAGGCAACCAGCATTACACGCAGCCGCGGAAGCAGATCGCTCCATGATTATATCCCGTTTGTTGCGGGCCTCCAGTATCGGGTCGCCCGATCAGGTGTTCAACCCGGCTACATGGGCAACGTTGCTCGTACTCCTCGTTGGGGAGACGGTAACTGGTAGTCCGGAGTACAAGTTCCTGCTCCAGACGCTGTTCACCATGGCCAAGAACGTGAAGTCATCGGGGCACCCTCAACTGCACGAGTTCCTTCTACGACAGACCGACATGTTCTCATTTTTGGGTCGGTCTCTACTCAACAAGGACGAGGGTTTTAAAACCTTAAGCCATCCCGTGGACTCCGGGGTGTGGTTGCCGTCCAGCGTTCGTGCAGACGCTCAACACAATAGAACACTCTGGCTGGCTAGACGATCATTCACGATTGGCGCTCAGATCTACCTAATGCGGATGACATCGGACGAAAGCTCATGGCATCTGCGGGAAGAGCTGCGCCGGCTGATCGCTCAAGCACATCCGACGGATCCGGGAGCCCATGGGTTTGTTTGGCCATGCTTTATCGCGGCGGCGGATAGTACGGAGCCAGAACATCGCGCGTTCTTCACTCACTACATGAGAGCCATACACTCGAACACTCTCTTCGCAAACATCACCAAGGCTATCGACGCACTGCCCGCCATTTGGAAGTCGACGATGAAGAAGTGGACGGAGACTTTGCCTGATGTTTCTCGGATACTCATTATGTGACCCTTTGCGATGACTTGGACACATAGATCCAAATTGCCAAAAGTCGGCGTATTATGCTAGGGAGTCTCACTCCGTGGCAACGAAGGCTAGCTGTGTCGTTCCGCACAGTGGCGTTTCAGAACCACGGCATGGTTTACACTGCCTTTACCGAGCCAGTAGACATGCAATCATCAGCATTAGATACTCGAAGACAGTACACGTGATTGAATGCGCGATACGAACTTTTAGACATCCGCGGGAGTGTCCGCAAGCTGGCCTACCAAAGCGTTACCGACTAGTCAACAAGTTGTGTAAGTTAACCTCGTTGAGCCAGCGTACTGAGCATTCTTGATCCTGTTATCATCTCTCTGCGCAATCACACCGAAGAAAGTATCACCCTTGATTATCCAACGTGGCCAGAGAATGAATCATAAGCTTGTACATTGTCGTATTGACACGGTTCGAGCCCAACTCGCCAACTCCGAAGAGAAAACTCCGGGTACTCAGATATGCAACCTGTGCACCCTCAGATGTTTCGTCGATATTCAGCCATCTCTGTAGGATCCATGACGTTTCCTTACGTGTACAGAACCCCTGTAACACCCGAAGAACCCAAGCCGATTACTCAATGCTCAAACCTTGCAGCGTGCTCTGGTTACAGCGCCGCAGAAACGCCAATACCTCCTCTTTATCATGGAATGCGTCATTGTACGCTCCGCTCAGCGTCAATTTCCCCTTCCATGTTCCGAGAAACAGCCCAAGGCCGGTCCCCAACTCCTCGCCCGTCACCCAAGGATCCTCCAGCTCGAAGCTCCCTTGATTCGGCCTGACCACTCGGTCCAGAACCCCCATGCTGGAGATCGACACAGACGGCGTCTCATTCCGCGGCGGGACCGGTGGAGTCTTCCCACCGGCCGGATAAGGGATCGTCGACATCGCCCAGTACGAGGGGACAAGATGGATATGCTCTGCATCATCACGAATGTCAAGGTAGAAATCCCGGATCGTCCCCGCGGTGTCCATGAACTCCTTTCTCCTCGTCTCTTTAGAGACCGGATCTATAGAGTCCGACGACGCAGGAACAGTCAGGTCGACCGCCAGCCCGCGCCCCGAGACCGAGTGGTACACTGCGGCCGGATGCGCGACGGTACTGTACGGCGCCGCGCAGTGGCCGCGCTCGTTAATAAGACTGTAATTGAGATACCGAACCACTCGCGCCGCGGGCTGCCGCTCCTGGAGGTCCCGCACACCGAGCGCGATAGCAGCGTGATAGGCGTGCGTGATGCTGAGCGCCGCCGCCTTGCACGCCGCCAGCACGCGCGCGGTCGTCTCCGCGGACAGCGTAATTGCCACTCTCTGATTCCTCCCCGGCAGGCTTGCTTGCCTATTGAACGGCACACTGGCGATCTCCACCGCCCCTTTTTTGAGGGTTGCATTGAACTCCAAAATCTTTCGCATGCGCGCTTCCTGCGCCGAGCTCAATCGCGCCGGGATCCCCGCTGCCACCCGAAGCGGTGGACTCAGGTTCACCCACTCCCCGCCAAACGTCGGTGGTGCATACCCGGAGGGCCCGGTCTCATACGCCCGCGCGGCATGCCGGAAAAGATTATCGAACAGCATCAGCGTCCCCATCCCGTCGATGATATCATGTCGCGCCCTGAGCACCACGGTCGCGCGCACGCGCCCTTCCGACTCGTGCGGGCCTGAATCCTCCTTAATCAGAAACAGCGTCGGCAATTCCGGCACCGGCGGGTCAGAGTTACACCACTCCTGCCCCGTGACGCCCGCGTCGACGACCTGAAACGTCTCGCCCAGCCAGTCCGCCGGCGTGTACGCGTCCGAGAACGTCTCGTACACTTTCTTACACCGCCCCTGGGGCGGAGCATACTCCACCCGCGCGGCGATGGTCGGTTGGTCGTAGCGCAGCTGCAGCCACGCCCGGCGCAGGGCGTCCACCATATTGCGCTCCGTATCAGCGCGGCCCGTCCCGTTCATGGGAAGGGAAAAGGAGATCGCGCCGGTCATGGCGAAGAAGACGCGGCCGGTGGCCTCGTGGGCTTTGGCGAGCGAGGTGTAGAACTGCTCGGCTTCGTCGAGGGGCCGTTCCCACCGGGTTGCGGTTGTGGGGGTCCAGACATAGTCGATTTCCGGAGGTGAGGACATTCTGGCCGTGGTTGTTATGCCTTTGTTGGAGGATGTCGGAAGATGTAGTGTAATGCAGTAGATGAGGTAGTTTGGAGTGCTGTGCAATGTTTCAAGCTCGCACAGACACCACTATATATGCTGCAAGACTGATCCGGGGCTTTTCTCTTCCTTTTGTATACACGCAGTCTGCTCGAAGTCGGCCTCCGGCCCGATCTCCCGCATGCATCCACAAGATTCGTCTGCCCTAAGGATCGACTTTCTGTATGGGGTGTATGGGGTGGGAGTCCCTCAGATCCAATAATGCGGTGGTTGTCTGTGGGGGTGGAGCCCGTACTTCTGTTCTATCGGGTAACATCGCCCGCTGGGTGTTGCATTACTTGACATTAGCTGATCAGTCTGCGCATAATGTCGAGCACCTACGCGATGCAATTGGCAGGGTAAACTTCGGCAAAGGTGGGGTTACTTGATTGGGTAAAACATTCAGCTTCCGGCTGGCGTCTGCTTGCAGTGCGCATATCCTATTCGAGAGGATACAGGCCTTGTGCCCCCTGCACAATGGTTCTGTATGTGGAACAATTGTTAATGGTTATCATGATTTCAATTGTGTGTGACCTTAGGACACAGCGCTGATGGAGCTTCTATGCAGCTACTCTCGTTGCATTAGTGAGAGCAATGGATACCTATTCCTGGCGCGATGGACGGTAGATTTGAGGACAATCAGCGTAACAAATTCTTCGTGTTATGCTGAACAACATGGTAGTGATTCGCTATATGCCACGAGTTATTTCTCACGACTACCAACTACAGGAGAAAGACTTCACGAAATTAATAAATTCAGGACGGTTAGAGGCTTAAGGACTCTCTCCCCTCCACACCCTCAAGCCTAATCACTATATACACACATTCTCTTCAAGACACGCGTGCTATACGAAGGAGTGCTTTCTTAGTAAACCGGCACCGGCACCGCATTCAAGTCATAGTGCCAGGTATCGATGGAAGCCTGGTCATAGACACACTCCAACTCGTCCCCGTTCCAGAGGGGCCGCAGCGGCCACGCGCAGATCGGCTGCTCCTGGCCCTCGTTCTCGCCCTGCAGCACGGTGCCGTTCAGCGTGACGGGCACGACGCCATTCTCGACCCAGTCGATCAAGACCTCGAGATTCTTGTTCGGGAAGGGCCCGTTGGGCATGGCGTCGTTGGTGGCGCAGTGGGCGGCGCCGGGCACGAGGAAGAGGCGGTACCAGTCGTTCAGGGCGGCGGCGCTGGCGTTGTAGGACAGGGACGGGTACATGACGCTGCGGACGGACTCCCAGTAGCGGACGGAGGAGGCCGTGGGGATGGAGGCGTCGGCCTCGCCGTGGAAGTGGATGACCTTGCCGCCGGCGGTGTGGAAGGGGGTCAGGTCGGGCCAGGTGGTCTGCAGGGTGCTGTAGTACTGCAGGAGGCCGGAGATCATCCAGTCCTTGAGGGTGTCGTAGGTGACGCCGGCCAGGCTGTCGAGCGTCGTTCCGTTCTCGTACACCAGCAGGCCGATGTGCTCGCCGCCCAGCTGGTCGATCTCCAGCCCCCACTGGCCCGTCGTGCTGTTGTACTGCGTCGCCGCGTCGTCGAACGCCGCCGCCGGCTGGTACGAAAAGTACACCCGCTTGCCCGCCGAGTCGTGCGTCCCGTCCAGAATCGTCTGCGCCACCTGGATGCCCTGCGCCGACACCGTGCCGTTCTGCGCCGGCGTCGCGCTTGAGTAGTGGCTGCCCGCCGTCGCGGCGCACGAGTACGCCTCGCCGATCAGACTGCTGATGTTGAAGTGCAGCGCGCACAGGTCGGAGCGCGCCACCACCCCGTCTGTCTTACCGTCGAGCGGGTCGCACGCAGTGATGGTCGCGTTGACGATCTTCTCCAACTCGCACGGCGGCGGGTAGTAGTCCAGGGTTTGCTCGACGACGTTGCTCCATAGGTGCTGCGTCTGTTGGAAGCTCCACCGGAAGGCTGGGTGAAGGTTAGCGAGTCCTTGACTCGGGAATGGATGTCAGGGAGTGGGGATTTGCTTACCTGGGGCGCCGATGGCAGCTCCATCCCACTCGTCGCCATACCGCTGAACCTGGCTCCAGCCCTCGCGACCGCCCTCGGAGCAACCCTGGTAGTAGGCGTACAGCTTCTCGTCGTCGGTCACATTGTAGACATTCCTGGTGAAGGCCTTGCCGATCTTGGTGAGTTCCCAGTGCGCCTTGTAGGCGAACATGTAGAGGGTCTCGTAGTCGAGGGTGTAATTGGCCAGCAGCATCGCGGCATCGGCGTTGGTATCGAAGGATCCGAAGCCGCCGTCGGTGAGGCCCGACGCGGCGCCGTAGATGATGCCTCCAGGGAGAGAGCTGGATCCGGAGTTGATCGCGTAACCACCACCCCCTGTGGACAACCACCGGTTCTGGAAGATGGACGGGTCGGGCAGCCAGATCTGGAGATAGACCTGGTCGTCGCGGCCATTGTGCGAGTACGCGAAGGTGACATTGCAATAGTCGATGACAGAGGAGGGGTAGAAGTCACTCGTGACGGAGCTGTTGGTGACGAGCGCGGTGGTGATGGACGATGGATCGAGGGTGATGCCGGGGATGAGGTCGGTGGCCGGGAATGCAGTAGTGGCGTAGCTGGTAGTGCAGATATCGCTCAAGCTGGCTCCATGGGCGAGTGCTGCTAGCCCCGTCAAGGGGACCCAGGCAGATGAACGCATCTCTGGATGGAGGGTGTGAAAAATGAGCTGAGGTGAGTAGAGAGATGACGATGCTGACGATAGAATGAACAGCCCTGACAGATGGGACAAACCGTTTTATATCATTTCGGGCTCCCTTGTCTGCCAATGCTCATTTCCCTTGGACCGAAGCTTGATGAAAAAGGTGCGATCGTCGGTCTAGCTTCGCAACTCCGACAGAAAGCTGCATGATGCCCCACAAACTGGTTCTCCATTCCTCTCCATTCCCACAGATCGTGGGTAGAACTAGTCCTTGTTGGGAAGTTATCACCTACTTTCCGACGGTCAAGTCCACAGTGTCCCTCGGTTCAGCAAGCTTTGACTTCGATTTCTGGGCCAGCACGATGGTTGAGATAGGTCATTGGCATGCCGTGCCCAATGTCACTCGTAACCGGAGTGAGATACTATTCCTGAAACTCTGGGCAAAAACTGTGCCATTCTTGGATGCCTTGGCCAGAGATTGAGAGAAAGATTGCGCCGAGGTTGCGCCGAACGAATTGCACCCCAACAGAGTAGCTTTTGTCTAAGCTCAGCTTGCGAAAGCTTCACCCTCTGTCATCCCCACAAAACCCTCATGAGTCCGGGGTGATGTGTGGAGAAGCGCGGGGTCTCCAGATTCAGGGAGTTCGCAATCCACCACATGTTACGTACCACGGTTCCAGCCAGCTCGCAAAATCCCCAGTGTCATTGTTGTGGGGCAACAGACGTTCTTGCTGAAATCCGTCCATAGCACAGATTTGACATTGTGGGAAACGGGGCGGCGGCGAGTCGGAGGTCGGAGGTCGGAGGTCGGGATAATGACGTCGACAGAGGAGTAAAATTACAAGGAGAACCAAGTTCAGCTCTTGGCGGTGGTATGCGAGATTTGTAAATTATTGCAAATTGACACTAGAAGTGATTCTGTTCACCTATGAAAGCTTATGTCTGAGATTGATAAACTGCGATGTTGTGCTGTAGATAACTTACTCAGCGTTGAGTATATAATGCGCACTCACCATTTCCGTACCGAGCACGCTCTTACGCACCTACCCGGTATAATAAATCGATTTTTCACGTGACTCGCAACAAGCCTTTCAGCCATGCATGAACTAAGAAGTCCAGTTCATAAGCAGAGCATGTGCTAGGTGATATCTCTCGAGCTGGTCCTAGGTAGCATGCTGGAGGTACCAAAAGTCGGCCATTGGGGCAGTGTCATGATCCCTATGCCGTCCCAACCGATCTTTCAAAAACCAAGGCTACGAGAATATCAACATTTTCAGTGGTCCTTCCATACTTGACCTGTTCAAATCCACTATCGCTAGGACTCAGACGCAATCAAGATCACGGAGGCATATACTACACAGCGGTCATATCAATCCAAAGCTAACAACAATCGCCCGGTAGCCAGGCCCCATGACACTTTATATTCCTATCTTCTCCACTAGTGATAAGGTATGCATTGGGAGATACAAAGCTTCGCGCAAAGTCTTTGTACCAGAAACTTTGACATACATGGGCGTTAAAGAGCCGTTGACAAGGGAGGTAGTAAAACAACTCCATATTACAATAATAGACAGCCTCTTTGTCAGAGAAATTATCGGAATGATTCAGGGGTAGTAATTATCAAGTAACTATTGACAGACTCTCTTCGTCCCAGAGCTCCACAGGGGTGACCGAGAAGAGAAATTCATATCTTCTAGACACAGCGAGGTGTTTGGCAAACTTGAATCTACCGGCATAAAAAAGTGTGGAATAATGTCTTGAACCGTTCAAGACCGCTGCTATTATGCTCAGTTATGCACAATATAAAGCTATAATACAAGCGTAGCATAGATACAAAGACAAAGACTGTGACAGACAATGTAGTAGACATGACATGCCGTTAGTGGCGGGATATGACAAATAGGGGAGTGTAGTAAGATAGAAGTGAGAGCTTAGGAAAAGGCTTTTGGGGTGTGGCTCAAAACACGCACTTTCATGCTCACCGCACGCTCCAGGGCTGGTCAGTAACTAAGCTAGAACAGTCCGGTAGTTAGTAGCTTCCTAGCAGCCCCGAAGGAGCGTAGTTGTTATGTGATAGCGGTGAAGCATCGTATCAATCAAAACATCCCCGCTTTCCCCTCTTCAACCCCGCACTTCCGCATATTGCGTCGGATGAGTCTTTATCCCCAAGCTTCGTGGCTGAACTCTGACCTGCAGCTACTGTATGCCAATGCAAAGTTGCCGATGCAAAGTAGCTTGAGCTCGTCGGTTCCCTTGCTGCGGGGGTGAAGAGCCTGCGTCCGTCTTCATGGCGAGGCCGGACCGCTGTGTTCCTCTTCTTTCATCCTCACAGCTCCAGAGTCATGTAGAAAACAGTTTCCAACGACTACTTCCTGTTTTCCGAGGTTTATCTCCCCTCTAGTGACCGTGTCCCTCGCTTTATTATCTCATCGCAAAGGACGCATGATTCGTCGAGGGCTGCGCGCTGCGAACGGGTTAGCCGACGCCAGCGGAAGAAAGCTCCCTTATTCAATCACTGTCTATTCAATCGCCACTACAGCAAGCCCACCAAGAACGGCCATCAGAAAGCAGGGGTCGAAGTGAGGACCTCCGCAATTGCCGGAGAGAATCTAACCATAAGCAAAATTCCCTCTGGGTAGTAAGCAAGCCCACTCGCATACCACGCAGGACCGCAACCGATCAACACGCTTATATCAATCCGCTATCTCTCAAGATAATTTGCGAAACCGTCTCCTCGACCGACTTGAGCACAAATTTGATGTTGCTGGTATCCGTCGCCTGGATCAGATGCGGGTAGAGGTTTAGGTTGGCGCGGTTGACCTGATTGAATTTCCACAAGATAAATTTTGCCGCCTTGTTGATGTCGGCGCCGCCCTTGTAGTCCGGGAAGGTTTTCTCAAGCGGCGAATGCGATAGCTTTTCTTTGAAGAGGTCGACCTTGTTCAAGAAAAGGATCATGCTCGTTTTCAGAAACCATCGCGAATTCACGACTGAATCGAACAACAGTAGGCTTTCTTCCATGCGATTCTGAAACCAAAGATTAGTCTTGGCATAGTCTGCAATGATATCGAGGGCCGTACCTGGTTAGGTTCCTCCAGCAGGACCTGATCGTACTCGCTCAGCCCAACGCAGAAGGCTATAGCCGCGACGTTCTCGAAACAATGAACCCACTTCTTGCGTTCACTTCGTACGCCTCCAACATCGAATACACTAGATGGGATTTAGTCGCTGGATAAGTGTCAGTACTTGGGAGGAGCGCCTACTGAAGCTTGGTATAACCGATGGAGACACGGGTTTCGTAGATTCCGGTGGTCTTCGTCCGCGCACGCAGTACGTCCGCCTCCGTGGGTTGATAACCTTGTGCGGCTATTCGTTCTATGTTATCGAGAAAACTAGGTGCAAGTCAGTACCCAGTGGTCTGGTATAAATCGTTCGGGATCCTACTAAGGTGCTGAATCCATCAAATAAAACTTCGTTCGTTGCTCCATAAGCAGAGGAATAGCGGGGTCATGCCACAGTGCGGATATCAGTTTACAGGCATCGAGCGTGAGAGTTTGATCCGGCAGCAGACCCGTCTCCGACATTGGTAAACGGTACGATCGGGCCTCTTCAGTATGCGGATGTATTCCCAGCTCATTCATTGCCGTAAATAGCGCATCGGCGCATTCCAGGACATTTTTGTAGATCGTCGTTTTGTACCGACTCAACTCCTCCGGTGTGTATCCTTGCATGTACAGAACCTTCATCTGCTTGATGATTGTTGACTTGCCGGACTCCGCAGCACCTATACAAGTTGTCAGCAGCAGAGCCCTGTAGAATAGAAAGTACACTTACCAAGGAGAAGAAGCTTTTGTTCCGTCAGTCCGCGTAGGAATTTCGGCATGTTCCTGTGCTTGGACCGGGCCGCGTAATCGAGCAAAGTCTGGCCGTTTCCACCTTTGTAGCTCAGGTTTGCCCCATGTTTGACAAGAAGCTTGATCATATCTCCATTACCGTGCATTATTGCCGACCAAAGGGGCTCCTGTACAGCAGCTCCATGTTGAATCAGGAGCTCCGCTATTTCACCAAGTCCCAATTGCGCCGCTAAGCTAAGCGGTGTCCCGCATTTGACTGATACTACGTCTGTGTTGGCTTTTGTGGCGCTAAGCAGTAACGATGCCATCTCAGTATCACTACGGGTGATGGCGTGATGCAAAGGTGTGTATCCCGCTGCATCCATGATGTTAACATCGCAGAACGTGAGCAACGTGCGAACAATGTCGTGGTGCCCCAATTTGGAGGCAACATGAAGTGCTGGAAGACCCTCGTGTATCAAAGGAAGATTGCACACCTGCAATATCTCTTTCTTCCAATTCAGCGCTATAGAGAGAAGCGGTTCGTGGTTTTCTCGCACAGCCCATCCAAAAAGACTATGTAACTGAGAACGAAGGGAGCGGCCGCCGGGCTTCCATGGATGAAAGTTCCAGGTCTCGTTAAAGCACGTCGCAAGCTTCTCGAATTTTTCCCACATTGGGGAGTCCCTTGCAAGAGATCTCGTCTGGCTGACCCAGTTCACTGTAGCATAATTCAGAAATTTGTACTGGCTTCGATCTGGGATGGTTGATGTGCAAATACTGCGTAACTGTAGGACTCTCTGGGGCTTGGGACTATCTGGTACTCGAAAAAGGTATCTCAGAGACGACTTCAACGCCGGGCCTGCAAATAGTACAGGGTTGGGGACCACGGCGTCTCTCGTTACATTGCACTTGTGCTCGATCTGAAGGCTGAAGTTGGAAAAGCAAAGATACGCAATGCAGAATTCTCCGCAATTCATTTCTTCCTGTTTCTCATCGAAGGGTTGTTCATGGAGGGCTTTTTGAGGTCCCGGTAGACCATTTTTCACCAGATACTGTTTGATCGAGGAGTGGGCGAACCGGACGCAGAGGTCTATCGGGTCTAGGACCACAAGATTGGCGCAAGAGCCGATGATGAAGTCACGTTGGGGAAGCTTGTTGCTGTCGAATGCTGTGTCCTGTTTCTCAAACGCTACTGCCTCTCTTAACTCTACGACGTGCAGAGGTCGCGACGCGAAGCCAACCCACTTCAGCACTTTCAATGCTCGTATATCATCAGTGTTTATTCTGTTGGCGCAATAACGATATGTTTCCTCGAGATCCTTGGGCAATTGACGTAATGCTGAGCGGACTTCGGCGTCTGTGAAACAAGTGCTCCAAAGAATCTCAAGTTGAATATGCACCCAGAGGAACCTTGCGTCAAAACGTAAGCATAAAGGATGAAGTTTGGGATCAAGAGGTCAGAAACATACATTCCGGATGATTCGTTAAGTAGCACTTTCTTGATTTCTTCTAATAACAGGCGATCATCTGTGAGCTTCCGGTACATGGATTTATCACCGATACTATAGTCAATGTAGGCTCGAATATCGCTTATGGTGTTGTCGAAAGTTGAGGTCCGACCAATCCCAGGTATGAATGTTGCAATGTTGACATAACCTGGTATTTGGTCTCGGCTAAAGAGAAGAATGCGTTGCCCTTTGAGCTCTCTTGCTTCAGAGAATAGTGAGCGGATGAACGTAAGCAGAAGCTTGCATTGTTCTTCCTCCATCGCATCAAACCCATCCAAGACGTACGTGGCCATCGGCACTAGGTCGAATAGTTGTATGAAAATGTCCTCCAAGTTGTTAAAATCGGGCAGAATCCTTCTTCTTCCAAAGAAGGTTACAATCTCTTTTTTCAAGTGCGCTGGCCATGGTCCTGCGTTCCGATGAAGGAATTCACCCAGTTGCCTTATCAGACTAGACAAGACTGAAGACGCCCGCAGAGTCTCATTGTGGTCATGTTCACAATAAAAGAAGACGGTAGGAGCATGGTAGTCTGAGGGCTCGTATCGGATAGTTTCAATCACAGATGCACTAGCCTTCCAGTGTCAGCTCGGCTTCTCAAGGAAGGGCACAGTACCAACGCGATCACTGTCTTTCCAGACCCAACTGCATGAAAGTTGGTAGTCAGTAATCAGCCAACCACACGTATCTGGGAGCTTACTTTTCCCGGTGCACCATAACTTGTTCGAGCGTCTCTCCAACCACGCCTTGAATTCGAAATTTTCCAAGAACCATTGAGTCGTACCAGTCAGTCTTTTGTGCGCAAGCCTTCTATGAACCTGTTCGTGCTCGTAGCTAGAAAGCTGCTCTAGGAGCACCTCTTGCTCGTCCAGTTCTTCAAGTAATCAACAGCAGTTCGGCCTGAACGTGGGAACAAATCGTACCGTTGCGCTGTGAAACTACACTCTGAGACGAGCGCGGGGTCGGCGAGAGTGCTCCAAAAAGGTATGGTACTAGCAGAGCAGATCAGCCAAGAGATTGCCATGTCACGCCAGGAACAACCTACTGTTGCCGGTGGAGAGCTTTGATGGTTCGTCCTCGACTTGTTTTCCATGAATAGTTGACAGCAATTCCTTGGTGTAAGCGGCGGCTGTCGCCGCCGCATATCCCTGCCACACTTTACTCTTGTGGGAATCTGAGTAGTCGCAGATACCACGGACGACGAGACACGGGAAGCTGTCCATCAGGCCTGCCGCCTCCATCTCAAAGCAAAGTATGCCAAGTTCGCGGGCCAGCTTGTCCCTCAAGCGACCGTCCTTCATGACCTGATTCGCAGATGCGATAAGCCCGTAATGAATCTTCGGATCCTGTGAAGCGCGAATTGACCGCTTCCTGCGTCTGTTTAGATCACAATCCATACAGTTGTATTCTGGGTTCACATGATCATATTCGGAATCGAAAAGAATGTCACGGTCAGCGCCAGGGTATGCGTCGAGAAATCGCGGTTAGAAGGATTGGCGGGGGCTTGTTCAGTACGCCTTGTCGAGCAAAGACTCCCCCGGCCAACGATTTTCCATAATCATACTGTACAATGCCACCATAATCCCTTGTTGGCTTGCTGACAACCACATCTCCCAGTCTAACATCCTCCGACGTTCCAGGGACTCCCCCGCCGATGCCCACCATCAATCCGATTCGAATCGAGGGGAATGTCAAGCGGATTTGGCTCGCAATGGTGGCGGCTGATGTTGTGCCATACACACCGGAGGGAAGGCAGGCGATGACCACGTTGTGCACATGGATTCTACCAAGTATGTAGGTGTTGTCGTCGGTCGGTTTGGTCGGCAAATCGGGGTGTCTCTCGTCGAGCATCGCGGCCGCAGCTGCCATCTCCAAAGGCAGAGCGGAGATCCACCCGATTGTGTAATCATGGTGATGGAGAGCTGCTGAAGCTGCTGGAGTGGTTGTCATAATTATGGGATGTCATGTCTTCATTGCAGGATCAAGTTGGGTTGACAGACATGTGTCTGTTCAATTCCTGGGGGTCGTGTTTGCGAAAAGAAGTTGGTGGAATCAGAGAGGTGAGGGGGAAGGAGGGGGAGGATTCAGCCTCGTGTCTCATGCATGTTGCATGCATGCTATAGACAGACTGGGGCCTCAGGCTCGAACTCGACCCCTCTCCGGCAGCCACAACTGCGCCCCGCTAACGTGGCTAGTGTGGAAAATCGGTCGGATCGGGCGGATCGGTCCGACCGAAAAGTGACCCCGAAGCCGAAACAATGACAGACACCGCTTACTATCAACCGTTAACTTATCTGCTTCTTGCGGGGGTGTCTGTATGACCACATCCAGTACATAAGTCATGGGGCCCCCTCACATCGCACTTCTGCTCGTATATCTCATCTTGCATTGTCGCTTTGACCAGCTTCAGAAAGACAAAACACACGCTGATCATCCTGCAAAATGACCCAACTAACCGATCCTCTCCCTCTTCAACCTGCAGATGTTGTTTCCGAGACCACGCGAGCCATAGATGACGCGAGCGAAGAACTGCGCAGATTGAGTCTCGAGGTTAGTTGTCTCAACCTAACCCGCTGAGGTTCAGACCAGACAATAATCAACCCATATCTCCAACAGCTCTTCCACAACCCCGAAACTGCTTTCCAAGAAGTCAAAGCCAGCAGGCTCCTGTCCGACTGGCTCGAGCAGCGCGGGTGGTCCGTCACACGCAACGTTTACGGCATCGAGACCGCCTTCGAGGCACGCTTCTCCGTCCAGGACGGCGGACGCACCGTCTGCTTCAACGCCGAGTACGACGCCCTACCCGGCGTAGGCCACGCCTGCGGCCACAACCTGATCGCCACCTCCACGCTCGCATCGGCAGTCGCGGTCGAGTCGATGCTCAAGACCCGCAATCTCCCCGGGGCCGTCGTTGTGATGGGCACCCCCGCTGAGGAGTCGTACGGCGGGAAGTGGATCATGGCGAAGAATGGCGCATGGCGGGGCTTCGACGCCTGTGTGATGACGCACGGGATGCCGGACTTCAGCACGCCCGTGTGCATGACCAAGGCCTCGTGGAAGCTGCGGGCCAAGTTCCACGGCAAGTCAGCGCATGCGGCGGGAGCGCCGTGGACGGGGCGGAACGCCTGCGACGCCATTGTGCAGGCGTACACGGGGATTGCGTTGTTGAGGCAGCACATTGAGAAGAGTGAGAGCATCCAGGGGTGCATTCTGGAGGCCGGGAAGGTGCCGAATCTGATTCCGGATTATGCGGAGGGGATGTTCAGTGTGCGGGCACCGACGGTGAAGCAGATTGAGGCACTCCGGGCGAGGGTGGAGCCTATCTTTCACGGTGCGGCCGCTGCGACTGGATGCACGGTCGAGTTGGATTGGTACGACTCTCGTCCTGGATCATTAGGGACGTGCTGATGTGAGACACTAGGTTCGCTCTTTATGAAGACGTCGTGACGAACGAGACGCTCGCAGAGCAGTACAGGCAATACATGATACAACATCTCGGCCTAACTCGCGAGGAGATGCTGCCCATAGCGGAGGCGAAGATAGCCCACGATTTGGGTGGGAGCTCGTAAGTGCTTATCATCACTCTCTTCAATATCCTGCCACTCACCTCCTGTGACAGGGATTTCGGCAGCTGTTCTTACATCTGCCCTGGCATTCAATCCGTCTTCAACATCCACGCAACCGATCTCCCCCATTCGACAGGGTTCAGGGAAGCAGCGGAAAGTGAAATCGGGCATGTCGAGGCACTGCGAGCAGGAAAGGCCAACGCGCTGATCTGTATCGATGTCTTGCTTAATGACGACTTTGCTTTGAGGATGAAGGAAGATTTCAACAAGGCGATGAAGGCTGCTGGACGCTTTCAGTAGTCGTGGTCGATTCACCCTTCGTCGTCAATGTATATACCATGGATAACTATGTACAACATCTTTTTCCATGAATCTCTCCAGAGCCAGCACTCTAATTCAATTGCGTCCTTCGTAACACTGGCGCACATCTTCTTGAATCATATATCCAAAAGATTTGGAATGTCAAAAAGAGATTCTCCCGCAGCTTGATCCATTTCTGCCACAAGACCTTCTGGGGGTAGAGAAGTCCGCACCACCTGCTCCAGCACTCGCAACTCGCTTCGGACACTATTAGCAGATTCTGCAGCCCCGGCCTCTTCTAGCAGCTGGGCCCCCTGACGTAGTCTCGAAAGCACAAGCCCGCAATTCACAGCTCCACGAGCGAACTCGAGAGCTCTGGGCATGAACTCCAAAGCATAGTACGTAGTCACAAGATTATAGTCTCCCGAATACGGCAGCATTTGTCGGAATTCCTTCGACTCAAATTGAGTTTGGAGGAGAAGACATGCGCTGTCCAGAGCTTTCTGAACGAAAGCCATCCTGTTGGTATCTGCGCTTCCGTGTTGAGACTCCTTCACGTGCAAAGCGAGACCGTTAACGTGGCTAAACTCGACGAAGCCATGAGATACTGCAGCTTTCAAGTAGGGCCAGGAAACATACATCTTAAGAAATGCGTAGGGAACCATAAAGCGATTCCGGTCTTGCTTCTTAGCGAAAGTCTGATAGAGCGGCTCCATGCTGTTGTTGATATGGTAGAACCAGCGGTCAATTTTCTGATCAAGGGCTCTCAATTTCTGAACAGCACTATCAGATAGTGGATTTAGTCGCAATTCTGCGTTGGCAATTTGCGTTTTGGCTTCGGCTGTAGATTGTCAGTTGGTGGTCGTCGCCCTGTGACGGGAGAAACCTCATACCGGTAATCGAAAACCCCTGCAAATACGCGCAAAGTCGATAGTCCACCGGTCTGCAGTGAGGAGAAACCAGAAGTTGAGAGGCAACAGGCAGATAGTCCATGATATTGTAGATGACGAACGGTCGATCAAGATTGATCCTCATCGAAACAGTCAGTCTATAACTCAGCTTTTAATGGCGTTCGCGCTTACATCAGGTCAAAGCAACACAACGAGAGCCACGTTCTGGCGGAGCCGACTAAGTCTGCTGTGTGTTCGACAGAGACATCGCCTAGATGTAACGCAGCCACATTCAAGCCCAGTTCCGCGGCGATTGAAGCGACATATCCCCATAGACGATGCCTGCCAGTCCAAGCGGCGAGAAGCATCATAGCCTGGACAGTGTATAGATCTATGGCGCCAGAGAATGTGGTGCCGATCATCTGATCTGCTGCGACAAGATAGGTGGTATACTTCTCGCGATGAACTGCCTTGGATGCAATGACGCAGATCACTGTCGCCATCAGAGGTTGTTTGCGGATGACGTGCGCCGCTGAGTAGAGCTGGTCATCCATAAATGCGATGACTGTTCGGCAGTGCTCATCGAAGCTGAATTTCACGTAAACATATACATTCACAAACCTTTAGTGAGGGTCTTGGCAGAAGCCGTGCACTCACAAATTATACAGCTTCGCCCACTCATCCTCAGTAACCGTACCAGATCGCACGATGTCAAACGAGTCCGTATCCTTGGCTCGATTCCCGGCGAGCAGCTCATCATTCGACAAGGACACCTCACGCCCACTCTTTGTACTAGAATCCAGCCGGTCGCACAATCGAGAGACGGTGCTTTGTAGTTCTCTCAACTCTTTCTGGTGTCTCTCTTCCAAGCTATTCATCCGCTGTTCCAAGGAAGACCATTTATCACTGCGATGTGAGCAGGAAATTCATGGCCAACGCAATTGTATCAAACTCACTCTAACTCTTCAGCAAGGTGTTTAGACCTGCTCGAGGCACGCGATGCCCGGGGGTTGACAAAGACACATTCATCGCGGCTCGCTTTGCACCTCGCACAAGGGACTTTGCCGGGACCTCCACATTTGAGTTTCTGTCGTCGGCAGCGTAGGCATGCCGAGACCGATCTGGTTCATCAGTTCCAGAACGAGGATGTAGGAGCGAGAAACAATGTTTACCTGCTTGTAGTGTCCATCGCCCTCGACTCGGGATACTTAATTGTCGCTGGTCCGGATGGTGACGGGTAAACAACACGATAAGACCGGTCAGCCGATAAGTGCTTCGGGGTCTGCACCGGTCGGATCTCGGAACGAACAAGAAATCCAAAAAAAAAATAATGTTCAAGCTAGCATGTCCTGGTTTCGATCCAGGGTCCTCCGGGTTATGAGCCCGGCGCTCTTCCCCTGAGCTAACATGCTGATTTGATGTAAATGATTTCTTAGTCTGGTTACTTACAACAAAATTAGGTCGTCCACTATGACATTATGTCTGGGGTGTTATTTGAGCTGAATCGCATGCAATTTTCAGCCTTCACTGGAATCAAGTCGAAGTCTCTTCTTATTTTTCTCGACCACATCAGAACAGTCGCTGTCCCAACTTCAAAATCTCGGCAATTAGAGCTCCCTGCTGACCCACGGAAGGAATGCGATCAGCGATCCAGTTTCGTTGATGTTCTGATGGCGTAAACTGCCCGGCATTTATGAAGGGCCAGAAAAGAAGGTGTGCACCGGCATCTCTTGGAATACTTGGGTCATCATGCCTAAGGCGCTTGAGTGGGTTTGTGATCCCGTTTGGGCTGCTACTATCAAGCAACTTCAAGTGATAGCCACAGTGCTGTGGGGCTGTTGCACATATCTCCGAGCTCAGCTGGTACAGCTTCCTCAAGGTTTGACGATGCTGTATCGGATTAGCCATCATGCAGGGCTGTGCAGATACCGTACTTTTCTCGCATTGTTGGCGAATCTCATCAAGCAGAATTATCCGACATGCTCGAAGGTTATTCCAGTTATAAGCGATCCATAGGTCTGGGTAGACATGGAAGTCCTCTCCAAAGACCAACTCTGACTTCACTAACAGATTAAAACTCTCAAATTGCCAAGAGGATGAAAAGGTGTCTGCTAATGAAGCCAGCTCGCTGTCAAGTGCCTGCGCGGCGATGATTATGCTCTGTGAATCTTGTGTCCTTCCCGATCGCAGGTCAGCACGAAACTCGGTCACCAGGATGATCATCTCCGACAACCGCCATGCAGGATTGTTCGTAGTATCAACACATTTCAAGGCCTTTTCATGCAGTAGGACTAGATCACCCGGTATCGGAACCGACAAGATAATGCAATGTACCGAGATACATGCGAACAGGTGATGAAATAACTGCTGTCTCGGACAAGACGAGATAGACTCGTCTCCTCGCAGACACAACAGCGTCGCGGCGCCCTTCACATGCGCATAGCGGTTTGGGATAGTTCGCCTAGTTTCAGCGGTATGAGACTCGTAGGAGATGAGAAGCAGTATCGAAATGACGATCGCATCAGTTGCCGCGTTTACTTGGGATGACGAAAGTGCTGAATTGATATATCGCAAGGATCGGACATATTCAGCCCTTGCTTCGCTCAAAATTTCGGGATACTGATACTTGTGAGAGTAGGCCGCGAGTCCGACTGCACTCAGACTGGTGGCAACCATCGGGTCTCTTAGTACCTCCGCGCTGAATGTATAAAGGTATTCATTATAGCCCCGGATCGCTCCGGTCGGTCGCAAGACATGGTTTGCTAGGTAGTAATCGGTTGCACGGCAATGTAGAGGCTGCACTACCTCCATCGGAATACTTAAATCTAGATCAAGGTACTTCCTCTTATGTATGGTAGAGAGGTTTTGCTTCGCATTAGAAGGTGAATTCCGGGAGGTGGTTCTGCGCAATGACTTGTAATCGTTCGTCGCTTTTTTCTGCGGGTCACAATATATAAACATTCGATGAAGGGAGTCCGCGTCCTGCGGGCACTGCCAGCCAGATCGAACACATTGTGTACAGGCTGGTCGCAGCTTATCGCACTGCAAAAAAGTCACCTCATGAGACTTATAGATCGCAGCGAGGTAAGATGGGCTTACTTTGATCTTCCGCTTCCTGCAAGTTTGGCAGCCTGTTGACAGCCGTCCGTGGCGAACCATTGTCCCACATGAGGCCAGTGTCGTGGAGCGTGCCCCAGCACGTCAGCGCAACTGGTAATTATACTACCTTTGCAACTCGAAGAACAGATTGCGAATCATTACAAATACTGAGGATGATGTGAGCTAAGGTTCTCATGATGACAAGGAATCCAACTTAGTGAAGAGAGACTCCCAAGTCAGCACCTGCGGGCAGCAGTGACGCTAGCCCTATTTGGAAGGTATTGCGAATAAGCCAATCAGCGCTCTGTACAGCGAGTGTGAAGATATTCAAATCTATGGAGAATGAACCTGACAACCCCTCAATCGACGGTCCATGGAGATATAAAAACCGTCTCATAACTGCTCGATTGCTTCAAGAGAACAATCAAACTGTCACATACCGAGTCACCTTTCCCACCTAGCATACACAAATCTTCGACATGTCATCCGATAATAGAAAGGTCGTGGTGGTTTTTGGAGCCACCGGAACCCAAGGTGGCTCAGTCTCGAGAGCCATTCTCGGCGACCCTGATACCTCTCGGCAGTTTCAGGTCAGAGCTATCACTAGGGACCCTTCCAAGCCAGCTGCGTTGGCCCTCGCTCAGCTGGGAGCAGATGTTGTCAAGGTAAGCCTACACATCTGCTGATACAATACTACGGCTCTAACCACAAAGATCAGGCAAGCCTCAACGAGAAGGATGAAATCTATGCTGCACTTCAGGGTGCCTATGCGGTGTACCTAGTCACCAACATGGAAGCCTTTGATTATGCTGCAGAGACAAGGCAGGGGAAGCTTGTGGCTGATGTTGCAAAGGTAGGGTCGGCCTCTGGTACCCGAAAAATCGATCTAATCAAAACAGGAGCTGGAAATTAGGCACCTGATCTGGTCAAGTCTGCCGCATATTTCGCAGAGTAAGTCATCTCAGACCTCTTCCGGAGTAGTGAGTCAATCAACCAGTCGCACTCGACTAATCGTGCTGCTACTTGAAATAGTCACCGACAGTAAACTCACCGGCGCCGTTCACTGGGATGGCAAAGCCGTTGTTAACGACTACATTCGGTCTCTGGCAATTCCTCACACGATCATCAACATTGGAGTCTATGCGTCCTTTATTATAGACTTCTTCCTCGCTCCTCTATCCACTGATCCTCCAACTTTGAGCCTGTGCTTGCCGGAGCCTGCCAACATCAACACCCTGCTGCCTGTAGTTGACGCAGCAGCCGATGTCGGCAAGTTCGTGAAGGGTATTCTGCTTCGCCCAAAAGAGACAATTGGCAAACAGTTCGATGTCGCGGAAAGATACTACACCGGCAAAGAGATAGTGGAGACCTTGAACAAACTGGGCAGGTCTGTGGTCTGCCAGACCCTGCCCAAGGAGACGTTCAAAGCTGCACTTGCCTCCAGGGGACTACCTGAATTCTTCCAGGAAGACTTGTGCCAGGTCTTCCAGTACATTGAGGAGTATGGCTACTTCCATAATAACACAGTCGAGGAGGCTCGCGAGGTAATACCCTGCCAAAGTCTGGTGAAGAATGATGTAATGCTAATCTTGTATCATGACTAGATTGCAAGCGAACCACTGATCTCGTTGGAGGAAGCATTTAGACGCCATCTCGAGCTTGTCAAGTTGGGAGATAAATAAAAGTTTTGCATTGGAGTGGAAAAATGCTCAGTACCGTGAATGGGTGAGTATCGAATGGATGGTATTTGTGGAAGTCAGTTGTTGGGTGGGGTATTTTGCTTGGGTCTTGTCGGGCGGTTAGCATTTAGGATTAGAAACTGGATGCCTTGCTGCCTTGCTGCCTTTCTGCCTTGCGGAACCCACTGGTTCGCTGTACGTAAGATCACGTGACCTCATGTCCTCTGGCTTCCGGGGAGTGTGACCCAACTGTGGACGCCTTTGAAGCCGGCCAAGAGGCCTCGCAAGATACCCCAGTTCCAAGGTCGGAGAGTCTATATTTAAGCATGAACCAACGGAGACTCTGGCGTGGTCGTGATACGTAAGGCTTCGATCACGTGCAAAGCAAAAACGGACTAGCGGGGAGGTTGTCTACGTAAGACACCCGGCCCAGGAGACGGTGGAGTTCGAGTCTTTGTTTACAATCTCCCACAGTCCTAAGCCTTCAAAGCGTGTTTCAGCTCTCGCTACCCCTATTGCAAGAGCATGCTACTATATCGGTTGTTGATATTGTCTCCTGGCTGACAATGACCGGCAATGATTGGAAGGGGGAGTTCGCAACATCACAGTTTCAGACATTCATGGGGCGGCGGCTGAGGGGTTGTCGACTTGCGATGGGCTTATCTGCAGATCCTGTGGGTAGGAACGATGAGCAACCATCTCGGTGTGGCTTGATCAGTCCAATGGGTGGGTCCTGGGGAGAATGCATGCTCATACGTAGGCTCAGTGGCTTTCAGCGCCAAACGAGCACATGTACCGAGTAGTATATCGAATATCGAGGGAAGATCCACCGCGTTTCCACTGTCCACGACGGCACTTTCCCTCTTTGAGACGAGCGCCCTCTTGCCGGCGGAAAAGTATTCAAGAAGACGTTGACAGTCGCTCTGCAACATGCATGCTATCGAGCACGCAAGCCGCCCAGTCATCGTCCAGTCAAGCTTTTGCACCAGTTCATGGCCCCATGGCCCGCGAACAATTACATAGCAAAGGCTGTCGTCGTCGGCCAACAGTTCCACCCACCCCGCCAATGAGAGCTCGGATACCTAATATGCATACGTCCTTCATTTCACCCGGTGGAGGCGCCTTTGATCAGAGACGAACTTAGTCCCAAGGACGACATATTCGCTGTTGCCTTCGCACGCTGCGCCAGCCCCCCTGACAGCCCACCTGCGCCTTGGTCGCGCTTGCCCATAAACCTCCGCCACTTCCCTGTCCTCGCTCCAGCCATCGGACGTTCGCTCTCTATATCTCTGACGAAACTCTCCTCGTTCGTTTCTGAAACTTCTCATTCGTTTATCATCACACATTCGTTACACACAGCCAATACAGCCATGAAGTCCTACATGCAGTGGGCCGCCGCTGCCCTCGCCGCCGGAGTGCCCTTGTGCGCAGCTCAGACTTACACCGACTGCAACCCTTTGAACAGTATGTTGATGCGGAGAACTCGAGTCTGAGCCTATCGCTAACTGATCGTCACAACAGAGACCTGTCCCGCCGATACTGGTCTCGACCAGTGGTCTTTCAGCACTGATTTCACCGTCGGATCTTCTGCGTTCAACCAGTGGACCACGACTGCTGGCACGGTCAACAGCACCTCCTTGGGTGCCAAATTCGAGATCAAGGAGGAGGGAGATGCTCCCACTATCCAGACTGATTTCTACATCTTCTTCGGAAGAGTGGAAGCCAAGTTCCGCTGTGCCAACGGTACCGGTATCATCAGCACTCTTGTGATGGAGTCCGATGACCTTGACGAGATTGACTGGGTATGTTCGGGTTTCCAACAAGTAAAACAGTTAAACGCTGACCACTATCCCAGGAACAAATCTCAACCTTCGACACTTACGTCCAGACCGACTACTTCGGTAAAGGCAACACCACAAGCTACGACCGATACACCAACGTGGATGTGACCGATCCCATTGAGGAGTACCACACCTATGCCGTTGACTGGACTGCGGAAAGAATCGAGTGGATCCTCGACGGAACTGTGGTCCGCACCCTCGAATACGCCGACGCTGTGGATGGCACGAACTTCCCGCAGACCCCCATGGTTGTCAAGATCGGAATCTGGGCTGGTGGCGACCCCAGCAACAGCGCTGGAACTATCGGTAAGTCCACTGCAGCACTCAAGGATCATCGATGTTGTTTTGCTAACGTAATTCGCAGAATGGGCGGGTGGCGAGACTGACTATACTGCTGGTCCCTTCATCATGTACCTCGAGTCGGTGAACATCACCAACTACAGCCCGGCATGCAGCTACACCTACTCCGACAAGACCGGCGACTACACCAGTATCACCAGCTCAAACTCCACCTGCAACGCCACTTCCACCACCACCTCTAGCAAGAGCACCTCCGCCAGTGGCTCGGCTGTTGCCTCCAGCTCTGGTGCTGTCTACACTGGTGGCGCGAACAGTCTTTCCTATGGATCTGCGATTTCCATGGTTGGCGCTGGTCTTTTGGCTGCTCTTCTCTAATCTGAAGCTTCGAGCCCATGCTCTGACTGCGTCAGATAAGGCGTCTTCATTACTTTGTATATATAGACCAACTCCGCAAGATAAATACCAGATGACCCTGTTTGTAAGGAGTAGTCTCCAGAGAAATGCGACCCGTGTCCCAAGCTTGATATGTAGTATTTGCGAGGTCCAAAGCCCGTGTTGCGATATTATATTTTGAGATTGCAACAGCATGAACAGATCGAGCACGTGGTCTTGCCACCCTTGCTGCCTCCACTCGAGAAGACAAGATAGCCTTTATTTCCCTCTACCTTGCGACAAGCTAAACCAGCAAGAAATCTCAATATCGATCTTTGCATACTCTTGAAGCTTTCTGAATCATGTGATCCCCAATCGACTAACTCCGAGATCCGCAGCCAGAAGCCCTTGATCGAGACTCCCTAGTCTCTTTCCTATCTGTTTGACAATGATGGTGGAGTCGGGCCTAGCCGAGTAGCCTCCCCGAGCTCGGAGTTTGCCGAGGCCCGAGGCCCGCCCTGTCCCACCCCGGGGTTAATTGCTACTCATGGATTGACCTTTGCAAAACTGGGTTTGATTTACAGATAAACTGAGCAAAGTCTGTCATACATATAGGGCCGACAACACCATGAGAAAGAGGAGACATGTAAGGCTACATTGACCCATGTCTGACTGCAGAATCGGGCATATGAGTACTCCGTAGTAGAGGTTAATATGCAGAAGCCGTCGAATTAGCAGACCTCGTGTACGTCAGCCGCGAATATCCCATCCCTGTCGATGGCCGGTTATGTGGACCTACCGTATACTCAGCACACCCTAGGTAGGCCATGGTAGACCCGGGAGGAGGAAATGAGACCGACGCCGGGAAACGGAAACGCGGCTCGGAGCTAAGAACTTGCAGCCGAGTCGACGAAAAAAACAATGACCGATCAGAACTGCCAACTCGCCGCCGATAGCCGAGCTTCCCACAGTTGCGTCTCGAGTTGCAATCTGGCGAGACAATCTAGATACGCGCTAGGCAGGGTAATGACTCCAGGAGGCTCTGCCATCAGTCGAGATTATTGGATCTCAGAGATCACAGAGATCCGTCTTTACCCACCTTTCCGTGTCAGAAGCCGCGTGGATACATTAGGGTCTCAAGCAACAGGCGATCTTAAGTCTCGTCTTGGATCAAACAGGGATCATAACCGTTGATCGGCTGTCATGAGCTCGCCAATGCTGACAACAAGCTTCGCTGAGCCTAGCGAAGCTCGAAACAAAAGGCTTAATCTTATGCGATCCACACCATTCCCGAATTTCCATCACTCCTGGGCGACACTTGTCTTCGGAATGACTAACACTGCAATTACCGAAGTGACGCTTTTCTCTCTATGAATGATACTCAAGCTTCCAAAGGGTCCAAGGGCCCCATATAGTCCTTTCCAACCCCGCCCCTCATTACCATCGTTCTCGAAGCTGCGACGCCCGCTACTATGGCTTTCGTCCCGTGTTCCTCGAACGCCTACATCGACAACCTCGGCTCCTGCTACCGATCCTGATACTCGACCTTTCTCCAGGGGCGAATCCCCAGCGGCACATGTGGCACGAACTAGACAGCCCTGGCCGCCAGCACCTCCACCTCAACGCTGCAATGTTACCTGTAACAACGCGCATGCGCCCTCAGCCAAATGGACGAAAGAAGTGCTTGAATGTACCGGTGAGAGGTGCGACAATATCACGGGGAGTTTCAACTACACAGATCGGGCGAATGGGAACTTAGAGCTGCGATCTGTGTGTTTGTATGCTCGAGGTACATATGCATAACCGTCCACTTTTCCCCTGTGACAATGTGCGGTGGGGTCGCGAAAGCTGACTCATGCGGGCACAGGGACCGGTACTTGCACTTCTTCCGCGTCGAGAATGTCGACGGCTGAGGTGTTGGTGGGGTTGCTGGCGATGAGTCACGCATTCTTTGTCAGGCAGATCAGAATTGGTCTTCTGGTGTCGTACTTCAGATACGACCCATGAGCCTTTTGATCTCAATTGAAGATCTGATTGATGGTAGGGGACTGTTACTGGGAAAGGCATCATCTCGAGACTGAGACCTGTGCTGGGTGACCAGATCGTTCCGGTGCGAGAGCAAGCTACGACAGTGGTATGTTACGAGTATGACGTACCTAAGGCTTGAGGTATAGCGAGATTGAGTCTGTGGACCGGAAGCTCAACGCGGCATTTTCTTTTTGTTTATGAGCGGAGAAACTACTTTCAAAATTCCAGAGTTGATAAGGATATTCAAAGATCCAAAAAACAAAGCTTCGATTTCCCGAGGAATGACGCTCACAGGCACGATGATAAAAGTACTGGCTTCCTTAGCAGTAAGTTTTTTGAATCATTCACTGCGCCATATGAAGTCAGTGGTTGCAATGTGCCAGGCAGCCGCTGCGGGGACAGGCAGCAAACCATGCACGGCGCAAGGAGGCACTGTACAGTACAGTACTATATTTCAATTCACTTGGAGTAACACACCAAATAGTGACACTTGCTAAATCTGCTATAATCCATTACCATCCCTCTTACTTCCTTCCACCTTGTCACTCTCTCACCTTTTTACTTTTCTCATCTTCCCACCTTACACACTCTCTGCCTCTCCGTCTTCAACTCCAGTCTTGCGTCCTCACCTCCACAACTGTCATAAGAACCTACCTACCGTGCCTCAACACGAAGCCACACACAAAATGGGGTAAGTGCGAGCTCACCAATCTCCCCATCATCCTCAACCCCAGATCCCAGTCAGGGGACTAACGCTCTCGCGCCTGAAGCTACACCCACTACTTCCACGTGAACTCCGCCAGCGAAGGCTGGGCGGCGATCTGGCCGCGCCTGATCGCCGACACGAAGACGATCATCGCCGCCGCGGGCGTTCCGCTGACCGGGCCTCCCAAGTACCACCCCAACGGGTACGAGATGACCACGCCCCCGATCGTGTCCGTGGACGAGGGGATCGATCTCAACGGGGTGGGCAAGAACGGCCACGAGCCGCTGGTGATCGGCGTCCAGGAAGACGGATCTTTCAAATTCGTGAAGACCGCCCGCAAGCCCTACGACAAGGTGGTGGCGTGTGTGCTGCTCCGGGCCGCGATGCTGGCGCCTCAGGCGGTGAATGTCAGGTGCGTAGCTAGCTCTTTTCTGTTTCCTTGAATCGTTTCTTAGCTTTCCCCTCGTTCCTCGATTTCCTTCGGACATTGAGAGGCGTATGCTGACGATTCAACGTGGCGTGCTCGCACAGTTCCGATGGCTATTGGGATTATGATCAGGAGTGGATCCCTGCGAGGGTGCTATACCAGCGTCTGTGGCCGCAGGACAAGATTCATTGTCCGTGGAAGGAGGAAGAGGCAGTTGACGAGGAGATTGTCGACAACCCCGGCGGCGGCAGCACTGGCTGTGCCCAGCAATAGAGGAGGACCAAGCCATGGAGAGGTGGGATATCCGGGTTCTTGTAGCGTCGGACGCCTCCCGCGCTGTCGGATTCTCCTACTCTGGACGGGTTGCGCTTCTGGTTCCGTTCAAATGCTCGCGACTTCCGCTTCTTGACCAAGCTGTGTCTCTCGGTATGGGGAACAGATCAATTAAGTTATGTGATCTTATGCAGGAATTGACTGCTATGGCTGTCGCCACACTCTCTTGTCCATCGACTAGCATAGTACTGGCAGACTTCAAACTCTTCTGCATTGTATCAGGAGTTATGCCCCTCTGCGCGCTTCAAGTCGCTTGCCATGTTTTAGAACTATGCATTCAGCTCCAGAACCCGAGTGAAAGATACAGCCAACTAACACGAGTGCCATAGCATAGTAGGCACCTCATGGGGCGTGATTCTCCACGTGCATCCCACCGTTATTAAGCATTGCTGCTGAGAGGGTCAAGCGCGGGAACACATACTGCCGCACTGAAGCGTTCCTGGATACGAGATCGAATGCCTAAATGCCGTGAAAAGTGAGTAGTATTTATTAGATTTATAGCACTATTAGAACATAATGGAGGACTTTGCATCGACGCCAGATCGTCGCTCCCAAAGTTTACATATAATGTTGAGAAAGTCTCAGCGACCGGGGTTACACCACCCCACGACCTACCCACCAGCACTAGCTCCACCCCGCGCCTGTACTCTAGAACAGCACCTTGGTGACATCCTTGTTCTCCTTGATCTTGATGTTCTTGATCATCAGCACCCAGGCAATTGACAAACCCATCAGCGCCGTACCGGCGATCATCATATTACGCTGACTGGAGGCGTATGCATTCTGGATGGCGATGCGGGTCTCCGACCCAACCGGAAAGCTGAGCTGAACATCGAGCGACTCGTAGATCTCCTCCCACTGGTCGAGGGTATCGGCGGGGAGATACTGGCGCAGCTTCTGGGGCAGGGTGTTGGTCCAGATGGCGCCGGAGACACTGCTGCCGACGGCGCCGCCGACATTCCCGAAAGTGCTGAGCAGGGCCAGCATGGCGGCGTACTCCTCGTGGGAGGAGGCAGCCAGGACGGCGACCTGCTCGATGAGGATCAGGGTGCCGCCGCCGACCGCCAGGAAGATCTGGCACATGCACATGTAGCCGACGGAGTGACCGGGGGTGCGGAAGTAGATCATCAGCCCGCTGGCCAGCAGGTACAGCGGCACTGCCCACAGCAGCAGCCACTTGAACCGGCCCGTCACCCGGATCAGGTACCCGCACCCGATCAGCCAGATCGGGTCCATCAGGTCGAAGATCGAGCTGATGTACCCCGCCTGCGTCAGGCTCGTGTTGTACACCACCTGCAGGAACGAGGTGTAGTAGCTCGCCCAGCAGTAGTACGAGATCTGGTAGGTCGTGCTCAGCAGGCACGCCCCGATGACTGTCCGGTTGGTCAGCAGGTGGTACGGGATGAACGGCTTGGGCGCGCCCCAGCGCTCGTACACCACGAACAGCAGCAGCACGCAGAAGCCCACGACCATCATTGCGATGATTTTGGGGGATTTCCATTCGTCCTCCGTGTTGCCGGCGATGTTGAACGAGGTCAGGAAGAGGATCAGGCCGCCGATCATGAGGATGATGCCGCCGACTAGCAGGGGAGAGACTCGGTGTTAGATGGATTATTGCTGAAGGGGCTGAGATGGGCGTAGGGAAGGGAGATACATACCATCGAACTCCACAATGTAGAACCAGATGCTTTGCCACCAGGTGCGCGTGCTGCGGGGCTTGTATTGCAACCGACCCTCCTTGTCAGCCTTGCGCTTGGCCATCTCCCAGGTCAAGATCAACGGCAGGGCAACGACGGGCAACAGGATGCAGACAGTCCCATACGCCCAGCGCCAGTTCGTCTCGTGGAATTGGTTCGAGAGGGGTGCGCCGGCGAATGCGGTGATAATGTACGGTGAGGAGGTGAAACCGAACGCAATGCCACGGTTGCGCAGGGACGAGGTGTCGGAGGTGAGGACGTCCACGCAGAAGATCACGCCCGTGAAGCCGACCGTGTGAAAGGCCTAGGACAGACAGTGTGAGTTTGTTGATGCGTGCAATAGCTAAGAAGAATTTCGACTTGGAGTCACTCACCTGCGCAGCGCAGTAGGTTGCGATGTTGTTGCAGCCTGCCATCATGATCAAACCCATCATCGCGATGAGAACCATGATACCCAGACCGACCGTTCGATCCCACAGGTTCAGCACCTTGGCGATCGGCAGCAAGCACGCAGCTCCCATAACACTGGTGACGATGCTGATGACCGTCAAGAGTGAATGTGCTGAGAAGTCACTGGTGATGTAGGCTGACAGGTTGGCAGTGAGGTTGTTGTTCAGCCCACTGACAAAGTAGAGCATCCACATGCTATAGACCTTCAGTCAGTTTGTCCCCGGATCCCAAGACTCTCCAGGCACATAGGCTAACATGCACTCACCATCCATAGGAGAAATAGAGAGCCTTCTTGGACCAGACGGCGGTGACCGCCTCCGCCACGCGAACACCATCCTGTTGATCTTGGTTCTGGAGTGACGGATCGGGAGAGGCCTCGGGCTCGATGGGAAGAGGATTCTCATCGACTTGAGGGGCATGGCTCTTGTTGTCCAAGGCCATGGTGATTGAGCAATCGAACCGTGTCCGACAGGCAGAGGAGGCGGCGGGAGAGAAAGCGAGAAAGCGAAGAAAGAAAAAACTTTTGTCGATCTGCCAATCGATCCTTTGGGCTGCGGGCGTGAGACATTTTAAGAAGCCCTTGCACGGCCAAGCCTTGTCTGTGTCACGCCTGCGTATTCTCAATCAACTGGGTCAGCGATTCCCCTCCTAATGTCTTGGTTTTTGCTTGGCGACATCTCCAAGTGGCGGGCCTGGTCCGGGGTGGAACCCAGGATGCTGCATCTGATAAGATACCATCGCCACGCTAGGGTTGGGTGGTTCGCTGACACTTTGTGCTATTTCGCTAGAGCCTTGGGGGTTAAATGGTTGTTGGATGCTTCCTGCAGTAATGAAAACTCTATTCCATGTTCAGTCCCTCACAACAAATGAAAAAGATCATCGTGTGCTCCGTCAACGCAAATTCTGCTGTCTTCTTTCTCTCCCGTGCAGATACCTCTTCAGCCACAGCGAAAGGATGCAACATATGCAGCCATTTCAAAGGAGTGTGCAACAACAGCGTGTCATGTGTATCATCAAACCCCACCAAGAGCTGAGACGAGCACCGCTCCCCTCCCCTCGCCCGCCAAGAACAGCCAAGGATCTAATCAATCCGCAAAGCGGATATCCTCCGGAGCACATCGGACCACTCTCGAGTGGTTGCACTCGGTGGGTGAGCCAAGAGACGAAGACTCGTAACCGAGGTCGTGGCCGGACACTTGGCCCTCGTAGCCAAAGCGAGGAGCCAAGCCCGCGATTTCTTGGAGGGAGTCCTTGGCAACCATGCCACGCGGTTTCCATCGATGCAGAAAATCTGATAAAAGAACAAGTTCTTTCTGGTCAGTCTTGAGGTCTATCCATAAGGTAGAACATCATCAAATAATTCTCTACCTCTCCACGACTAGAATCAAGCTTATGTGAACGTGGAGGCCTAAATTCCAGAGCGGAGACTTTCGTGGTCCGCGGGCCCCGTAGGCGGGGCTCCCCATACGTCGGACCCTTTTTTGTCCCCCTTGTTAAGTGCCGTGTACCCTGATTCCGAATAATTGCCGCAGAAAGCGCCGCATCTGTGGCGATGATGATGCTGTGTTCTCCGCGGGAGTCTCACTCATTACTTCGAGCTTCATCATAACCCCACGCTACTAAAACGATAATATGATCCATCGTGAGATTATTGCGATGCGAAGGCTCTACTCGCGAAGTCGAGCTGCTGTTACTAGAATTGGCGATTTCCGTTTCTCACTAACTAGCCTACCACCATTTTATAAATTCGTGCCCCTGTTGCCGCATGTCAGATTGGTTTACCTATTTTGAGATTGCCGAGATGGATAAGATGTCTCACATCGAGTTTCTAGGCTGCCATCCATCTTGTTCAAAGACCATGGAAGAACGGTGGGCCTGTATCTGCTGAGAAGCGACATCTTGGCCATGCAGGTTAACACAATCAGATCCTTTTTCTGGCAGCTTGGTCTTCTTGGTTCCCGGGCGGGAAGCGGGTTGATAAGATTGATAACAGGCGCTGCGTTGGAAGAATCAGATGTATCTGGGAGTGCGTATTTTGAGTACGTGTATCTGTATGTTCCTTTCCCGAAAAATACACCGCACCCGGCTGGATATGATGAATACTGTCCTGTTCTCCATCAATTTCAGATGTCCGAGAACCACATCTTACATACCATCATGTCTGGTAGAGAAAAACAACGCAAGTCAACTGGTTTTGCTCGGCCCCTTAATTCTTCCATTGGCAGTCACAATTGCATAGCTCTGCCACCCTTGGAAATTCCAGTACGTTCATGTTCCAGCGATTGGAGTTTCGTACCTGCAAAAGTCGTACGGAGGATAGATAGTGAGATTCCAGAATCGGCCCCGGGCAATGCTGATCGAGAAACAGCCACAGCGATGAGAAGCTTGCCATGGCAGTATTTACTCAGTAGATTCTTGTTAAAAAGGTATTGTGTTGCTAGCCGCATCTAGAATATGGGTATCTACGGAATGCAATGTTACACATAAGAAAAATAGTGCAACTATCAAGCACATACGACCACAGGGTGTGGAAAACAGGGCTTCCCGTCCGCTCAGCCGTACTTAAGCCACACGCCGGGAGGTTAGTAGTTGGGTGGGTGACCACCAGCGAATCCCTTCTGTTGTATGTTTTTGCTCTTTAACTTCATTTTGACTGAGTATAATGGCTAGAAGTGGCTAAGGTAGTGGTTGGTCGTAGGTGCGCTGGTCCAGAATACAAAATGCACTTTCGTACTGTTAGGTCATGATGAACTTCAGTAGGGGCGTTTTCGTCATCCGCCACCTCTACCGGCTATAACAAGGGCCCCTCGCCCTCGCCCTCAGAGCTGCTGTGCGTCTTGCCGCTGCGACAGCCGTCTCTTCTGACGTGCGATCACCAGGTCCCATACTTGGGCTTGTGAGTCCCCTGCGCTAATAGGCTGTTCCATGGAGCCTCATCAGGACCCCGATCATCGCGTCCCGTGCTCGAAGAGAGCGATCTGAGTCCACAGGCTCTGGCGGCCTCGAGTGGTCTCTACGGTGAGAGACCAGACCCACAAGCATCAGTTCATGTAGGGGTATGTTCCCCTGGTGATTGGTGGAATTCACCGTCGCCCCGCGTCGAACGAGATAGCGGACGAGATCGAGCTGATTCCACTCGGCCGTGGTGGGCTTGTCCACTCTGACCTGCTCCGGCAAACCGGCCGATCAGATCAAAGTCCAGCGGTTGACCCAGGCGTGCGGGTGGATTGGTGGAGAAGGTTGTGACCCGTGGATGACAGCTGCTAGCATCGGCTCCATGCGCAAGTAAGAGCTGAATCACAGGGAAGTACAGGGTGTTTCCAATGGCCTGGCTTACCGGGAGAGGACGCTGGGGGTGGGAAACGTTCACGGTGGCCGGGCCAGCTTCGACGAATAGAGTCACAGTATCTAGTAGCCGGTTGTGAGAAAGCCCTCGCGACCGAGTCAACGCCCAGTGCAGTGGCAACGGCCTTTACTGTCTATTACATTCACCATAGCTGCTTGCTCGACCAGGTCCTCGCCGTCAATCAGGGCAGTCTAAGCGATTGACGCGCCCTGCAGGTGAACACCCCGGCTAGGCTGCAGTTTATCTCACGGTTTGTCCTCCAGCCACTCCGTCCGCTGCTGCACTATAAGGATCACACGATCCGGACGGCGGCGGAGGCGGGGCTAGACGTGGCGGAGCTGGCGGTGGGGCCCGCGTTCGTCGTGGCGCGGGGGTATTTCACCTTGCGGCAAGCGGATACCAGCTCGGCGGAGAGTCGCGATCCCACAAAGCAACAGCAGCTGTGGGAGAAGACGTTGGAGTGGCTGGGGATGACCGAGGAGCAGGGGGCACTTTAGGGCGGGATTACGGCTTGAAACCAATACGGTCACTTAGGGCTCCTGATTGTACGAGTGCAGGTCACACTACATCACGATAATGTATTGATATTGTTTTTATCTCGAACCGTTTCCCCTATGATTGTTGTACTCAAAAAAGAGATACAAACCGGCGCCTTTGCCGGTGACGGATTTCTGGACCGGACCGACAGGGGAAGGAATCTGCCTTGCCATATTTTACTAGCTGAAATGTATATTCCGTAGTGCTTATCGAGTGGGGAAGCATTATGGCACGAAGCGCCCAAGCGCCACTATCTATATATGCGCGGGCATGGATCTACTCAATGGCCTTGTAGGTGATAGGTGGCTGGCAAAAAAAGTGGAGTATGGCTAGAAAACTGACAAGGGTATGTAAATCCCGCATAGCTCTTGAGAGATTCCAGTTCCAGCGATTCTCACCCCAACCAGGGTGGGACAATCTTTACACGTGTGCTTACATCCACCAGTGCTAGTGTGCCCCTTTATTTGAGGGTCAGCTTGAGAGAAATTGAAATATAAAAGGTCCCGGTTATCTTCATTCAGGACAATAAAACAAATCGACACAATGAGTAAGACATTCGAATACGTGATCTGTGGAGGTGGCACGGTGGGATGCGTTCTCGCCAGTCGCCTCTCCCTGGCTGGGCACAGCGTACTGCTAATTGAGGCTGGTCCGGAGGACTACAACGACCGGATCATGAGTCCTGTCGCTGCCCCGCATCTTCATGGCACTGAATGGGAACACAACTTAATGACGACCAAGCAGCCAGGACTAGGCAACCGCTCTGTTCCCAACTACGCGGGCAAACTGCTGTCGGGCTCGAGTGGTATCAACTACGGTCTGTGGACTCGAGGTCACTCAGTCGACTATGACTCGTGGGCGAAGGCAGTGGGAGATGAGCGGTGGAACTATGCGAACATGTTGAAGTATTTTCAAAAGACAGAGACTCAGATCTCTACCACCGCGGCGGCTCGTATCTACCCGCTGCGGGAGCCGATTCGCAATGCAATGGTGGCTGCGGGTCTGGACTACAATCCCGATCCCAATGGCGGCAATCCCCTGGGATTTGGTCCATTCACCGAGAACTGGAAGAATGCTCTCCGACAACCTGCCAGCAAGGCATACGATCTGTCGAAAGCGACAGTGCTGACCAACTCCGTCATTGCACGGGTGGATTTCGACGACCCCAAGACAACAGCTACAGGTGTTACGCTGACCGATGGGACCCAATACACGGCCACGAGCGAAGTACTGGTTACATGCGGTGCTCTCAAAACCCCTCAGTTGCTGATGTTATCCGGCATTGGACCCCAGCAGCACCTCGCGCAGCACAATATCCCCATCATCGCCGATCTACCGGTCGGAGAAAACTACCACGATAAAATCTCGGCCACCTTCTTCTGGAAACTCCGACACCCGGAGAAAGGATACGCACTCGGCTCCCCACGCTTCAACAAGCCCGAGTTCCGGCACGGCAATCCTATCGAATGGGTGGCAACCGTCCCCACCCCGCACGCAGAGCTCATCAAGGCCACCCAACAGGATCAAATCGACTCGGACGACCCATACCTCCAGAAACCCCGCGGCAACGTGGAAGTGATGGTCGCTTACGCACCCATCGCCGGGGGTGGTTCGGAATTTCGTCTCCCAATGGATGGAACCCACATCAGCAGCCCCGTGGTTCTTCTTCTCCCTACTAGTCGAGGCAGGATCACGCTCGCGAGTGCCGATCCCACTGCGGATCCAGTACTGGACCCGGGATATCTCGACACGGAGACAGATCGTGCCGCGATCCGCGCGGGTATGCGAGTCGCCCTGCGCCTCATGGAAACAGAGTCCGCAAAGGAGGTGATCGATGGCGAGACCCCGCCGCCGGGCCATGAGCCCCTTACTAGTGCATGTAGTGATGCGGACCTTGACCGACGGGTGCAGATTGTGGGGAGTAGCTTTTTCCAGAATGGAGGTACGGCGGCGATGGGGACGGTGGTGGATACTCAATGTAGGGTGAAGGGGGTCCGGAACCTCCGGGTCTGCGATGCTAGTGTGCTTTCTGTGCCCCTGGCAGGGCATTATCAGGCTCCGATGTACGCTCTGGGAGAAGCCGTGGCTGATATGCTGCTTGCTCAGTAGGTTCCCGAGGGCTTGAGGCTCATAGTAGTGGACGTATGTATCTGCAGCGCTATAGATTAGAGAGGCCAAGAATGATCTAGCTTGCTCCGGGAGTAATGATTAGAGTTTCCAAAGAATGTTCCTCAAAGCTAGTAGCATAAACCTTGTCTCTCTAAAAGCAAGTAAACTGGATAGGTTCTACTCTAAATATGAAGCTAGCCAGATCTGTTAGATAGTTAATATGGCTTGGGGCAGCGAGCCTATCAGAAATACATTATGATGAGATAAGTGCATATACGATTGATAGATTGAGAAACGAAGACTCACACTGACTTTTCCATGACTTCTGTAATGGTTGGTCGTTGTCTAAATGGGCTAGATTGGCGCACCGTCGCCGTGGATCTTGTTTGCTACTTTCAATGTATGCACCACTGATCCCAAGTTCGTTGTCGGTGTTGTCAGGAAGTGTTGTGGTTTAGAATCAGGCATGGGCCTTGCTATTCGCTCTTCGTCGGGGCTCACACCGATTTGGAACGCTGACCGTCGACTGAAATATCACTGACCACTCTATTACAAATTGAGGCTATCATACACTGATTGAAGCGAACACGCTCATCCATACATGCGCCGCACCAACACCAAATGCACACCTCATACACCAACCCTCGCAGCACAATTAGAATCAAAATTTACCCCCCCCTTCCCCCCCAAGGATGAACCAATACAGCAACCAGGGTCTGCGTCCCCGAAATCAAAGACTATCGACCTCCCCCAACAACCACTGCAGATGCCGATACGAGACGCGGCCCTGATCCTGGGCCTGCTTATGCCCGGCCTGGAAGGTCTCGGCCCACATCAGCCCGCGCTCGTAGTGCTGGACGCCCATCACGCCCTGCGGCCCGTCCAGATCCCCGTAACCCTCCTGCGCATCGAAGACGCCCGCCCACTGGAGATCGGGCATGCGGATGTCGATGGGGGTGGCGGGGGCGGCCGCGAACCCCAGCTGGCCGTGCCAGGTCATGTTCTGGATGGCCAGGAGGGTGCCGTTGGTGATGATCAGGTAGTCCCAGTCGCCGTTGGCGATGAGCACACGGTTGGTGGCCTCGATGACGCGCGGCAGGGACCCCTCGGTCGGATTGGGCGAGTCGTCGCCTACCTGCTCGGGCCCGGAGACGCCGTCCCCGCCCACGAGGACGGGGTCGGTGCTGCACAGCTCCCATTCGATGTTCTGGGGGGCGTGGAGGGCGCGCTTGACGTCCGCCCGGTTGAAGTAGGTGGTCGGTGCGGGCTCGTAGGCCAGATCCGTCGGGAAGCCTAGCACGTCCCATAGCAGGGGACACTCGTCGATGACGCGGTAGGGGTTGAAGCATGGGTTCGGAGAGAAGGCTTCGTTGTAGATCGCGTTGTAGATGTCGCACTCCGAGTAGTTCATGTATTTCGGCGGTTGGATGCCGGAGGCCGGGAAGGTGAAGTATTCGTCGAAGTAGGCCTGGTAGCCACATTCTTCGTAGGTGGTTGCTAGCGAGGTCATGAAGGTCTCGTTGAAGTTGAAGAGGGAGGCGTGTTGCTGGACGAAAGGGTACGCGGGGAGTTCGGCTTGGACCCAGTCCCATTGGCCGATGCAGGCGTCATACAGGAGGGCTCCTGTGCACACAGCATTAGTTGGTGCGAGGTGATGGAGGGGGTGAGCGGGCTTACCGCTGAGGTTGAAGTGGGTGGTATCGTTCTTGTCTAACATCGCCGAGGAAATGTAGGGAACATACCGCCCCGCGTAGCTCTCGCCGCTCACGAAGATGCGGAAGTTCTTGATGCCGTACAGATCCTGGAACTTCGAGAAGAACTCGAGAAAGTCCGCGGCCACTTCTGCTTCGTTGGTCGCGGTCGGTGTGCCCACTGAATAACCAGTTCCCACCGGTTGGTCGACCCTGTGCTTTCTATTAGCATCGAAGTGCGTTTATTCACTGGGGATGAGGCCCGAGGGGGCGACCTGCTCACTGCAGGCGGCGTTACTTGGCCCTCGATGTGTTGGCGACAACGTACCATAACATGTTGGTCAGGTTGACCCACGAGTACTGATTAATGACCGGCGCGTATGTGCCCGGCTGCCACGTGAACCGTCCATTCTCCTGGAAGAATGCTTGTTCGGAGGAACACCCTGGTCCCCCATTGAGGTAGATGGTCAAGTCGTCTGACGGTTCGCCGATCTTGGGCTGGAAGATGTAGAAGAGAGACCGGGATTCATTCCGGTGCGAGGTAATATTAATCGAACCCGAGTACATCTCACCCAAGTCGAAGTGGACGTCTGGTAAGCTTTCCACCAAGTGGGCTATGCGGGTGCAATGGCACCGCATGTCAGTCGCAATCAAGGTTCATGTGAGAGTGGAGTAGGAATGCATACGCTTAGTCTTGTCATTCCAGAACCGGTAGGTGGAAGTGTTGCTCGACTGAACTCTAGGAGCATGATCCCTCGTAGGACGGCTGGAAAACCGGTCGTAGGCTCGGGCTTTTTGCACGGACGAGCCAGGCTGGGATGCATGCACAGCATTGCGCAACAGAAGGGCAGTAGCAACCCCTGTTACAGGGAAGGATGGAAGCAGCATCTTCAATCAGTGATTTGCGAAAGGATTCCACTGGATGACGGAAACTTTTCCCCTGTGACAACGCGGACGGGGATCAGGCCGATCTTGTACCCAGCAAGCTGGACGCCTCCGTGCCGAGTGTGATAGCTAGTGATAGCTAGGGGGGTAAGCGCGCCCACTCGGCTCACCCACTCGGCTGGTTCGGTGGGAGATCAGATTGCGCAAGTTCAAATCTCGCGATGGCTTCAGTCTCCTCAACAAAGTGGGTACGGCTCCATGGGCCACTCTATAGACGCCTTGTTGGATTGGCTAGACATGCGGCGGGTGGACATGCGGCGTTCTTAGCAAATATCAAGGGGGGACCAGTCGCAGAGGACATATCCGCTTAATCAGTCGCCTGCGGTCATGGTCAGCCGGTCGGCAAATATAAAGTGGCTTAGACGTGGCTGCAGTCCCCTAAAGGGACTCGGTAGGATTACATCGGATATAGTAGAATGCAGATCTAAACTCCGTGGCGTCGACTATTGGCCGCCGGATTCGCATTGTGCAGCTAAGAGATGTGAGCCGGTCAAGAAGCGCAGATCATTGAACTCAATGCAGACTTTACCCCAATTCCCCTGTATGAAGTGTTTTTCTTGCGGTCATTGAGTGGCTGATGGCGTCCAAACATGCACTGAAAGCCATCACCATCGTGAGATGAAGATGTGACAGCTTGCAATTGCTAACATGACACTTGTAACCCCAGATGTGAACAGCTGTGAACAGCCATCGACAAAAGACGTCCTCAAGAAGTAGGTTTTCAGGGTCATTAGTCTTGTGTTTGTAATCGGGATCAAGTGGGGCAATATTTGACTAAGGAAGAAATAAACGGAGACGATTCGTCATCGTTTCCTACCGCACCAGCTCGCAAAGGGCTTTGGATCCACTAGACCCTGCCAAGTGCGGTATGAAATCTACGCGATGGCCGCAGGGAACCCTCGGATTTTTGGAATTTCCTACACCCCGGGAATTATGTGCTCCGCTTATATAACTCCACCGGTGGGATCTGGCCAGACCTCTGAGAGGAAAAGGACCAATTAAGAATTGGGGTAGCAGGGTGCCTGGACCCAAGATTGGCCGCAGATTACCCGATGTAGGAAGCAAGCCTCCGGGTGCGGCAGATTTGGTCGGCAACCCGCTCAGGACTGCCCATGGGTTTGGACGATATCAATCATATCAATCATATCAATCATGTCAACAGCAGTCCTCCGATCTCGGTGCTCTGAGATGGGGTCAAGGTCTGGCTGCGGGGCGTGTATTCCTCCGAGAGCAGCGATTATGTCTCCGCTGGTATGGCTAGCTGGCGGATTTGAGCTGCCTGTCATAGGAGGGTTTTACGAGGAGGAGTTTTGTTTTCTTCTCACACTTATTGAACAATTTCGTCAGTCATTCCTATTTCTCGTGATGGTCCTGCTTCCGTGTCAATACCGGAAAGACATGCCGTGCCGATGTGTGATGGCATTATACCGCATAGACATGGATCCATCGACGCCAACATGCTCCAAGTTTTCGAATAATGGCCACTAACCTGTGATCTCTTGTTGCCGACAAGCTTTCCAATTTGGATTCCAAGAACAAGAACAAAAAAAAAAAAGAAAAAACAAAGCTGAGTGAATAAATCGTCTATGCAAAACAGTAATCCCAATATGTCCAGTGCAGACCAACCAAAAACTCCAGAATTCTCTCTCGTCCAGCCACTTCAACCTCACGCCGACCCTCCAGCACCCCCCGGTGACCCAATGTCCCCCCAAAACAGCCGCCGATCCGGATCGAGGGCATTCCGATCGGTATTCCAGGTAAACGCCATCGGCGTGATCACCTCCAGATGGCCGGCAATATGCGACAGTAACAGCCTGGCCTTCGCGCGGTTCTGGTCATCATCCTGCAGGGGGTCCGCCGCGTCCGCCATGCGCAGCTCCGTCTCCTCGACGGCCGGCTCCCTTCCACACAGCGGACAGACACTGTCCAACCGGACAGCAGGTGCGGCGCAGCGCGGGCGGTGGACCTCCTCCAGCCGGCGGCCGTCACAGGCAAAGGCGTGGCTGCACCACTCGACGCCCTCGGCGAAGCTGCCGGCCATGGCGGTAAACCAGGCGCCGAAGGAGGTGCAGGCATGCGGACAGGTCTCGGGCCAGGACCGGGTGGAGGAGCACGTCTCGTACAGGCAGACGTAGCCCTCCAGGTCGCTCATCACGTGGTCCGTCCACGCGCGCGGAGTCCGGTAGGCCGCGACGGGGAGGTCGAAGAAGCAGAACGGACAGGTGAAGCGCTCGTCCCCCGGGGCAAAATGTGGCGGTGCTAACGCGTCCCGCCCCCAGAGCACGGCGTCCTTGCTGAGTCCGCGGATGCGGCGCTGGAAGTTCCAGAATCGCCGGCGCTGGACGACTAGATCGACTAGTCGGCGGTGGAGGGCCGGCCGCGCGGTGATGGTTGGGCATTCCTGTGTGATGGCGCGGCGGATGCACTCGCGGAACTGCGTGGAGACGTCGAGGCCGAGCTCGTTGCGGATCGCGAAGTAGAAGGACTGGTTGACCAGCGGATTGGTGGTTGGGTAGGTCGTGTGCACCGCATGGTCGCGCCGCCAGAAGGCCAGGCGCCACACCGTGTGGTCCTCCACGCTGCGCAGGTTCTCTGTCCACGCGTCGACGAGGCGGCTGTTGTTGCTCAGGGGTTCGGCTTCGGGGTGCTGCTGCTGCATCGCTTGGCGGATCGCGAAGGCCATCTGGTCGATCTCACACTGCAGCTCCATGAGGAGCATGGTCATCTCCCCGCGTTGGCTGGCGTCGTTGCGCAGGAGGTAGTCCCACGACGTGTGCGGGGGTTCGACGGCGTTGACCAAGATGTTGAACTCGGGCATGTGAGTTAGAAACTGCGCAAGGCCCTCTTCGATGCTGCGTTGTAGCTCCGGGCTGGCGAGCTCTTGGACGGTTGCCGCAAGAGCTTTGTATGACTGCACGCATGTGAGCGCTTGGTCGAGGATGGGCGTCGTGCTGATTGCTCTCTCCATGGTTGGTCTTTGTTTACAAGAGTGTGTTTGTCTGAAGTATGGACGTTGGAGGTTATCGCATGATCGATCATCCAGCTACTTTGGCTTTTATACAGCGACATCTCCGGAAACCATCGCGAGAAATGTCAGTTAATCCTTTGTTTACAAAACATGAACTTTGTGGCTAGTGCTCAGTGAATGTGATTTATGTTCGCTGCCGTTCGCGGGGAATTTCATAACGGACATTAGATTTTGTTCTCCTTGATACAAGGCATCGCGTGCTGTGGAAAGTCTACGCTTATTGGTCGAATAAACGTGAAGTGCGTGATGGTAATTTCCATGAACAAGTCTGTGAATAGGCCAAAGTCAAAGAAATTCAATTAAACAAAGCAAGAAAGCACAATTTCCACAAAACTAGACCGGAAGATGTCGAGATCCCATGAACCTCCACCCAACAATCCCACCCTCACCCCTCTGTGAATGTCGAAAACACCTCCCGTTGTGCCAGGGCAAACTCTCGCTCGACCGTCTCCCGAATACTCTCACTGCGAAGCACCGGCCGAGTGCTGTAGGGCTTAGCACAGTACAGAAAGCCATGCTGATACCCCGTCACCGGATCGCTATCACACGGCTCCCCCTCAGGACCCGGCTGGAACTCGAACGCCCACAGCAGCTTCGCAATCGCCAAAAACATATTGCGTTCCGCCAGATGAATCCCCGGACAGATCCGTCGACTAACCCCATACCCATAATGATCGCGATTCTCCCACGCACCCGGCACATACTCCGGCGCCAGCGCAGGATGCTCCGCGAACCGCTCGGGCACGAACTTCGCAGGATCATATTTCTGATTCAACCGATGATCCGGATCCATATGCATCCCCCAAGTATTGACGACGACCATCGTCCCCTTGGGCAGGAACTTGCCGTCCACCCAATCATCCTGCCCCAGGGCATGCGGAAAGCACAGCGGCAGGATCGGCCGCCAGCGGTGGCCCTCCTTGATGATCATGTTGATGTACGGCAGCCGGGCGAGGTCGTCCCAGACGGGGGAGCGGGCGTGGCCGACGACCGCGTCGATCTCCGCGTGGGCTTTGCGCTGCACCTCCGGGTGCAGGGTGAGGGCCTGCACGATGGCGAGCGTCAGGCTGGAGCTGGTGTCCGACCCGCCTTCCATCAGCACGCCCCCGATGAAGGCCAGCTGGTGCCGCGGCAGCTGGTTCCGGTCCTGGGACGCAATCACCCGGTCCATGAAGGTGTCCAGGTGCACCCCGCCGCTGCGGCGCTTCTCCACCCGCTGCAGAATGTCCTCGTACAGCGTCTCCATCTGCGCGCCGATCGCGCGCGCCCGCGTCACGTAGTGGCCGAACAGCGCCTCCGGCAGCCGCTTCAGCCACGGGAAGATGTCCACGGGCGGCGTTGCCCCCGTCTCCATGATCTCCGACCATTGCTCCATCAGCGTGTACAGCCGGTTCATGTTGCTGCCGTGGCGGTCGGCCGTGCGGATGCCGAATACTGGTCCTCCTTGTCAGCAATCTATCTTTCATGTTGGGGATAACCTAGCAGCCAACGAGAACCCGCTGTCGCGGTGATTGACAAGCATTAAAGTGACGGGCGCAGAGGGAGGAGCCAAACCAATGGAATTCGTGATACTGTTGCTAAACCGCTTCGGGTGGGCCATGTGATGCTCCGGGTCGAGCATGTAGTCGCGCACCAGCTGAATGGCCTCGGCGTTGACGATGGGCAGGTGCTGGCTGTCGACCATTGACTCCATCAGATGCTGATGCACCAGGCGGCGGAAGGTGCGCCACTTGGGGCCGTAGTGCATCACCAGCAGGTGGTCGCCCTGGGTGATGAGCTCGTGCGAGACGAAGGAGTGCGGCCGGTGGCTGTACAGCGAGCTCTTGCTGTCCAGCACTTCCTTGACGATGCGGCGGTCCGTCACCACCGCCATGTTGCTGTTGCCCACCTTGAGCATGTACAGGCCGCCATACTGGCGCGCCCAGGCGGTGAACCTTGATGAATTAGTGGGTTTTTTTGTCGTGTCCAGCAAATATCGGAGTTGGGGGGCTAAACGTACTGGATGTGCGTGTAAGACTTGGGGATGAGATGCGCATTGCCAATGAAGGGTAGTGTCGGAGGGCCTGCAGATCGAGTAAGTGTTTGGAGGTAAGAGTAAGCGAGGAAGCAGACAGAACAGCTAACTCACCGCTAGGCATGTCCTGGTTTCGGTGTCCGTAGGTCCAGGCTGCACGGATGACAACCACGAGGAGGGCTATCGCCCCACCCAGCAGCCACACGATCGGTTGCATCTTGTTGGGATGTTTCAGCTGGGAAATTTGGCTAGCGAGGAGAAACACAAGAATAGAACCACGCTGTGGACTAGTGGAGATCTTGGTTTATCTAGTTGCGCCCTCGTTGGCGACAAAAATCATCCTTCAAGGGGAAACGCGACCCCGCTTGGTGTGTGGCAGCCAGCCTGGAGCCCTGTAGCCTGCAGCTATCCCGAATGGGTAATGCACAAATCAGGATGCCCTAATATGTACGATCTCGGAGGTTCGCGTTTTCACACCTAAACGGGATGAGTAGGGAGACGGCCAGTGTGCATTCGACCGAGGCTACCTCCATTGCTGCGTAGGACAGCTCCGTTTACTTCATCAGACTCTAAGGAGGCTCAACGATTTCAGCAAGGGAGGGAGTGCTGTGGTACAAGACAGTCATGCATCCAAATGGGAGAGACGGAGGTACCGAGTGATTGGGGCAGACGAAACAACCCTAAACGGATAGCCAGCAGACAACTCCTTACGGTAAATGCGGGGCACCCACAACCCTTAGGTAATCGTTGCATTTCACAGCCAAACAGGCAATAGATAAACTATGATGTGACTAATCCATACACAGAACACGAATTAAATTCCTGGATCTTGCATAAACAGGTTTACAAGGGCGCCAAGACAATCATTCCCATACTAAATCTTGGGGACACCATTGGCCTCCGCCCGCTTTAGGCGGGGGAACAACTGCAGCGCATTCTCCTTCAGCGCCTCCACCGTAACTCCATCCGGCAACGCGGCGGCCTCCTCCTCCACGAACCGAGTAAACCGCACGATGGCATCCCGGGGCGCATTGGGGAAGTCGCTCCCAAAGAGGATATGGCCGGGTTTGGCGAAGCGGGCCAACGCGGAGAGGGTGACCTCGTTGGCGGAGATGGCGGTGTCAAAGTAGAAGACCTCGCGGGCGGTGTCGAGGATTTCGTCGCGGCTGAGGCCGATGTTGCGGTCCGGGGGCATGCAGGGGAGCATGGTGGCGGCGCGGTGGATGAGGTAGGGCAAGGTGCCGCCCGCGTGGGAGAGGATGACGCGACAGCCGCGGTGCTGGCGCAGCCGCCCCGAGGTCAGCAAATCCATCGCGGTGCGCCCCGTCTCGTGCGGGTAGTCGAACATCGGCTGCGGCAGGGCGCGGTTGATCAGCGCCGTATCCTGCGGGTGCGTCGGGTGGATGAACACCACCGCCTGTCGCCGGCTAAGTTCCGCCCAGATCGGGGCGAACGCCTCGTGGCCCAGGTAGTTGGCTCCCTGGCCGTAGCGGGTGAAGAGGGTGACCCCATCGGCGTGGAGCTCGTCCAGGGCATAGCGGATCTCCTCGAGGGCAAGCGCCGTGTCGAAGAGCGAGGGCACCGAGGCGAAGAACCCGTACTGGGCGGGCGCGGCGTCGCGGATGGCGGCGGCGGAGCGGTTGCACTCCCGCGCCAGTGACGCCGCCGCGGCTGGGTCCTTGGCTATCACCGGGCCGGGAGCGGTCACGGAGAGGATGGTCGTGGTGACATTGAGGGTTGCGTTGATCTCCTGGTCGAGTTCCAGCGTCCACGGGGGAATGTACCAGCCTGAGGGGTCACCGCCGGCCGCTTCCAGGGCTGATGACGTACATTAAGATCATGTCATCTTACCAGGAGAGAGGGAAGTGTACTTACCCTCGCGAAAGGCTTGGGGGTAGAAGTGATGGTGCACGTCAATCTTCATCTTGATGAGTATGGATACTTTCCAAGTTCTTTCTTTTGCGAAGGATAATCTACCGTGCTTGACTGGCAGAGGTGATTACGACGCAAAGTATGGTTATATGTCACCTCAAGTCCAGGAACAGGAAGGGAACAAGCTTTCTCCAACCGAGGTAGTCTCGGAGCAGACAAGTGTTCTACCTTGTTGGGAATAGAGCTGATCCCACTATTCCGAAAGGAGAACCCGATGCAGGGAGATGAGATAAAACATGCTGACATTCACTAAGCTTATGCATAAATACGAGACGCTTGGACCCCCCCTTCTGTCAACGTGAACCGAACCTAACCCTATCCATCGTGCCCCTACCCCCACCCAGCAGAACAAAAACAAGAAACAACTAATCAAATCGGGCGAAAACCTCCTGCGCTTCCTGGAATTCCCTCACAATTGTGTCTCGCTTTTCCGGTGCCCGCAATCGGACTCCACACCCGTACTCCTTGGGGCAGTGCAGGAAACCCTGACTGGCCCCGGATTCCGGGTCGATGTCGCTGTAACTGCCCACCGGCTGCGTGAACTCAAACGCCCACAGCAACTTGGCCACGCCAATGATGAGATTGCGTTCCGCGAGATGGATGCCCGGGCAGATGCGGCGCCCAGCCCCGTAGCCATAATGGTCGCGCTTGTCCCACTCGCCGGACGCCGCATACGTTGGCGCCAGGGCAGGGAACTCTTCGAATCGCGCAGGCTCGAACCGCTCTGGCTCCGGCCAGCGGCGGGGGTCGTGGTGCATCGCCCAGACGTTCAGCACCACAGTGGCCCCCTTGGGAAGGACCATGCCGTTGATCTCGTCGTCTTGTGCCACTGCGTGCGGCACCCCCAGTGGGCTGACTGGGCGCCAGCGGTGAGCCTCCTTGATGATGCAATTGATGTATGGCAACTGAGCGGCATCAGACCAGGCTGGCGAACGGTCCGCTCCGACCACGCGATCAATTTCCGCGTGGGCTCTAGAAAAGAAGAAACAAGGCAACCGGTTAGACTTCCGCAAAAGGCACATGAAACATGAAACATGCAAGGGGTGATGGCGGTGGAGGAGCGAGGGGTTCGTATCCAACATACCGGGCCTGCACGGCAGGAAACTTGGTCATCGCCTGGATGATGGTCAGAATCAGCGAGGAGGAGGTATCGGAGCCCCCTTCCATGAGCACGCCGCCCAGAAACCGCAGCTGGCTCTCGGTCAGGGGCACCTTGTCCAACCGGTCCAGCACGCGGTCCATGAACGAATCTCGGTTGATGCCCCGGGCGCGGCGGTCGCGCACCTGGTCCAGCACGGTGGTGTACAGCGACTGCATCAGGTTTTCGACCTCGAGGGCGCGGTGCCGCCAGTGGCCGGTCATCCACTGCGGAAGCACGCGCAGCAGCCAGAAGTCGTCGACGGGCGGGGTGGCGCCCAGCTCCTGGACCAGGGACCACTTCTCCATCAGGTAAAACAAGCGCTCCATGTACTCGTCGTGGACGGTCTTGGAGCGGATGCCGAAGACGAGCGAGTTGGTGATGCTGTTGCTGTAGCGCTTGGGGTGCAGCATGTGGTCCTGCGGCGCGGTGAGGAAGTCGTACAGCATCTGCTTCGCCTCCGCCTCCTGTACCTTCCAGTGCTCCTTCTCGCAGTTGGGTTCCATGAAGTACTGGTGCACTGTCTTGCGGAGCATGCGCCACGTGTCCCCGTATTGCATCACCAGGAGGTGGTCCGAGTGGGTGATCAGGTGCGACACCAGAGAGGCCGGCCTGTGCGAGTAGACGTTGCTTTTCTTGTCGACGAGCTCCTTGATCAACTTGCGGTCACTGATCACAATGGTGGTGTTTTTGAAGCGTTTCAAGGAGAATGTTCCACCGTATTCGTCGGCCCATTTCATGAATCTGTTGCAGTGTTAGACAAGGTGAAGCACATATATCATGAACGAACTGCGTGCATGAGCCTTACTGGAAATGCGCATCCGCCTTGGGAATTTGCAACTCGTTGCCAAACAAGGGAACCGTTGGAGGACCTGCGGTTGGATTAGTCTAGTTTGCACCCGATTAGATGACAATACTGGTTGTACGCACCGGGAGGCAAAGAAGCATCACGGTGGCCAGATTTCAATGCAGCATAGATGAGAAACAGGACGCCTGCAACCGCCGCAGCAGACGCAGCGATGACGGCGAAAGGAGACACGATTAAGCTCATGGTGGGTGTGATTCTCCTCTGGCAACCCAGCCAGAACGTCGAGTGTACACGAATATAAAGAAGAACAAAGTAAGCGAGGACTAGCTCTGCCTTGCACGACCCCTAATCCGGAAGGAGTTTCGGAGTTACCTGCCAGACGATATTGTTCCTCTGGTTTTTGCGGAGCCCGTATACACTTTGGTCGACCTGAGGAATTGTGCCCAAACGGGTAATGGCTGGGGGTCCAGGTTCTCACCGCAATGCTTATCGGGTTGAGTCAGATTACAGTGGCATGGCTGTTCGTCCTCTCTTGACTTGGCTCGTTTCCTATTTTAGCCGTCAGTTGAAGGTTTAAGGTTCTATTTCAGGGTCTTCTGTCATATCCGCAGCTGTGCCACATGCTTACTGCCTAATAATCAACGAGGCCAGGGTTTCCGTGGTTCGCGACACCCGCATTATTCCTAGTATGTCGGGTACAATTGCAAGAGTTATATCTCCATCCCTTGCTCAACCCTGGCACATGATGGCTTTAATGGTCGCTCGATGACAGTAGACTTACGAATTGCCTCACCCGTAGTCGGTAGATTTACCTAGGTATTGGTATACCTGCATATTTAATTCTATACGGTTGATGTGAGCCCTATCTTGAACTTGCACAGTGTTCAGCTCTCATGAAATGGTAAACCCGGGTTCCGTAGGCATGAAAGAAAATGTAATCTTTGCAAGGTAGAAAAAAATAGCACATGACTTGTTTGACTCGATTTGAGTGAGAAAGATCTGTGTTCGAAAATGGAAAGTAGAAGTTCAATTTGAGATGATCATAAGAATGCTTCACATAAACCCAATGCTATACTATAAACCACAAGAATGGTTCCGCTCAATGAACCCCATTTGTACCATTTACGCCATTGGCACCATTGGCAACCCGCTTCTTTAGAGCGACCACATCCTCCCACTCCGCTCCCGTCGTCGTGCCATTCGTACCGTTAGTAGCATGTCCATTGACCCCAGCGTGCCCATTGACACCATTGGCATGCCCGTTCACCCCGCTGAGCGTAGCACGAGCCGCGCCATCCACAAACACACCCTTCTCATACTGAACAGGCGGCAAGACCAGCGCCTTGGGCGACATATCCTGCACCCAGGGCTCGAACTCGGCATTCTCGGGCCGGGAAGCCGCCTCGAGCGCGACCTGGGCGTCCCAGTTCTTCTCGGCCGCGTAGGCGTCGTGCACCAGATGCCGCTGGAAGAAGGAACCCTTCATCTTGGCGACGGCGAAGTCCCAGTCGGTGGTGTACTCGCGGAAGAAGGGCTTGTAGCCGAGCAGGCCGCCGATCCAGCGGCCGACGATCACGCAGGTCCAGTAGCCGACCTGGCGGCGGAAGGGGACCCAAGCGGGGGCGGGGGTGTATGCGTCTCCGCCGTCTTGGATCTTCACCCGGAGATCAGTGTGTGACTCGAACTTGGCTGATGGAACGGCAAAACTCACAGCCAAAAACTGAATCCAGTCGAGCCCGCCATCATGCAGCAGGGCATCGTGCCAGTAGCCGTACCAGTTCTCGAAGAAGATGCGGTCCAGCTGGTAGTCCATGCCGGAGTCCGAGGCGCTGAGGTAGACGGTCATGCTCTCTTCCGAGTCCGGGTGGATGAAGAAGTTGTGCACGCTGCCCGCCTTCACGGAGACCTCCCCGTCTGCGGCGGTCACCCGCTTCACCTGGCCGTCGACGTTGATCCCCATCACCCCGGACTCGACGCGGAAGTACTCCGTCTGGAACTGGTGGAAGTGTGGCGGTGGGCCCTTGGGCCGGTCGGGGCTGTTGATCAGCTTACGCAGGTTGTCGGGGATGGGGCCCTCCACATTGTGGCGGTAGGTCTGGCGGAACAGGAAGCATCTTCCCGGTGGGGGCTCAAGGAATTCTGTGGTGAGAAGACCGCCAAATCTAGCCTATTGTTAGTTTTAACTATAGATCGAAGAGCCGAATTGTTTCGCTGTAGACATACTTGACAATTTTCGACTGACCGGCTGAATTGTGGTACGGGACAAAAGGCGCCATTGTAAATTAGGTTATTGTAGGTGATTTGTATCCTAGCAACGACGGGAAAGAAAACAAGTTTGACTCTTAAGGGATTGGGTTCTGATGAGTGGAAATTTAAACTTCAAACGCCGTTATCGCAAACTTCATATATGGAAAAGAAATCAATCACCAGCATATGCATCGAACAATCTAATTTTCGAAGGGTCCGTGTGTTTCGAATCCCTGTCGAATTTGCTGTTTTGGAAGGGGAGGTGGAACGACTCCTTTTGGAAATCGCCCACTCCGCTTAGGGCTTACTCTTGCATGCAGATCTGCAGCGTTTTCCCTCCGTGCTCGCAGCATGACAACAGGAGAAAATTCACGCTTTTTCCTTTCTTTTCTGGAAGCTAGATCTGGAATATCCTGGTTCCGAATTCTGCATTACCGCATTTGTCCCTCCCGGATCCGTGCTCACCACGTGTCTGTCGTTGGACTCGATTGAGATAGTCATTCTGATGCTCAGAGGAGATGCTGGATGCGAGGGGCCTGATCAGGCTTCGCTAATTGAGACGAAGACAGAGGGCAGAAGCGAGCAAGACCTTTGAGTCAAAAGCGCTCATTCAAGGACGCAGTATATAACAACCATCATCCATCATCAACGATTCTATCATCAGCACAACACTGCCCAGCCCAGTCCACTACAGCAGGCAAAGACAAAGCCACACGCTCGACTTTAATCCTCAATTTCTCCAAGCTCTGAGACTTTCGATTCTTTAGACACTAAAGTCACATCATTTCCATCACAATGCCTCACTTCTCCTCTGCCGCATCCAACTCGTCCACCGCGACACCTGATGCTCAGTCTTCAGGCTTGACCACGCCCGTCTCCGAGTACAACCAATTGGTATACTATCACTAACACTACAACCTCAGGCATATCGAAAAGCTAACGCACGCAGAATCCCGCCAAAGATGTCGCCGTCGTCGGGATGGCCTGTCGGGTTGCCGGCAACAACAACAACCCCGAGCAGCTCTGGCAATCGCTCCTGCAAAAGAAAGATGCCTCGGGCGAGATCCCCGAGATGCGCTGGGAGCCCTACCTGCGCCGCGACTCGCGCAACGCCAAGATCCTCAAGGAGACTACCTCGCGCGGCTACTTCCTCGACCGGCTCGAGGACTTTGACGGCCAGTTCTTCGGCATCTCCCCCAAGGAGGCGGAGCAGATGGACCCCCAGCAGCGCCTGTCCCTCGAGGTCACCTGGGAGGCCCTGGAGAATGCGGGCATTACGGCCAGGTCGCTCTCTGGCAGTGACACCGCGGTATTCTGGGGCGTGAACTCCGACGATTACTCCAAGCTGGTGCTGGAGGATCTGCCAAATGTGGAGGCCTGGATGGGCATTGGCACGGCGTACTGCGGCGTGCCCAACCGGATCTCCTACCATCTCAACCTGATGGGTCCCAGCACTGCCGTCGATGCGGCTTGTGCCTCTTCGCTCGTCGCCGTTCACCACGGTGTCCAAGCTATCATCTTGGGCGAGTCGAAGGTTGCCATCGTCGGAGGCGTCAACGCTCTGTGTGGGCCTGGGTTGACTCGCGTGCTTGACAAAGCAGGTGCTGTCTCTTCTGAAGGACGGTGCTGCTCCTTTGACAACGATGTCAAGGGATACGGTCGTGGCGAAGGTGCCGCAGCGATTGTCCTGAAGAACCTCTCGGCGGCCATCAAGGACGGCGACCACATCATGGCCGTCATCAAGGGCACCGCCGTGGCGCAGGACGGCAAAACGAACGGCATCATGGCCCCCAATGCAAAGGCCCAGCAGCTGGTCGCCCACAACGCTCTGAAAGTCGGCAACATTGACCCCCTGACCGTTGGCTACGTCGAAGCCCATGCCACATCCACTCCCTTGGGCGATCCCACAGAGGTATCTGCCATTGCCGCGGTCTATGGCGCAGACCGAGAGCCGGAAGCCCCCTGCTTTATCGGCTCCATCAAGCCTAACATCGGTCACTTGGAGGCGGGCGCTGGAGCCATGGGCTTCATCAAGGCCGTCATGGCTGTGCAAAAGGGTGTTCTGGCCCCGCAAGCCAACCTCACCACGCTGACCAAGAAGATCGACTGGGACAATGTTGGGCTCAAGGTCGTTCAACAAGAGACCAAGTGGCCAGCCACTGACGATGTTCGCCGGGCTGCTATCTGCTCCTATGGCTATGGCGGTACCGTTTCCCACGCGGTCATTGAGCAGTTCAACTTCCCCGAGACATTGGATCTTAAGCCCGGCGCGTCCGCTACTAATCCCACCGTGCTGCTCCTCTCTGGACCCCAGGAGAAGCGCCTGCCCATTCAAGCTCGTGCCCTCCGGAATTGGCTGCAGGCGGATGGCTCTCAGCAGGATCTGCAACGGGTGGCTGCAACGCTGGCTGTCCGCCGTGATCACCACGACTACCGCGCCGCCATCGTGGTCGAAAGCAAGGAAGATGCCATCCAGGCTCTGGGCCACCTGGCCGACGGGGCCAATGATGCCTGGACCTCGCAGAGCCGTGTCTTTGGCTCCGGCATCAACCGGGACGTGGTCTGGGTTTTCTCCGGTCATGGCGCTCAGTGGGCCGACATGGGAAAGGAGTTGTTGCAGAACCCTATCTTCTACCAGGCTGTGCAGCCTCTGGACGAGATCGTCGAGGCGGAGATCGGTCTCTCGCCCATTGCTCTCCTACGCAGCGGCGAGTTTGAAGCCTCCGACCACGTGCAGATCCTAACATACATCATGCAGATTGGTATCTCGGCCGTGCTCCACAGCCATGGGGTTTACCCTCAGGCCATTATCGGCCACTCGGTTGGTGAAATCGCCGCCAGTGTCGTCGCTGGCGCCCTCACAGCTGAAGAAGGTGCCGTGCTCATTACGCGTCGCTCCGTTCTGTACCGCCAGGTTATGGGCCAGGGCGGCATGATCCTGGTCAACAAGCCCTACGCCGAGGTGGCCCAAGAATTGGCCGGTCGGGAGGACCTCG